TCATTCATGAAAAGTAATTTGAATTTTGAATTTTGAAGGAGGATAGTGTTATTTTTATCACTATCAGAGGAATTACATCATAATATATTGGAATATGATATGAGATATGAAATAATAAACAACTTTACTTCATATCATTTATATCATCCGCGAAAAAATTTTACTTTTAATTAATGAATAGCAAGAAATTCTAATGAAAGAAATTAGTAATATATGTATAACCAGAAAGCATAATTCAATGATTAGAAAGTTCGAACAATTAAAGTTGATACGGCAGTATCAGTTTCGAAATCATCATTTAAGTTAAAACTTCCTCAGCTAACTCTTGAAAAAAATTTTCGGCAAAGTTTTATAAAAATTTTGAATATCATGAACACCTAGATAGCTTTTAGAACGTACCTACCGGAGATTTGACTTATAATGATTGTATATGTATCTTAAAATTTTTCAGTTCTATAATTCAATAATAGATGTTAACTTGAAATTTGACCGATAATAAATATGAAACCGTATCTCAATATTGTTTGAATCACCATAAAGTGTTCGCATAATTTCGTGACTGTAAATAAATTCGAAAAATTAACCTGTACTTGGTCCGAAAGCAAACACTTGCAAAGTGCTATAAGTTTTGTTCGAAAATGCGGATGTTGTCAAGATTAAGGATCAGGATACAAATTTCCACCAGAAGTTTTATGCCGAGAGCGAATGTGATCGTGAACGCATAAAGAATCGTCATAAAGCCACCATAAAATGCTCCATCAAATAGTTCCGGTTTCTCTCCGTTTTTCTTCAGTCAGCATTGGTGCTGACGGTTTGATGGTTTTTAGTAATTGATATCCCTCTAATTTCGATCGTATCGGCAATAAAAAATCGCGGGGCATTTTGAGCACACTCAAAACAGCATCGAATGATGATATAAAGGTGCATGTTATAATTGCTTTAGTATTTCAACTTGAATTTGATTTTAATTATATTAACTTTTAGTGAAGATTCAAGTTTTTCCTCATAGTACAAATATTTCCATCGGTAATATTAGAATTACAGTTCCAATGTTATTCTCTTGTTCTAAGTAAAATCCACTTCATGCATATCAAATTCTTTTTATATATTCAAAATTGTTTTGATATCAATTAGCAATCGATCATTTAGTCCTAATTAAATGTTTAAAATTAACGCAATAAATTCTTTTTATAAAGTATATCAAAAAAACCAAAAATGGTAATAATTTAATTCAAAATGATTTCATTACTGATTTCATTACTGATGATTACTAATGATTACTAATGAAAAAACTGATGAATACTAATGATTACTAATGATTACTAATGAAAAAACTGTTGAATACTAAATTCATTGCTAATGATTTCATTATTTAAGTGCGTTCTTAAAATTGATTTTGATATTTGACATTGAAATATTTTGGTTATATGGAAAAAATTTTAACAAGTCTAAATAATTTATTGAAAGTATATAAAAGTCTCCCAATGTAATAAATAGTAAATAAAAAAGTTGCTTGAATTCTTGCGATGTGAAACAGAGTTGATCAAAAGATCGTGAGACTTTGAATTCTAGTCCTTTTGATTAAACTAAAAAGTTCCAATTTAATTGGAATTAAATCAAATAACTAATCTAATCCAATGAACTGTATCAGTATTTACCTGTAAAACCATGGCAATCATTAATAATAAACGATTGGATACTCATTGTCCTAATTCATTTTGTTTTTATCTTATCAAAAATTGTGATCAAACGATCTCGTATAACCCAGACTCGTATTTTGCTATCAACCATAAGCACATGTGGAATAGTTCCAAGTAAACTGCTTATGATCTCACCAAAATTCGGATTATCTAAATAAAATGCTTCATTAGCTGCTTTTCAACTGAAGTACCTGACATCATTAAGTTCATGGCCTCAGTTTCGAGTTACCATCAGTTTACAGTCTCATGATAACATATGGTGAATATATTCACTGAAATAAATCTCGGAAGAGCTCCATGGTCAAGTTAATGGAAAATGGGAAATATTCCTTTCTAAGATCATTACATATCTCATAAGACATTAAATCTAGCATGAAATATTCCTTAGAAAGAGATTCCCATTAAACTTCGGCAAACTCTTCAAGGTACATATAGCATCAACAACACCTAATAGATATATCACAAAAACAGCGCTCAACTCGGCCACATTTACTCACCAAGTGAACCACAACGATCTCAGGTCCCTCTCATATTGAAACAAGAAAGAATGATGCTCCTCCAAGTAGATTCCGTTTTCAAATGAATTTAAATACATTCAAAAACATTAAATCTTTCATCAATTAATCTCATAACTTTCGAGTGTGGAATTCGTATTGATGGTGTGGAAGCAAAACAACTCTATGGTGATGTATAACATTAACACAGCAATGCTGTGGTGATGAAATTCATGACGAGTTTACAGTAAAGAATCTCTAACGCTGATCGATGCTTTACATGAGCCATTTCGCTCAGGCGCAGATAGAGTTCAGCATCATGAAGTTCATTTACGGGAACTCCAAAAATTAAACTTTTTTCTGCATCATTCAAAAATTTATTATTTTTCATCAATAACATGCACAAAATTCGTACTGTTGGTTGTAGACAGCAAAACAATTTTATGGTAATGTATAACAATGAATTGAATGAGATCAACAACGTTGTGGTGATGAAATTCATGAATTTACAACAAAGAATCTCTAACGCTGATCGATGCTTTACATGAGCCATTTCGCTCAGATGAAGATGGAGTTCAGCATATTCAAGTTCGTTTACAGGAACCCCAAAAAAACAAATTTTGTTTTGCATCATTCAAAAATTTATTACTTTTTACCAACAACATGCACAAAATAGTTGCACTCTTCAGCAAAATTAAGTGCATTATTAATGAGAACAATTATAAAATATAAAGCTAGTTTAATAAACTCTTCGTCGTACTGGAGATCGATCTCGCATCGGTAAGCCTCCACTACGCCGCAGTATCGATCCAACAGGTCCAATACCTGGCAATGTGATTGCCACATCGATGAAATCACCGATTTCGAATTTGCAGTTTGCTAACTGCAAGATATATGTGAAGCACGAAATTATATCTCTCTAAATTTTTAAAAATTCTAAGATCTTGGAATAAGAAATGATGCCACTTTTCAAATTTTGAGCTATGAGCTTGACGTTAATTCATTCAGATCTTTTTAATTGAATTTGAAGATGATACCAGATCAATCGGGTGTGCCCCAGATAAGTTCTCATGAACTCAAAAAAAGAATTTTGAAGATTTAATGAATGAAAATCAAAGTTCCTCAAATAATTAAACTTACCGTCTTATTATCGTCCACACCACGTTGACCGTTCATTGTGTTGCCGATATCCCTCATCACATATCTAGGAGTAAAGCGATCTGGAGCTACTGAAATTGAAATCGATTCAAAACTATCAAAAGTTTGAAGATGCCATTTGTAGCATGAAAGCGATAAAGATAACTTCAAAATGAGATGAGGCAATGGAGTTTTAAGATATAAATGAAACTGCATTAACACAGGATTATACTGATGCAGTTTTGTTGCGTTCAGTCCCTTTTTCCTATGATTCTTCTAAAGCACTCAATATTACTAAATTTGCGAAGCTTTACTTTTATCTATCATCGCATATAACACACACCTCATCACATGTCTAAGAGAAAAGCGGCCTGGAGCTATTGAAATTGAAATCGATTCAAAACTAATTCTTAAAGTAATATTACCGACTGCAAAATCAAACGTAGTGCCGCGTCGTCGAGCATCTGGATTCACCTCCTTGATCAGTGACATTAGTTCTCTTAGGGTACAATCTAACCTAAAACAAAGTTTTTGATGCAGCAACCGTTAAGCTATTTCCCTGATTCACCATTGAATTACGGCGATCCCATTAACACAGGATGAAGTGAGCACTTTCTTTAGAATAACAGGGATATCTTGAGAGGTACGGTCAGGTAGCAAGACAAATGCAAGGTCAGCTGCAAAAGAATTATGTCGATAATGAAGCTAATAAGATGATGGCTGAATAGCCCGCTTTGATGCAAAATGCCTGGAATACGAAGCCTCATGCCAACGGTAGCAATGTGATAATAAGATCTAGCAATATTCACAAAAATTAACTCTACATGAGAAGCAAAGTACCAAGTATAAATCTGCAATTCATTAGCTGGAGTGCTGCCACGTCCATACTCCGACAATGGATTATGGCGTCCATTTGCACAAAATATTCGCAACAAAAGTGGACATATCTAAAGTAAAACACTATGCATAAAATTATAAGAAATAAGGAAGTCTCCTTAATTGTGATCAAACGGATATAGAAACTGCTAATTTCTATTATTTATTGAGCTCAAGTCAGAAATGAAATTCTTTTATAGTCAAAATAACTTTTCATTCCTAGAGGAAAAGTTCGAAGATAAAACTCAATAAGAAATAAATTACAAAAAGAAAAGCCGTTAACTATATAAAGTAACCTTCTCACGGTCCACAGTCTTCTCTTCCGGCGCTTCCACTTGAGATATTACATTCATCTTTCGCTTTGCTTGTTATTCTAAAATCTCTGTAGTGTAATAATTTTAAAGTATTTTCACAAACAGTAAAACCACCCCGTTCTACCTTAACCTCTAATGACGTAATCTTGATTGCTTTAAAGGTCGTAACATCTTTTGAGAATGATGGTAGGACCTTTCAATTAATCAAGATTTCATGAACGTAACGACACATACGCAAAGAAAGTAGCATGCACGGAGTACCACCAATGACGCTCCCGTAAATCATAACTAAAAGCAAACCGCCTAGGCCATTAAACCTAACCATCCGAACTTACGAATAATAGCGCTTTGCTATATGGACACTGTGAACATATCTGTCTCTCATCATAGTTGTTATGGGATAAACAGATTGTTTATAAGAGTGGTCATTGGGGTTGTGGTTCTTTTGCTAGGGAAAGGGAAAGAAGATCACGTAAAGGATGGACTTTGATGAAGCTGTGACCGTGGTGAAGGAACTGAAAGCGCGTCCGACAGATGACGAGTTGTTAGAACTCTACGGATTCTATAAGCAGGCTATTATGGGTGATAACACTAATAGCAAGCCATGGATTGACTTCAAAGCTCGAGCCAAGTGGGAAACCTGGCAAAAAAGAAAAGGTTATCAATAACTGTTACATTGAAGATATCTTTTCTTGGAAGTAATATTGCAAATTCCATCTTGTAAGCCTTTTAAATATATATGGTAAGGCTGTTTTGATTAAAACTGATCGTTTTTATGCCCCTTTAGTCAACAGTATTCATCTGAGCAATGCTTTTCGGATATTGTTAAACCCCAGCTTATTTAAATTTCATTAAAGCTTCAGTCATATCATTCATTTGTGGTGGCCTTATCCGTTGCTTTAAAGGTATGTCCAGCGAAGAAGCCAAGGAGCAATATATTAAGCTCGTGCAAAAGCTCGTCCAGAAATATGGCTTATAAATGCTATAATTTCGTGCTGTACTGTTTGCTTATGACATTACCGCAAGTTTGATGTTTGCACTGTTATACAGCCACTGTTCAACACTTTGACTGTTCGCAGGCAGTGCAGAGAAAACCTTAAGGATGATGTTTTGTTAATGTTTTCTCTGTTCGTGTTGCAAAATGTATAAAAGAAATTTTTTTTTCTGTTTCATCACTTCAAACATCATTTCTTCATTTTAGTCAGACTCCAAAGCTTATATTATCGGGAGAGGAAAAGTGAGATCGAATATAGTGGGAGAAGAATGTCTGTATAGTTCAACTAATTTCGTTGATCGACTTGGAAGTTGTTGTAAAGATTATGCTTTGTTAATAGCTATACTTCTCAGATTTAGTATTGTTTTGGATGGGTAAATACTTAGATATCGCTATTACAAGTGTTGCTGTAGTCCATGTGTAAATTATTGCTGCTTATTCACGTGTACTCTCCTCGTTATCGTGTTTTTTGCATTATGCTGCTCGACAGCATTTCTTTTCCTTTTTAAAGATATGATAAATTAAATTGTTAGAGTCATGATCACAAATTGGTTTGATAATGCAACTTTTCACGTGCTGAAGGTTATTCCAGATGTCGTGATAAGATGGTAAGAAAAAGCTTAATCGAGATGTATGTATTATCAAACCGATTCGTCCAGCAATTATATCTCTGCAGAAAAGAGTCGCAACTACTGGCGACAAAACTTACTTCTGTTAAAACACAAAAAGCATTATCCGCAGCAACTTTTGTTCAGATTTCTCCGAAAAGTGTACAGCCTTACCTGAAGCTGATGCGTATCGATAAACCCACTGGTTTGTTTGTTCTAAAAATTATGTGGAGTACATTGTAGTTTACTATAAATCTTGCTACTAAATTTTCCTTAGTCTTGCTGCGTATTGTTTAATTTTTTTAGTATTCGCGAGTTGTTCAAATTGTTCTGATATTTTGTATCAATATAATTGAAAGAATATAATTAAAAATTAAGCAAGTACTACGACTTGTGTGCAGGTTTTTGGTTACTTTATTGGCCATGTACATGGTCAATAGCGCTAGCTACACCGCCAGGTTCATTGCCTGATCTGAAAATGCTTGCATTATTTGGTGCTGGATCGATTCTAATGCGCTCTGCTGGTTGCATTGTGAACGATATTTTCGATAAAGATTACGACAAAATGGTTCATTTTAGATGTTGTTACTATTATTTTAATCATTTTCATGCTTTCTCAACTTTTAGCAATCGAAGCATTAAATATACAGTCTAGTCAGACGGTTAGCAACGGCATAGATAGAGTTGGTGTGCTTTGTGTTTTTCTGCTTCCATCCCTACTGTTAAGGTTGAACGAACAAAATCAAGACCGCTTGCAAGTGGAGAACTTAATAATCGACAAGCTGTCGCTGTTCTTTCACTGTTATTATCTGGATCATTTTTGATACTTCTACAGTTCAGCTGGTTCAGGTTTTTTTCATTCTTTCCACTTCGTTTTTCTTCTCAATTTTTTCCTCAAACACTGTATTTTATGAACTACTCAAATTACCTGACTTGTTTGACTTGTTCGAATAAATTAACATTCGCATATAAGCCAGACACAAGTAATCATTGACATTCCTTTAATCATTTGTGATTGTGTCACTTGTGATTGTAGTTAATGACAATGATAATGACAATTACTTCCTGTGAAATAAGTCGTTTTGAATACTGCTATTTCAGTGTTATCGTGGGTGCCAGCTCATTATTTTTAGTTGTCGCATATCCATTGGCAAAGCGCTATACGTATTGGCCACAGCTCGTCCTTGGTAATCTTATCAATTCTTTAAACATTTTCCCTTAAAGTATTTGGCACTATCGTTTTACAGAAGGTAGAATTTTTTAGAAACTAATAAATTTGATTTCATTAAATTGCCGATTTGTTGAATCTTTTCTTTATTGCGGCGCTTTGCAAACTAATGCTTTCTCACAATATTGCTGTTTTTTCAACTCAGAAAACTAGAAAATACATCGAAAACTTGAACGTTCATCCCTTGTTCAAGGATTTCAGGGCTTACCTCTAATTGGGGAGTGTTCATTGCATGGTGTCACTTGTGTCCGAACACATTACTTACCGTCATGCCTTTGTACACTGCCACCGTGTTTTACACTGCTACATATGACACCATATATAGTCAGCAGGTATTATACCTTACATTATCACATTCTAGAGGACAAGCTTCACATCACTGACGGCACTCTCAGTGCTACCAAATATGAAAAATTACATACAAAAGAGCTAGGAAAAATTCGAAAAATCTTGAAATGCAAAATTTAAAAAGTAAATTCTATCCAACATATTTCCAAATTATTTTTGTCAAAAGTACCACTCATCTGTTGCTGCTTTTAAATAAAATGTTTTAAAAAAATACTTTCGACAAAAACTTATTATCTAACGTTCGTTCTTTTCCTTTCATTGAAATGCTATATTCTATCTTGAGATTGATTCAGATACACTTTTGATTCAGTTACAAAATTACATTAATTTAATTACATTTTTGCACAATTCATAATGCTCAAGGATTCATTTGTTTGTCTGCTTAAAGGATGATTTGCTTTCATTAAAGATACCTACTGAGGTTTTTATATTGATTGTAATTAGGTAAATGTGCAGAAATTACACGGCATGCTAATGTTAATTTGTTCTAGTGTTATCACCATAAATGTTTTTAGATACTTTGAAGGAGTTAGACAGGTGAAACTTCGTAGAAAAATGGAAGTGTTGTTCCAGATAAGTTTCGGCGTTCAAATCCGAAGAATTATCCCACTGTTTATTAAAACGAGAGCTTTTAATAAAAAAAATTTTCATGGCTGCACATCCCTATTTTAAGATTTTTTTTCATGGCTGCATATCCTTATTTTAAGATTTGATTTAAAACGCTTTATAATGTATGCACGCAATAAACACAATTCTATAATTTCAGGATTTAATTAGAACTTCTAGGGTTTTGCATCAGTCATCCATTTATACTATAGCTTGAATGATCAAGCAATAGGGGTTAAAAAGTCGCAGAAGAGTTATCTTCTAAGTATTTTATACCACTTCTACCACTACCTCTACTGGTTCCGCAGGATTAACGTTCAACTGGGGAGCATTGCTGGGTTGGGCCGTCATACGCGACGAATTGTGCACAGTGGCACTTTTATTGTATATGGCTTCGGTGAACTGGACTCTGATTTACGACACAATATACGCTCATCAGGTGGAATAGGCTTGAACACAATATACCCACATATACTTACAGACATTATTGACAAAAGCATTGTAAATGATCACTTGACAGCGATTGGAATAGAGGCGACTGCTTAAAATATTTCACTGATATAATGAAAGATTTAAGATGTTATTTTCTTTTACAAAAGTGTGCTGAAATTTGTCTTCTTAATGATCAACGGTAAAAGTAAGTCATTTAGTACTAAGACGTTACATTTATTGCATTCTTCATTCTTGCATATACTTCAATTTGGTCATTTAGGATAAAACAGATGACCTGATTGCTGGCATTAAATCTACGGCTCTGCTTTTTGGTGATAAAACAAAGTATTTGTTGGCTGGTTTCGCAGCTCTAACTATATTAGGTATTGGGACCACAGGTTTTATGGTGCAGCAGACGTGGCCTTTTTACAGTGCGTTAGCTGCTACCGGAGTACATCTTGCATGGCAAATTGCTACCGTGAATATTAACGATCCGAAGGATTGCTGGAAAAAATTTAAGACCAATCAGGTAAGACATTAATATGTTAATATCTTTCAAACACAAAAAACTGCCTTAGTGGTACCAGTCCATTAAATAATTCATAAATCATCCTCATCCTCATTCCGAAGATTGTAGTCAGCAAGCATTTTCCAGTATTTTAAAAGATGAAGAACATAAACTTAAGTGTTAAATTATAATATCAATTAATTTCAACAAAAATCAATTTAGACAAAGCACACGCAATAAAATTGCAAACATATATAAAATATAAAGAAAAAAGACAAACAACTTTCACAATTTTTCTCAAGGGAGAGGTTTAGTGGAAACTGAGCTTAATCCAAGAGTAACGTTTACAAAAAAGACTCTGAAACAGATCTTATGTGGCGGCGGAAATCTACTGTTTATCTAATGATCGCTTTAAACACAAGTGATTAATTTTTCACCATAATTTTTTCTTCCAGTGGCTTGGTGTTATCTTATTTACTGGTATTGTCGCAGGGAATTTATTACGGAAAGAAGAAAAAGAAGCGTTATCCTTAAAAGAAGTTTGTTAAGCAATATGTCCCGTGTACTCTTTTAATAAAAGATGTTAAATATCAACTTTCAATGGATGCCGTGCTCTGATATAAATATGTTAATGTAGATCAGTAACATACTTATCCATAAAGGGATCTGAGCATGTGCTGTTCAAGTATAACAAAGTTCACTGGCTTTGTTTGAGGCACATTCGAGCAATCAATGCAGACAGCTGAAGTAGTGAATTAAGTCCTTCCACAACTCGCACATGACACAAACCAATTTCCTGAAATCACTAATTTTTTAGCTCACATAAGTCCATTCATTTTCACCAATTTAATATATCCCACATGGAATAAAAGCGATAACCTTCATATATTCCAATTTCAGATATTCAGGAATGTTGACTGTTTTACACACACGAACCATGTTGTTAAGGATGTCCTCTGATGAGTAACCCATCCGATAAAGATTGTGTACAATTTCACCAGCTTCGATTATCTTCCCATGAACACAGTATTCAATCATTTGCGTTATCATTTTCGGGTGCGGTTCGTCACATACCTTCATATTATACTTCATGATTCTGTGTACTTCAGCAAATAAAGCTTTAAAGTCGAAATAGGAAGATGCACGGGACTTACTGTCCTATTGCCCGGTATATTGAATTCTCACTGCATTAATTCTCGAAACTTGACAGCCTTATACTAAAAGCTCTCATGCGTTCAAGCAATCTTGAAATTATACAAAATATTAACATCTCTTTTCAGTTCTGCTCTATATTTTATTCCACTATGGAAAGTGTTATTCTGAAAACAGCAGTGAGTATAATAACGTTTAAAAAGATGTAACAGTTTTTATTTCAATCTCAACGAAAAGCGTATCAGAATGCTTACCTTGAAAACATTATCAGCCGTGACATTATTGAAACCAACTACTGTACATTGTAAATTATTAAGAGCCTGAAAGAAACATCATGATATGAATGATAAGAACAACATATATTCAATCAGCAGACAGTACTGTTATGAATATAAAGAGACAATTATTCAATTTCAAAGATAACTCTGATACGTGGCTCGTATCTACTGCCAGCGAATGTCCTACCTATCGACACATTTCTCGTTTTATATTCATAACAGTACTGTCTGCTTGCTCATTTTGCAAAAAGATTATATTGTTGCATACACACATAATTTTAAGAGAAAAAACTTTTTATGATGATGAGGACCATGTACAACCATAACATCAAACGCATTACCTGTCGCATATCTCCTTGGGCAGTAAAAACTAGGGCATCAATTCCGCTATCATCATAAGTCACCTTTTCTGCTTCACATACTTGCAACAATCTCTTCACAATTTGTTCCTCAGAAAGTTTCGAAAATCGTAAAATAGCACACCGAGATTGAATCGGTTCTAAAGTGGCTCGACAAGTGGTAATCCAATAAATCAGGAATACATACTTTCGTAAACAAATTGCAATACACCAAAGACCTTTCAAAACAAGCGTTTTTTTCCCAGACGCACCGTTTCTTTTTCTAATTGATAATTTACCTATTATATTCAAGAAGAAGCGAACAAAATTATTTTCAAGAAAGCTAACTTTCCTAATAAAATTAAAGCTAAGCACAAGTTTACCTATAACTTTCCCAGACTGATTGCAGGCAAGTGCAAAGCGTGTAGTTCTACTGTATACCTCCATTGTTCTTCGGAGCGCTTGTTGTGCTCCCTCTGTCATTGAATCTACTTCATCCAGTATAATTATTTTATGCCTTCCTGGTGGCAATGTTACCTTACTTTGTGCAAAATTCTTGATTTTATTTCGTACAACGTCTATCCCCCTGAAATCTTGCTAATATTCTCGGAATATTTGGATATGTTGTTCAAATAAAACATTGACCGAAATCTTTAACAAGAAATGTAATGATGATAAGAAGAAAGTCAAGTCTATAGGTCCAGAACAACAAGCATAAAAAAAGAGAAATTGGAAAATATTTACCTATCATCGGAGGCATTCAATTCCAAGCATGCATTTTTAAGACGATCACCAAGCATTTCTCGCGCTAATGCCCATATACTCGTTGTCTTGCCACATCCTGGTGGTCCCTTAAAACTATAATATCAAAAATGCGCAAAAAAGAATCATATATCATTGAAAACAGACTTTACACCAAAAAAGAAAACATTTAAAAAATGACTGAAATAATGATATTTGGTGTGTTTCCTTGCTTTGCAAAGGCAGCCAAGCGTTGAACCACAAATTCATTTCCAACCACTTCCGACAACATCTTTGGCCGATATTTCTCGACCCTGCAACGACGAAACAACTTTCATAAAGTTCACATAAATGACCGAAACAATTCATAAAACAAAAGAGTGCCCCTGACAAAAATATCAAATGTTTTCGCATATGACGTTCATTTCAATCCATTTTACTGATACCTGTTATTCTTGTCGATCAATTACCTGACTTCTAAATTTCTCTGTTCTCCATTTACCTACATCGTTCATGAAATATATTTAGTTTCCCTTCGCCACAATTTTTAATCATCACTGTGTCAACAACAGAAATTCCGGAATGTCCGGAATAACCAGACTAACAATAATAGCAATGATAAAAATTATTACTGCTGAAAATTTTCAGCTTGGAATGACGATAGAGGTAAGACTAACCAAGGAATGCTCGAACTCATCCTCCTCCTATACCTTCTCTAATTGGTCTCACACCTGAAAACTGTTGTTTATACATGGATCAGTTAAGTCCTCAACAGAGATCGAACTTTGTCCGTACAATGATGCTATTACTTAATGGTGGATACATAAGGCAAGTGCAAAAGGTCCACGTCAGATTAAATTATAGCCCTCCACATGAAGCCTTCAATAATCACACAGCTTCCAACACCTACTCTTCCTTTTCAAATTGTTTGAAATTCAAACGTAATTTCAATTGAGTAATGTGAGTCCTGTATGAAATTCTTCTGTACCACAACACTGCATTTCAGTCTCATTCCTTCTTATGTGACGCTGCGCTGATGAGCTACACGCTTTTATAATTGGCTTTTATAATTGAATATCTCTCTCCTCACGCTTTTATAATTGAAAGATTAGTATAAGAGTTTTTCAACTGGAGAATTTGGATTCTTATGGACAGGTTGCTAATTTTATTTCCTGAAGAGTTAGAAGGAAGAAGAGGTTCTATCGCTGATGAAAAAACTAAAAAAAATTTTTCTATAATACGTATGAAATTGGAAAGAAACTGATATAGATAACATAGCTGAAAATAAGAACAATAGAAAAGCTGGCTAGAAGAGTACTTCAGATCAAAACTTGCATAATGAGATGAGGATCACTAATAAATAAGATTTGCAGCATTGATATAGCGGAACTTGCAGTACTAACAGTGTCAAGCAATTACCTCCTCCGCAGCAGCATTAATTCGAAGATGAAACCAGTGTATTCAATATCTTCTTTTTATTACACTTCTAATATAAAAAAACATGCGAAAAAAGAATTGAAATAAAACTCCTGCAATCTTGCAATGATAATAACGGTAATCCACCTGATATCAAAAACTAAAAGCTTAAAATTATCTAAACCAGAAATTTTGATGCCTGAGAATAAACTTCTAGCTACCTGGCCAAAAATCGAACACAGCTGAAGGCTTAAGATCAACTCGGAAGCTAGAAACAATTTTTTTTCTGTTAATGCGGTTCTGATAACCTTTCCAAATTACCACTACTTCAGCTGGATATTCCACAACAGCCTATTTATCTTTGAGATACTGGTCATGTAGTCATCACAATTTCCATATCTTGTCCAGTAGATATCGAGAATTACACGTCGCCAGAATGTTAACACTTTCCAGATGGAAATGTTAGATTCAAATTCTTATTTTTCATGAGATCAGAGCTTATTTATTGTCAATATAAATAATATTAAACCTTCACTATCACTTTGTTTTCTCACAATAATTCCAAAATTTGGCTAAGGTGAGGAATTATGACTATACGCAATTACTTATTCGGAGAAACCGAAGAAAGTACCAAGTACTAAGCGTTTATAAATGAACAGAACATAATACAACACGATATAGAAGAGCTCAGGATAAGATGAAGCTGTCTGCATATATATACGTCAAAAGATGTAGAGCAGCATAGACCGGCGTACATCTGTTAAAGGGGATATATAAATGTGTACGGTTGCATAGATGAGTTGAAAATAGAAAGTATAACACTTTCCCAGATAAAAGAAAAAATAACTTCACTGTGAGCAATATTAAAGTTTCATATTATTATTGCTTGACTATGTAATTAATCAAGATATCACTACTACTGCTTCTTCTGTTATATTTCTAAACCCTTTATACAAAAATAATAGCCAATGGCTAAATTATTTTTGAAAAAGTAGGAAACGGAAGAGAATAAGCTTTTTGCACTTAAAAGTGTTCAAAATCTTAACATTTGTATGATGAAACTTTATCTACAAGCTTATCACATAATTGATTAAAAAATTTAGTCTTACAATGCAATCAGTTATTAAGGCTGCACTTGGACATAAAATGTGCCACACATGAATACTACCTTGATCCAGTGGGTGCATTTTAATTATTCTTGAGGTGAAATAGGCCCAATAAGGCTATTTATCGAAGTAGCTGTTATCTTGGAAAGTTCGGTTTCAGACTGATAAGGATATAACTGTAGGGTTCAAGCCAATATCGATTTGACATTTGACTGCATGACCTTTAATAGTTAAGATGAAGTGGAAAATTTTTCAAAATTGTCCGAGGCTAGGCAAGCAGAAGCTATGGTTTTTAAGTTTGCTGAAGTTTTTATGTAAGGAATGAAGGGAAATAATGTTTACTGAAACAAAAGCCTTTCTTGAGGTATGTTTTATTACATTTCGGACAAATCTGTTCTTATAAGGACAATCATATTCATAATACACAGCTCCATAAAACCAACTGCTTGAGTTTATGTGTTGTGAAGAAAGATTCGATCATTTCAGTTCAGACGATGTAAGTGGCTATATAAAAAATTCGAAATTGTTAACATCGCACTTCTCTTCGATTTTGTTCAAGAGATATAGATCTGTTGAGAAAATCGAACACACGAACAAATAAAATTTGAAGTGACGATCGGCAAATGACGCTAGTTGGAAACTTCAAATTCATAATTTATTCTTCATATAAGAAGAAATTTTCTTGATCTCTCTTCGTTTCATGAACGGTTATAAAAGAATAACTTTTTTTCTGTGGATGGCATAGCAAGTTGAGGTATTTGGTGTACAAGCGTGGCAGTTCAATTTTCAAAGCAGTAATCGTAAATGAACAACAGTATATCGGTCTTTACTATCAATTTTAAATAGCTTCTTGAAGCGAAGACACCAAGCTGAAAATGTTTAGTTGCTTTTAGGATCATTCTGTAAAACATTAATGAGAACAGTGAAGAGTTCATTGTCAAATGTGATGGAAACATTTCGATTGATGACTTAGTAGTCCAGTACCATACTGAAAGTATTTTGGAAATCGTTCTTCGGTCCTGCATAAGAGAACTACATAGACATTCGAAAGTACTATGTGAAAAAAACCGGAAAAAGCATCACGGATTTGCTAGTTATTCAAAAAGCATCGTCACAATCAGCCAGAAGTTCTAAAAAAACAAATAAAGAAGAATGTTTAGTTTATTTATGTATGAGATAACATGCCGTCATTGGCCAGGGATGAGCATAAACAGAAAAATAAACAAGGAGGGAATGCCCCATTTATTAAGTATCAAAAGATGCAAACTGCTGCAAAACTATAATACTTCAGATGGTAGATTTCGCAATAATGGAGGCAATAAAAATATAACATGAATTATGTGTAAATATATATACATCAATAATAAAGTATATATAATTACATGCAAATCAAGTAACAGTTATAACATATTTACTGATATCTTCCCTATCACTCTTCTACTATCAGCATTCATATCAAATCTTCCTTATCACCACCGCTATTAACAGCATTCTTTAAAACAGTGAAAGTTATATAAAAAATTTTATGAATACCAAAACCTTTCTAATTACAATCATAGTTTCAGTAAGAGTACGAAAGACCAAGACGGCTCTCACAAAAAGCATGAAAGAACGTTGTGAACAATGTATGCATATATCCTATTTAGGCGGTATGCTTTTGTTTATTTCAAAGAATAAACAAATGTAAACATTGTACGTGGATTAGTGGGATTAGTTGAATAGTGAAATTGTATCTTATCACGAAATTGAGCAAAGACCCATTATAGCGTACCAATCACGGTGCTAACACACATGTCATATTCTTACCTCATCCTGAAATGCCCGACTGGTGCTTCGCGGTTCTCTTGTTTTCTATAAGTAATTGAGCAACTTTCAGCTGAGAACATTAATGGCAGCAATCATATGCATTTCTCGTAGAACTTTTTCTTGGACCATTAATCAAGTTTGACTATGTCGGTGATTAGTTTAATTCGATTTTCAGGGTTTGATGAAAATTGTAGACCTCATGGTATGGTTTGTCATATCATTCGTCCATTTTGCGCTAGCAGTGGACAATGTTTTCCTTGGTGACAATATTTATTATGCTGTAAACTGTGGTTAGTATCATTTGTTTATATGTTTATCAAGGTTAAATTAAATTGAAGGCTTGTTCACAGTAAGTAAAGCTTGAATGTTACCAAATATTACCGAGATAATGAGTCATTAAGTGTTCAGGCAAAGATGGACAAACCTATCCATCTAAATCTTACAAGTCCACTGAAGCGTTTACTTAAAATTCTAAAGGTTATGAGGTTTTAAAAGAGATTAAAGTTCCTAGAGAAAGGAAGAGAAAAATGAAATTTGCATTTGGGAAGCAATTTTAATCATCTGCCATAATTATCAATTGTGATTGATTATTGATTGTTAGAGATGGATTGTTAGTGTTACCAATTCTTTCTAAGAAATATACTGACGAAGCATTTCTGCTGAAGAATTATGAAGTTCATTCAGTACCTTAAGTCTTCTGCTAGTTTTATTTACATTATTGTTAGAAAATCTTTTGCATTTCATTCAATAGTGGTATTGCACGCGCATTCATTATCCCAATGCATCTCTGCTCTCCTACTTTGCTAGATGATGAACTTAAAAAAGAGAAGAATTAATTGTTTTTTTCTTTCAATAGCACTTGATTAGTAGTAGCACTACTACACTTGAAATTATTTCATGTAAATGAATCTGGTAAACTCTGATAATGAATGGAAGTAAATTTTTCAAAAAAAAGTTACCTTTACGTATTGTAGGTGGACTGGCACACACAGATCTTAATGGTGTCCATTATGAAGCAGATCCGTTACGCGTTGGCATTGCATCTAATTTTGGCAATAGGCTAATGATAATGAAAGTTGATCCACGCGATGCTATTCTTTATCAGACTGAGAGGTTAGTACATTTAATAACAATTGAATAATGTTAAGCAACATAAAATGTTGAATTAAACCATGTTCGATTTTTATTAACTGTAATGAGTTAATGAATAGGTTCTGCGTTTAAAAAACGTAGCGATATCATTAATGATTTCATCTACACTGTTGTAATGCTCAGTGAATTAAGAATCTATTCCTTGCGTTTTACTATTGTTACGTAAAAAATGCAGAAGGAAACATCAATCATTTCAAAGCTTTAACTGTAGTGATTCGATGATCGTAAATGAACAAAGAGATTATCAAACCTGTTTGATAATGCTAACAGATTATCAGGTATCACACAGAAGACTTCACTTATACGGTACCATTACCAAAGGATGATGGTGAATATACATTGGTCCTCAAATTTTGTGAAGTTTATTTTCAATCTTCTCAGCAAAAGGTGAGAATTCATTTGCTTCTATCAGATTTATCTCAAAAAATTGGTCGGGTAATTATTAGAGAGAGTTAATTATTTTTAGGTCTTTGATGTCTTGCTTAACGATGAAGTAGTGATCGCAGATTTAGATATATTCAAGGAAGCAGGAGGCACTGGAGTTGCTTATGATCGTCTACTGACATTTCATGTAAATGACTGCTTGAATTTTACTGCGTTATTTGGAAATTAGGCGTAGTATTTCTGTCATCTTGATTTTAAAACATATATCCATAAGCCCGGCATTTCCCACTTAGTATTTTGATTATCAATTCTTTTCATTCTTCTAATCTGAAAATCTGATTTTTCTAAAAATGCCACGGATTGTTTTTCTGATGTCACTGTGGATTTGAAGCTAAACATTGTATTTAAAAATCAAGAAGGCTCTTATGTTATATAGAAAAGTTTTGTGGAGTCTTTCTAAATTCTTTGCATTTATGTAGGTTTAAAAGTTATAATATATCAAATTTTCATAGGTTGAAAATGGTGTTCTGATATATGGAGACCGACATGATTCATCTGGGTATATGAAAATCACGTTAGGCAAGGCATGTTTTGTCTTCTATTTGACGTTATTGTAGTTGCAAAAAGCTCACAGTAAATACTTGCAGGATTTCGGGAAAAAGCATTAATTGAAAGCTGTAAGTTATTGAAATAATATCACTTTTCAGGGTGTTTTGGATAATCCGAAAATAAACGCATTTTACATTTATCGTGGTCCTCAAGCGGTAATTCATTTGAAATCTGATCTTGATTAATTTATTGAAATTATGAGATTGCTGAAGTTTCATATCAAATCCAAGAGAATAGTTCTACCAAGCCTGTGAAAAACATCTTCAATCTTTTTAAAGGATATCCCGCTTCTACGAGACGTATCATTTGATGAGGAAATAGAAGAGGAGGAATATGATGAAGAAGCAGATATCAAGTCGCGTATTGAGGTTAATCGCTTCAAAGATGAGCCCTTAGTGGAAGATCCTTATGCTGAGCAGGATACAAGCCATATGTTCATACCGTTCCTAATAGCTTTTGCTTGTTTTTTTCCTGTACTGTTCTGTTTATGTAAATTATAACATAAATAATTTTTCCTATCACCTCGCTTTCACCGATCTCATTAAGCTGATGGCCTCAGAAACAACTGCAGCTTTTCCATTTTCGCCTTTTATCTTTAAGATAACTAGATATTGTTTGTTTAATTCTTTTAAACTGAACCCATTCGAACCTAAGGTTAAAAGTACTTTTATTTAGTTTTATGTTTATTGCAAAAAGTATTCCGTGACTCCATTCTTTTCGTGCTACGCTTTCTGCTTAATAAACTTTACAAAAGAGAAATCCAGCATAGTTATAACTTCTGATACTTGCCAGTTATTTTATATCTTGCACATTAGCGCACATTGCAATAAATAGTTAAGGGGACTCTTTTTCTGTTTTTGCTTTTCACCATTCGATCAATTAGTATTCAGTTTTTGTGATATGCTTGCTTTATTACGCCATGATATTTTCATTGGTAATTGTCCGTCTATAATCTTTATGTGTTTACAGTATTACGGATTCGATTTTTTTAATAAGCATTAACTTTTGTTGTTGATTTAATTGGTGTATATAAATTTTTCTAATCATATAAAAGCTATTAATTTCGTGTGTTTTAAGATTTTGTTGAATCGGTTCATTTTGACTTTTGTTTTTGCTCATTCAGCTCTGCTGTTTTTTTGCAGCAGTGATCCCAAGAGTTTGGATATTTTCGAAAATCTTGCTGGTTTCTCTTTTTTCTCTCTTAGAGTGTACTCTGGCCAAAGTATATAAAATGCCATCTTACCGTGCTTTGTTTTTACTTGTTGAAACGGAGTATTATGTTTCTACGGTTGTTAATTTATCTCATTTTGTGCAGACCATGTTCAATAAAATTTTGAATAATAATTCAACTGTGATTTATTTGGTCTTTCTTGCACTGTTTTCATGCTCCTTATATGTGTTATACTAAATGAAAGCACTGAAACTGCAGGGAAGTCATTACTAGAGTATTAAGTATGTCCGAAAAGTTCAGCCATCCAAGGAGGAAGTTTTTATTATTCAGATTTCATCATTGCATTGAACTTTCAAGTGCGATGGTGATGAGATTTGAATAACAAAATATTTTCATAGAATTTTCCTTACAAAATGAAGATGCTTGTAAACAGCTTAGGACTATTGAATGCTATACGTCTATTTTACTTTTTACATAAATAATAAGCGAAATCTGTTGCCATCCCTATTAATAACTACAGAATCTATGGACACTGATAGTGTACCGCCTGCAAATGCGCTTCGATTACTTAAGAAATTCTTTGGCCATAACAGTTTCCGGCCTCTACAATGGAGAGTGATTCAAAATGCATTAAGCGAGAAAGATCAGATAGTGGTAATGTCAACAGGTAGATTATTTTTTCTTTCGGAATATTTATACTTATTTAGTTTTGAGTATCCATTAATTATTCAATCCATCTCAGGTTATGGTAAAAGTGTTTGCTATCAGTTGCCATCATTGTACACTGAAAAATTAACCATTGTTATATCACCATTGATTTCTCTCATGAATGATCAAGTGGAAAATGCCCGGTGAGTTATCACTATATTCATATCATTAAATATATGAATTGTATGTGCATATTACCGGACTTTAGAAAAAAATCGTGAAATAATTACAGGAGCAATGGTATTCAAGCAGCTTGCATAAGTAGTGAAACGAACTCGGACGAGCAGCGGTCAATCCTTGCATCTGATGATCTGCGGTTACTTTATATCACTCCTGAATTTGCTCTCCATTGTGATTCATTGTTAAAACAAGTTCGTAAAAGTAAGCTTAATACTTTAAAGAGGAACCATGCAGTATAAAATTCGTACCTAACTAATATTAAATTAGTTCAGAGTTAAATTTACATGCATAAGTTGGATATTTCTTCTGTGATACTTCGTACTTGGTAAGCTGATATTTGTAAACATTATAAATTGAACAAATCCTGTTTCAGATGTTAATTTACTGGCAGTCGATGAAGCTCATTGTGTTTCTGAGTGGGGACACGAATTTCGGCCCAGTTATCGACAGTTAGCAAAAATCCGTGATCTCTTTGGTAAAAATGTTCCAGTGATGGCGCTCACGGCTACAGCTACACAACAAGTCAGAATGGACATTGCTATCACTTTGGAACTCTATCAACCAATCATTACTCTTGCGCCCTTGGATAGGTCTAAACTATCAGAATTTCTAATTTTGCTGTACATATAAGTAGTGCTCTCAGAAATTTCTCAGTAATTATCAGGACTGTTGCCTGATACATGTTAGTAGCATATATTATTGAGTACTATTTGACAAGGTTCTCTATGTAAAAAACTATCCACTTTAATAATGATTCCAGGAACCCTGCCTAAAGTTTCAGGCCAAATTTATATTTGTCAGTACGCACTCCAACAAGTCTTGAAGAATTACTGCATTTGCTTAGTGAAGATGAAAAAAATGAGAAACATTTCAATGGTCCAACGATCATCTATTGCTGCACCCGTATTCTGGTTGATGAAGTTTACGAGTGTTTATCTAGTAAGAGCTCCATTTTTAATAAATACCTAGCTTTGATTTCATAGATAGAAACTGATTTCATATTATTTCCTGATTGAATTTCAATATGATGTTAATAAAAGTGTGCTATCTTAAAAAATCCAAATATACATAAATATGAAAACACTAAAACATCAAACAATACAGAGAAAGGAGTGCAATGCGCGCGATATCATGCAGGAATGTCAGCAGCAGCAAAGCGAAAAGCTCACGAATACTTCATGAAAGATCGCATAACAACGATTATTGCAACGGTAGCATTCGGTATGGGAATTGATAAACCGGACGTACGTAATATTATCCATTATGGAGGTTGCTATTCAACTATATATTTTTCATCACATTTATTTAATTATTAGCTATTGATTAAAAGATTTATTGTGAATTTTGCTAACTGTGGCATGAAAGTAATTTTTTCTTATCGATATGCAAGTTTGAGCCCCAAAAAATATGGAAAGTTATTACCAAGAAATTGGAAGAGCAGGACGTGATGGTTGTCGCAGCAAATGCATCATATTTTACAAGGACCAAGAACTGGCTAAACATCGGTTATTATTTTATAACTCTTGTGTACATTTTCTATTTTTTACCCCTTCATACTTTATCATTAATCATACGAGACACATTTAACTCGTCAATCTCTAAATAGTTGATTAAAATTAATATGTAATAAAAGAAGGTGATCCTGCAGTAAGATTTCATGAGGACTTTTGTTGTTTACTGATTAGTATTACGGAGGGACAGGAAGAAAAAACAGCTTCATTTATTTTCAGGTATTGTATACTGAAGGAACAAAACTTGAAAGAAGAGTATAAGAAACATCTGTTAGAAATGCTCTCGTTAATGGAACGATTTCTTCATGCGACAAGCTGCAGACGATTGTTAATACCATTTCTTTTTATTTCTTTCATATCCTTTTTGCATATTTCTATTGATTCTTTAGAAAGAACTAGTAGAATTTTTCTTTCAAGTTATACTTCCGTATAATAAATCTTGGATGGAACGAGATGAAAACTGGTGGTAAACTGCATTTTTGCAATTTGATGGCAGTCTGATTGCCGTACTAGTGTTGTAAGCTCAAAGTTTATCCGTAAATAAGTGTTTACTTTTTATCCTCTTAATAGCTACGATTGTATGAGATTCCATCTATTTGATTAATTCAATTTAATGAGAATGTTGAGTGAGGTAGTTTCTTCTAAAAAATGGACTATTCCAGAAAACCAGACAAATTTTTTAAAATCATTAAATATTATTGTAGCACACAATTACAGATATTTGATATAAGAAAATTATTTTAATCGAAAATTCAAAATAAGTACTCTTTCATTTAGTATGCTTCTATCTCATTTTGATGAACGCGTGAAAAAAGAAGCAGCAAGTGCAGGATGTTGTGATATATGTGATCAACTCATCCGTTCTGAAAATAGTACTATCGATCGTTCATTAACTAATTCGACAAATTATGGTGATGAAGCATTGATATTACTTCGAGCTATAAACATATTTGGGGGATACACTGGTCTAGGAAAAGTGATCGATTTTGTCAAAGGGGTAACGTTATTTTCATTGTAGTGAAACGAAAAGTTTTATATATACTAATCATTGATTAAATGTGATGTTATTTTTTTTGCATGAGACTAAATGTTTTACTTACACTAATCACTGATTAAATATTTTATGTTTGAGATTAGTTCTATAATAGCTGCTAGTTGTTATATGATATATTTTCAAAGTTAAGAAAAATCATTATTGATTATTTCGCATTCGTAAGATATAGAAAAAATTTTTTTCAACATGAATTATCGTTATTGCAGAAAGCAAATGTTATCCAAGCAAAACAAAAAAGCGAATATTATGGATCAGGAAAGCATAAAACAGAAGTTTTTTGGAAAGAGCTGGGACGCATACTAAGGATGAATGGTTATATCATTGAGACAAAAAGCTCATTTAACAATTTTGCCCACCTTATATCGCTTTCTGATAAAGGAAAAAATTGGTTGTACGGAAAGAACAGGGTTATATTTTATTCCTTCAGATTTGTATTAATATTTTACCACTTATTTGAATCCAAATGATCTCCATCAAAGTTAAAAAAAAATTACATAACTTCTGAAAATTTTCTAAAAATCTCAAAATACATACAAATATTTTGAGGTTTTCAGATAATTTTCTTAAAAATTTCGGTGATTCTCAAATTTTTAGGAACTATACTTTGAACCAACACCCTCGTTAATTGGTCGGATTCGAGTAAATGACGGACATTATATATCTCGAAATAGCGAACCGCTTTCTTCCAAGTAAATTTTTTCCCCACTTTTCCAATGCGTTTTTTACCAAAAGTTTCTTGAGCATGTATTTCAGAACATTGAGTTTCACAAAACAGCGTGAATGGAAGGATTGCAGTTGTTATGGCGAACTAATGTGCTCCAGAGATATCACTGCTTCTGTAAGTGATTGATGAAATAGCAATTTCAAGCGATATTTACAATTTTCCACCAATCACCGGTAATCAATTCAATGCTTCATTTGTAGATGGGATTAAATTTCACTTTTAAAGTTTCTACATATCTTAGGATCAGCTCGAAAAAGTGTTATTTGAAACCCGTACAAATCTGGCTATAGAATATAACTGTGGTGCCCACATTGTTGCATCAAATAAATGTATTCAACAGCTAGCAACGCTACGGCCATCTTGGTTTGTCCATAAAACTTAACAGTAAATGATTTATTGAATGTAAAAAACAAATATCATTCTATGAATTATTTGTCATCTTACGACGAGATTTGAATGTAAACACTCTAACATTTAAAATAAGAAGAGTTTCTACAGTTTCTTAAATTCGATTATATTCAGTTGTTTTTCATTAGAAATTATGATTGTTTCAGCACGCAAAATCTGTCCATAATCGATGAAATGACGGAGGAAAGACAAAGAAAATTTGGACGAAAACTTGTGGATACAATTATAAAATTCTGCACTACGCATAATATATCTATGGATTGCATGAGCGATTCAGCTGTACGTTTGATCATAATTCTTCGCAGAAAGGAGACGGAAACTTATTTGTATCGATCAGTTTTCATAATAAAAAGGGCCATATAGTCGGATTCTTGTGATAGCGGAGTTGTGTGAAAAATGAGCTTATTTAGTTAGCAGTATAAGTGATTAAGATAGAGAGATAAAGTGTTAGCAAAATTTATTGTGCGCGTAAATAACAGGCGTGATTCCAGTTGCCGAAAGAGATAGAAAAAGGAATGAGCGCGTTGAATGAAACTTGTATCGATGTTTATCGAAATCATATCAAGGGAAAACTATCACTGGTTAGTTATCATCTCTGTCAATACAAACATTTATTTATAAAACTCTTTATATTAAATAAAATTTGTTTATTCAAAGCAAAATTTGTGAGGAAAATGATATGTGGAAGTGAGTATGACTGCATTGCTTCCAGGATTCTTTTTGTATTGAGGATTATTACAGAAAAATTACTCAAGGATTTAAATAAGCAACATCTTTCACAGCTCTTGTTAGATTTTTTTGAAATGTCTTATTCTTAAATTACAATTGAGAGTTGCCGAAGAAATTCTTGCGCATTTTTTGAAAAAGATGTTTATCCGATTTACCTGATGACTACTTAATTAAGTAGTAAATTGGATAAGCATCTTTTTTTCACTGAAGATATTATTGATTGAAATAAACATTGATTAAAGGGTGATTTGGCGGAGCTGCGTGCTATAAGTGAAGGAACCGTAGCTTCATATTTTTTGAATTTCGTGAAGAATGGTTTACCGATTTATCTGAAAGTTCTTGGGATAAAGAAACAGCATATAGATATTGTTTACAGTACTATTCGAGAACATGGATCAGGTAATCCTAGGGATCAATGGAAGAAGCTATTAAAAGTTCAATACTCTGAAATAAGACTAGCAACCGAGAGGGAGACTTAGAATTAGTTTTAAATGCAATACGTAAAAACGCATATATTCAAATGCCAATGCTGTTTTAACTCCATCGACAAGTTCTATTTATAAGGAAAATCTCATCGAAGAGAAGGAAACCATATTTCTATAGTTCGTTTTATAGCTAGTGAACGTTAACAGAGAAATTTGTCTATAAAAAAAGTGTAAGAAAGATGTGTTCACGAATTCTTATTTTTTAAACTTAAGAACTCTATATAAAGCATTTTTATTGTAAACCATTTCCGCACATTCCAGTTAGGAAACTGTTGAAGTTATCCATGTTTATCTAATGTAGGATTACTTATCTATCATTAAGCTGAAAATAATGTCTAGTGAAAATAATGCCTTTTAAGTTAGCTTAAAACTGGAGGACTTATTGAATAGTTGCACACTGTAGCACTAACAGTACAACGCATTCCTCTAATTAATAAATTTTGATTGTTGCAGACATTTTACGTCTGAAGCCTATCATGGAGGCACTTCCAAAAGATTTCATAGACTACAATCGGCTGAAAATTATTTTTGCGATCCTGGAATACGAATATGGTGTTGTTGAAGACTCAGAAGAAACATTGTGTGGTGCTGGTTCAAGTGAGAACACCAACAAACGAAGTATTCCATCGAGAACACCAACAAACGAAAACGAGAACACCAACAAACAAAATATTCCAAGCGAGAACACCAACAAACGAAATATTCCAGATTGGATGAAGGCACAGACATCGCACTCATTACAGAATAAAAGAAGGAAAAAATCAAACTTGTTGAATTAATTGCATTCTGTGATAAATATCTTAAAATTTTATACTATAACAGGCCTAACTATTAAATATCCTGTTTATTTCTTGATCTCGTCAAACTATTTGAGTCATAACGTATGATTTCCTATTTCGTTCTTGCTTCGCTAATTTTAAAAGCTCAATAAATGATGGTACAAAAATTATTAGTGCTTTCAGTCACTACTACTCTTATGAAAGGTTTGATGAATTGAATAAGCTGCAGATCAAAACGGCATTCTATCCATACAAATATAACATACATTCTAAGTTCTGCAATAGTGTTGACTCATTGATCGGTTTTTTTCACTAATCAGTATCGTCTTTTATATTCTGCGAAATATGTGAAGAAAGAAATCGGTTCTGTCATCTCATGCATTTATCAATATTTATAATAAATATACAACTAACTTGTCTAGTATTCAAACTTGGTGATGGTTACTTTCAAATCATAGTTTTAACAAACTTTCTGATATGCTCATATCTCCTTCTAGCTTACATTAAGAAATGAAAGATAGGTGTTCTTTGTTGTTCGGGTTATAATTCCAATTTTAGTCGAAAATTAGGTTTGTGGTTCGTATGCTGATATTGGTTCAGAATAATGGAGTAGTTTCGAAATTTTAACTTAAATCAAGAACCAAGAACTAAGCTTTTGCACGTCAGCTTAGGGGCTCCGAATCCCTAAATTATAATCAGAAATTTGTCTATGCAATTTTATCACTGAAAACATCCCGAAGTACAGAATTAGAAAAATGTATCACCTTAATTAGAAGAAATATATACTCTTAATTGTTGCATACAGAAATTAAGAGTAACAATATTATTATCTCATAACATTACATTAATGTTGTATATCTGTTGAATACTTGTCATCTTATCTACTTTTATTTTTTGTTGTCTTATTGATTTCAACTCTAGAAAATTGAATGATAAAGGAAAAGCTGAAAAGTGCAAAAAAAAATAAGAAAGAAAATGAATTTACTAATTTGGCTTGTTATATAAATCATAACAAATTCATTTTTAGACTATACCCAAGAGGATATTTCTTTTCCTTTTGCTAATTAATAATTAAACAATCAGTTGTTAAATCTCAAAATTACCGTTCATTATGAGTTATTTAGGAACTAATTAATTAATTAATTAATTTAGTGCAATAACTTAGGAATCCGAATATATATCGGTAATATTATTTTTCTCCCTTACAAGTCAATTATATTTGTGGTTTGTTTGCTGTATACCAATTTATCATTTGTTGAGCATAAAGTTGACTGATCATTTTTTCAACTTCTTGTATTGGATGAAATTCATGGGAGTTAGATCATAAGCAAACAAATATTCGACTCTAAGCGTCTTTCATCTTCTTCTCTTTTGCTTTTTTAAATTCAACAAATAGCTTCACCACACTTCCACTTACTTTCATTACACTTCTCATTTTTTATTTGTATATATCACACGGCTACTTCTCTGTTTCATTATTATTGTTTTTTTAAATTAACAACATAATATTATTTCAGCATTTCAAAATTTTATATTATTTATTTAGAAAAGAGGAGTTTAAAGAAGAAAAATTCCTGATGGCGCAGATAGCAAATTCGGAGATAACTTCATCCTCTACTATCGATTCTATTTCACAAGAATGGAAAGAGAAGCCAATTATTCCGAATGAGATTTCGCATGATAGTACATCGGTGGATGATATCGTTCCACAACTTTGTTCGGCTTCTGAACATGCTATTAATGTAAAAAGTTTTTTCCACCAACTGCATTCTAAATCGATAGTAACAACGAAATCTTTCATTGTTATGAACTTTTTTTCATCTAAAATGTTACAAAGAAAGTGCGACTAATTTTAAAACATCAATTATCATTATTAAAATGATAAATGGATAGGCGCATTTATATGTTAATCTAAACGGGAGGAAGATTCCGTCACAATCATGTAAATATTGAAATCTATAGACTCCGGACACATACATCACAGTTCGGTTTTTCTGCTTAATTTCCATTTACATTTGTTAATGATATTTAGTTCAATCCGGACGAGTATCTTCGATCATTTTATTCCATACCAACAAACGATGTAGCAATGCATACCATACTTTTTTTTCTTCCCGGAATTCTCTATTGGATTCCAGAAAAAATTCGAACACTACTCGATCTCGGAGCTGGTCTGCTTCCTTCCTACGCCTTATATTTTTATCATGCAGTTTGATTATTATTAAGCTTTATCTTGTAGTGAAGCAAAAAAAAAAACCCTCTTCCGTAGTTCCTCAACTATTCGATTTTTAAATTACATTCAGAAATAGTATTAATACTTATTGATGAAATATACAGTTCTGTCGCAGTAGAATTTCAAAAATCAATTTACAAGATATTTCTGAATTACTTGACAAAGATTTAAATTTATTCTTCTTTCAAAAGTGATTCCGAAATTTATGACATCTCTTTTCATTCAGGTCCCACTGTTTATGTGCCAATAATATTCCGGAAACATGCCAAGCACATTTATAGTGCAGATTGTGCAGAAAATAGTTGTGATATGGTGAAAAACTGGGCTGAAAATAAGTCATCATTTGAGTGGACGGAAGTGTGCAAATGGATAGCCTGTATTGAAAATTCAAATGAAGCACCGGCTGTCATGGAACAGAACGCCCGCAGCAGATTTAAAGCTGTTTTGAGAGTAATCTTACATGTTTAAAGTTTTCAAATTTTCTGTCGTAGAGATTGAATAAGATACCGTTAGCAATTGAAAATTGTATAATCCCACTCAAAGGAACTTTCACGAATTTTGTTGTGAAAATGATATATTGCGCCATTCTTACCATGGATAAGAACCCAATGGAATTCCGCAGTATGTTGGCAGGAATATAAGAAATATTTCAGGCTGATCTACATGCTGAACCAATCATCAAGTGCGTGCATTACAAATGCTCAGACAACGATAATACCCCCCAACAATTTCATGTTGTCGTATCCATATTTTGTTTAGAATACTCCAGCGAAAATCTGGAAGGTTACCGTCATGCAGTTCGCAATGCGGTAAGCTTGATCGAACCAAATGGATTTTTGGTCAGTTCTAGCCATTCAGAATTATTTTGAATTACCTCTACTAACAAGTAGACTATCATTTGGTTTAACCAACATTTAACTTCTCATTTCAATCCCTCGAGACGTACTGATTACATTGTCCGAGTTTTTCCTACTTTTGTGATGTACAAAAAAAAATCCACAAAATCTGAAGCGAGGAAAGCATAATTATTCGTAATAGCCAAGAATTAAAGCTTTTGCTCCTTTTTTATTACTGCTAAGCTACCATTTATTTCGTCTGATGTGGAAGCTCGAACCATTCGTCTTATTCTCTCAAAATTTCAAAGAAAATTATCCAAACTCGATGGCTAAATTTTGGACTGATAATTCAGATACAAGGTGGAGTTCTCCAAGCAAATGACTATTATTTCGGGAGCAAACGGTACAGATGTCATTATTTGACCAAGGAACAGGTTATCGAATCTCTAAGGGTTATTTTTTTGAAGTTTTCAAACACATTTCACTATTATTGCATTTTAAAAAGGAAAAAAACGAACTATCCAATATAAATACTAGAACTGCTTTTGAGATACAATAATCCGATTATTTTGCACCACAGTTTTTAAAAAAAGAACATACATTTCAGGAAAACAACATGGCAGTTGAGAAAGATGGGAATTTCAAATGGTTTGAATTCGACGATGTATTCCTCTTAATCACCAAGAAGAAAGCATGAAAATGTATAACAGAAATAAACTATTTTACTTCTTTCCTCATGGAAAAAAGTAAAACAGTTTCTTTTTTGGCTCAGTAAAAATTATTTATTTTATTTTCACATCGACACTCTTGCTAACAGCTGAAATAAAAATTCTCTTTATATGTCGCCTCATTGAAATAACAAGTTGTTGAAACCAAACAGATTGAGATAATTAAAGGGTTATGCCAGATATTTCCTGGGTACTAATCCAGTCAAGGTGACTAAAAAATTATGCCAGATAGTTCCTGTCAATGTAAGTAATCATCTGATTGTCTGAACATGCGATAATTCCATTTGTCGATATACTGAAAGTGTTTACTGATATTTGACAATCAATAAGCGCTGTAACATTAGCATTTCCAGAACGAACTGACGGTGAAAGCCATGCATTTGCTCGTGACTGACTGTTAAAATTTGGGATCGAGCTGCAATTCATAGATTTTATAATTTTATGAGGAAAGAAAAAAAAATGTAGTATAGCTTATGCAGCGGAGCGGTTAGCAAAGCTCACCGAAAAACCAAAGTGCGGTTTTTTCCGTTGAAGATTGTTAATCCTCAGAAACTAGCATATTCACAAACCTTAGTTACTACAGTTAAAAATGGTTTTATTTTGAAATTGAACGTACTTGGAGAGATTGGATCCCTTGGCACTCAGATGCAATAAATGACCTTTACCAGTTGCACAATAAAAATTTGATGGGTAAATTGGATGAAAAGCTACCTGCAAAAGTTTTGAACGCTTAATTTTTGAAATAGATTACTTGGAAATACCACGCACCGCTAACGTGAAATTTCCATAGAGGCATTTCTCTAAATTTTGACCGATACATAACATGATAATGCGCTAACCTCCCAGACTGCACCAACCGGAAAAAAAACTGTAATAGTATTCAATAAATAACTGCTTCGACGTGTATCGAGAAAGCCAATACCACCATCTTCGGTGCCAAACCCAATCTGTAATTTTCGCAACTTACACAAATTTTCTTACACAAAAGTTTCACAGCATATTGATCGAGATTCATAACTAACTTTTAAAAAATATATCGAAAGCAGAAAAACTGACTAAATTAGGTTCGGCGGGATGGGCAGCAAGTGATGTAGTGCCTTGGAAACAATCTGTGACTCTGCAGGAAAACGCAGGCTGAGATGATTCCGTCTCTGCTCTGAGATCCCATAAACAGATCTGTCCATCCAGATGAGCTGACACAAATATATCCCGTGCGACTGATGCTAAGGACCGTATACTTGCCATATTCTGCATAAGCAACTTGATCCTTTATGAATTTAAATTACGATGACAGTTTAAAATTTAGGTACCATCAGTTACCAATGATTATCTGGTGAAGAATGATATAAACCAGCATTTTTTAAGTTCAAAAGGACGAAAATATTTTTTATCGAGAACGACCTCATCAGACGTGTCAAGTACTAATGGCAAAGTTGCCAACTCTATTCCGCATTTCAAAATGTTGTGATATAAAGTGCACAAGAAAATTCTTCTGCAGTCTAAAAAAACCTAAAGCCCTTGGTATCTCCAGATTAGATAAAAAGTTAAAAGTGAGAACAATTCCGATCCATTATATTAAGAGTAAACATTTAGAAGAAAAATCCTGGATAAACAAACCAGATGTACAATTTCCTTGGAGTTGCCTTCCAAATCGATACTTATCAAACTGCCACCCTGACCACCACTGATGATCTTACCATTGTTATAACATAATGCATTACAAGAACAATCACTACGCATATTAGTGTATTTCCTCATAGGTTTAATGACTCCTGCATCATATTCCAACAATCTCACTGAACCATCGTTCATTGCAGCCGCGAATCTCGTACCATCATATAGGCTGTAAAATTTGATTCCTCTTTTTAAATTAATAATTTGAAGAAACCTAATAACAAAAGCTGAACCTTCAGTTATTAGACATAATGCATTCGCCACAAAATAAGAGGTTGATGATAAATGAAGCATTCTGAAAAATAAAACAATGAATAACTTTCAAAGTTATAAAAAGGAGTTAACTTACAGCAAATCATTCACGTCTGTATCGACCATTAATCTACATTCGCATGAGAATAAGTCGTCCGTTAATCCAGCACCTAAACACGTAGCAGTGATATCAGCGTGAATGATTCCAACCCATAAGAATATGCAAAAATAATATTTACAAAATTAACAGATTAAGAGAAGCAGATTGGGTATAGCTTCTATCGTAAGATATCATTTCTAAGTTAACGACTTTCCTTAAAGATAGTAATGGCTCAGGCTAGAAAAGGAAATTTCTTAGAAAGTTTAGTTATTTCCACTTATTTTATAGATGGTCATAACCTACCAAATTATAAAAGCAGACAAACGACATCATAAAAAATGTAAATAGAGGCTTAAATTAAATCATTCCTAGTCAGGTGATACTTAGCACTGTTAATAAAGCATAAAATGATATATCAGAATACATTATTCTTCAGGCATAGCAAAAGAGACAAAACGAAAGGAAAATAAAGAATAACCTTCAACAAATGACCACGCTGCTATTTCTTTGTTTCGAGAGTTATACGTTGAGGTCAGGAATTTTTTTTGCTGTCCTCCCGAATCAAGCCATCGCACACGAGAAAATTTTGCCGAACCAAACTGGGAACGATAAGATGAGGGACCATTGGTATCCATAGGTCCTATGGTTATCTACCAAACGCATTAAAAAATGATGTTACATTTCATCCATTTTTACAAGAAAAAAAATTAAGCGCTTGTTATATACGAATAGGCTCATTTTCACTGTATAACATTTATTGTAAGGAAAAGAGAGAGCCAGTAGACCAAGAGTCCAGCCAAAACTGCGCCAGTGCCAAAATCGAATTTGAAAACTTTTAAATACTTGATCAAATAGGCTGCAGTAGGCATCAGTGATGAGCTGAAATGCAGCTAAAAATCCCGAAGATGTTTGGCGTCGGAACAAAACGATTGGGTCTGAGGAGTAAGGATCTCGAGATTTTATAGTTATGCTAGTTATGCCAGTTTTAGGAAATGTTAAAGAGAAGTCCAAGCCCACCAGCAACGTATGCGAAATATTTGGATGATTTCGAGGGATGTGATGAGACACAGACGTTACCAACCACCAGCTCTACCAATTTACATCGAAGTCCCGGGAAGGTGAATTTTTCTTCGTTTCTGCTTTGAACAGATCTGAAGGACAGACTTTTCTTCGTCGTATCTTTATGATTCATTGCAGTCGTAGTCACTCTTCTCTTGTGAAGATTTATTTATTTCTTCCGATATTTAATTGACTTCCTAACTCGGTAGATTTATTCTTGTCTAATTTATTATTATTTCGAACTATAACTGTTGTACGTATATCCCACTGGTATGCCTTGCTAACAAGTTGATAACATACAAGTATTAATTGCTCAACGTTTCAGCACATAAGATTAAAATTATTGCCTTATTGTAAGGACAAAAGTGATATTAATAATAAGAAAGGAACGTGCTTAGACATTTACCATTTCATATTTCAAGAATATTTGTTCAGATATAATGTTCTTGTTTTCTCATCTATAAATCATAATTGGCTATCTGCATATCTATTTGTTTTTCTCTTGATGACTTCAACTGAGTTGTGGTTATAGAATATCATTAAGTGATAAAATGGAGTCAGCTTATAGAATTCTAAGTAATATTTTTTATAGGGCGTAAATCGCCGGCAGTTTTTATCAGAAGGTTATAGTAGCACATTCGGAGACTTCGAGTCCATGGAAAGTAGCAATTTTAGCGGTTTCATCGAAAATTCAGCCATCAACGAACCGCAGTACCCTACGAATGCAACAAACTTTTATTCCGGCACTTATGTAGGCAGTTATGGAACAAATTCTTTGAGTGACCAGATAGGCTGCGCGCAAACTGCGAGCAGTGAGCCAGCGAAGGAAAATAGACTGAAATCAATTTATGAATTAAAAGAACGAGAAAAGTAAGTGAATAGCATCTCTGACCCTTATTTCCTCTTTATTCCTAAACATTCATTGCTAGTTTGTTTAAATCATCCTTTTCATATCTCATCTTCACATTGACTGCGATTGAAGGCTTCTGAATTATACGTACTACTGCTTTGATATATAACAATTTTTGCATTGAAGTATTGTTTATTACTGTAGTGTCTTTTACTATCATATGAAGAGAAATGTGTAAACCAAGAAGATTTCTTTCTTTTTTAGCTTTTTGCTGAATGACATTGTTCGTTTTTACGTTTGTGAGAGACAAAAATCAATTAATTTTCATTACAGAGCAGTGAAACATGTGAATAAAATTTGTTATGCGTTTGCGAAATTCGGCGATTGTCACTATGGTGAAAGTTGTAAATTTTCCCATGATCCGAAGTTGTTAGCCAAGCAGCAATCGCTGCAACGTATAGTGCCTCAGTACAATGAAATGAAAAGCAGTGCACAAAAACCTTATATAAATGAAAGTATGTTGTACTTGTACTATTCATTAGTTAATAACTTCTTTAAATTCATTTTTTTGAATCGATTTTTTTGAATTCATCATAATCTGGAGTAGCATAATAAATTTATTACCAGTTAATGCTTAAAGTTTGAATTAAGTAATGCTTGCTGTGTGATTTGAAGTTCTTTGTGCTGCATTTATTCATATCGAACTATTTAATAATTTAGTTGAAAGTTCAAGCGCAACATGCCATCAGTTGGAGCAACGTTTAATTGAAATTCAGCGAGAACTTACAATGTTAGAGGAAGAGGGGAAGAAGGTTTGTATTGAATTCTTCACAACGGTTACCACTTCCTCTCATAAACATAATATGGGTCGGTAAAGCTTTTATAACATGATTTTCTACAATTGAAACAGAAAAATTGCAGCCAAAGTCTTCAGTCATTGTGCCTCGGAGAAGCCAATCGATTTTTGGTGGTAATTCGAGAGCTGCTATCAATGTCGGGGGTGATTTTATCGTAAAAATTGGAACATCATGTAATGATCGACAAGAAAACAAACGGAATAATTTTTATGAAGGTGAGATTCTAGATGCTTGTTATTTGACTGTACTAATAATTTTATTTTTCCTTTTCATTCGTTACTGCATAGATTAAGAAAATTTTGATAGTTGCATGCGTTGATTCAGATTAGCTATATTCTAATATAGTTATTCTATATAGAATAGCTATATTCTATATAGACAAACATGAATATATCGCTGAGGTAAATCTACTTCAGATAACAAAAGATTTTACTACGAAGGGTTTTTCTTGAGTCGCTTTATGATATGATACAATTCTATAAATACATCTAAAAAAAAATTTTCTAAAATTTCATTTGTGAATTAAACAGCCAAATATTTTTAAAATACTGTTTCTGCAGAATGCCTGATTTTAAATACTGCTTCATTTTATGCAAGTTACTTTAGTCCTCCTTGCATAATTTCAAACATATTTTCTGGGTTTTGCACTAAAAAACTTCATTTCGCCAGTGGAATTCGAACCGAATAGCGTTACAGTTATTCATATTTTTGATGTATTCTTTTTGAAGTTCGAAATTCACATGCCAAACACTGGATAACTTTTTTTGTTGTGTAAAGCTCACCCTCACATCTTTTAGAAATTTTAGGTTGTATCATTGTGGCGATCAAATTGTATTTCAGAAACACATCGAGACTTCGATAAAACGGAAGATAGTAATCGTAAAAGATTTAAAAAATCGAGCTTCCTGCCAGAAGAAAAGATGCTTGCTATTAGCGATGATGATAGTGAGGAAAATAGCAAAAGTGGAAGGAACGAAAAGCCCCTTAAATTGGACGATGTTATTGCCGATGAAATTTCAAGTTCTGATGATGAAGGTTTGGTTTCTATCTGGGCTTCTGTTCATAATGTATAGAAATTTCCACATAAGTTCTTGAAAATTTCTCATCCAGATGATGTTATTACAATTATCCTTATCGATCTCTAATTACTGCTATTGACTATCGTTTGCTTGACTACAAAATTTAAAGTGTTCTTGGTTGGTGTAATTGTTCCCGTAAATGCCCTTATTTCTTTTGACCGTTCACACTGTCCTTTCTTTACTATTCCGTGTTTTCAGTCAACAACATGTCAGATGTTTGTAATCATACGTTCATATATTCGTATATAAAACTTTTACATCGTACACTTTTGAAAAATAGTTTTGGGTAAAATATTTTACAGGGAATGCAGTGTCACCGATTAAAAAAGCGAAGATTCTAGTCACTGAAGAAATTTCTGATGATTCAGATGCGAAACAAAGTGAAGTAGGTTCACTCGTTGAAGAAGATGGTGAGCTGAGTTTAGTATCCGAAGACGAAGTGCGATGCGATCAAATTTCGGATGATGAGCATGATAATGGTTTGTTATAGTCATTCAGTTAAGAATTGCCAAAATGTGGGGGGGGGGGAAGTATTATAACAAAAGGGTTACGTATTTTCATTCTTTTATGAAGCAAAATGTTTCGAAAAATTGAAACGAAGTACTTTTTCATGTACGAGATGAGCACATAAAACTTGATTTTGAATTACAATTTTTTGAACTGACTTTTCTGTTTGTTAATGTATTATTTCATGTGCTTTATGTTTTGTCAATTACAGGAAGCGTTACTGAACCCCTGGATCTTACGTCGGTAATCGATCCGAAGCAATTAATCGATATCAGTGAAGATGAGCTGGTAGAAGAAGATGAGGGTGCTAGTACAAGGTACATTTATTATAAACATCAATTTATCAGTATGCGTTTAAGTTTGTGAAGAAGAGTAAAAAAGCAGAATTTAACTCTTTTACAAACTTACATGGCGGCTCGATTGTCCTTTAGTGCGGTATTATGTTTATTTGAAATGCAAAAAAAAAGTTCAGTTGGGACAAGCGTCATAGTTTATAATAGTTTGAAATTTTTTTATCAAGTAATAAATGGTACGGTTAATTTCGCGATTTATCATACTTGATTTATCATACTTTATCATACTTTCAACTCACTATGCATTTCGTTAGAAATCCATTCCATTTTACACTGAAAGCTATTGGTTAAATGTGTAAATATTTGTCTTATTTTCATTCCGCATTTACCTATTATTTTTTCAGCCAAAAACCGAAATCTTTACGTGATAGGCTTTGTTTCCCCCATGTTTTTGACGACGACATTCTTGTCCTCGATTGTCTTTCTGAAAAGTTTGTCGATGAAGTACGATCTGAAGGTTTTAACGGTAACTCTTCATAAATTGTTTATTATTCTTGGGGCGGCATATGAAATCTTTTGATTCAAAATTTACATTTTGTTTAGTGACAGCATCGAAGCAATCGAAAAAACTGGAGTTGTACGAATCTCTACATGGAGATCATCACTTATCCAGTTTAGAACAGAGGAGACATATAGAAGAGTATTTGAAATCGACGTTGTTGCTGCAACAGATGGTTTGTTATGTTGAATAATACACTGCAGACTTACAAGAAGCGAAACATTTAGGAATAGCAAAATGTGTTTGGATAGATAAAAAGATAAAAGAAAATAAAAAGGCTGTGAAGTACATCTGTGTTGGATAACACATTTCAGGACGGTAGTATTAATAATAAACCAGCATACTCAGAACTGTTGGAGGAGTCCAGACAACTCTGTTACGGTCGAGGAAATCAATTCATCTAAAGATCAGTGCATCTTGGAAGTTATCAATGTACCGTTTTGAAAGGCATGTGCTGATCAAAAGATTAATACTGTTTCGTTTTGCATTTTTCTGAAAATTGTTTTATCTCGTGTGGTGTAAATTGGTTTGCTTGCTTGTGCCATGTTATATTCATAGAAAATGGCAACTGAATCCACTTGAATACTTCCTTTATTGTCCAAAATCAAATACAGCTGTCACTGCTTTCTTGTTTTTTTATTTAAAGCATTTATTCTACGTTAATTTCAACGAAGGAAATTTCCTCAGAGCACATATGATTGATAAATGAAGTGCTTTCCATTTTATATTTCATTTGTTATATGGACTCGGTGTAATGGGCTCTTGTAATTTCTAATAGCGATTTTCAATCTATGAATTTGCTTACCACATATAGGTCACTGTAGGCTTAAGAAACATTCGAATAATAAATATAAGTGGACATTTTCGAGTCATCATTTTGCAGACGTTTGAAACAAGTATTGTTACTTGTTAATTTTTGTTTCATTTGATAAGTACTTTTAGTTAAATTTATTAACTTAATGGGTTTTGATAAGTTGATTTAGAATGCAACAGTATTATAAATTCGAAATTTATAAAAAAAAAATTTTAAAACCAAATTAGGGATTAAAGACAGTGTAGAATGTGTTGTTTCAATGAAAAAGAGTTGTTGCTATTCCGATTTTGAAACATTAATCTCTGAAGTTGTTTAGGGTTTTGCTGCGAAAGCCATGGTGGAAATTTGGGACGGTAAGTGTTTTCCTTCCTAATCGCTATCAGAAAGTCAGATAAGTGACTCCTACAACAATGATTTTTGCTTGGTCCGATCAAGTTTAAGTTTTTCTAATTTTCCACGGTTTCAGATGTAATCTATAGTGGGGTATTCAGGTTTTACTTTCGAAATATAACTTATAAGCTGCATAATTAATGCCGTTTTCAGATCTCCGACGTCGCGCTCGCACACTTGAGAATCATATTGATGTGAAATTAGTAGTCCTAAACAAATTGGCTTCTGGCACGTCAGGTAAAGCTACGAATCTTTATTGCTAATTTGTTTTTGAGGTTTTTGGCTGAGTTAAAACAAAGGTTTTTGGTTGAATTAGTGAAACTTATCTCCTCCATGCAAAGCCACTCATACTTTATGTTATTTTCGGCACATTATTTGTTTCAGGCCGATATGAATCACTGTTAAATGACAAAGCAACTGTCAGCAGTAAGCAGGAAGTATTCGATTCGTTGTCGGCAGAAATAGAAAGTATGATTGCCAAGCTTACGCAGATTGACGATCAAGTAGGCATTACCTTCTTTTTTTCGTTTCTCATATTGAAAAAATTGGGATTCACTTTTTTTTTAAATCTATTAAATCTTGATTGTGGTGGTTAGCGCTGTAAGAATAATTCCGTGCTATATTGCCCATGAATTTTTCTATTTCCATATTGATGACATATAGAGTGCTCAGCGGAAAAGTTACCGCTAAAAGTGTGTCTTTTGCAAGTTAGGGAATTGTTTTATTTGTTGATGAAATTTGCTATTGAAAAATGAATTTTGTTATTGATTTAAAGACCAAAGATATCCCTTCTCAGTAAAATTTTCAAATGAGCAAATAAAATACAATTTCAGATGACGGAATATTTAGTGAAGTGTCAAGCAAATTCAAGAACTGGTGCATGGGCATTTGGTCCAGCATTACAGCACACACTTAGAAGGCATCGTGAAATACTGCGTGATTACTGTACGGAATATAATAGATCACATGATAATATAAGAAATCAGTTGCAAAGGTATGTGTTATTTCTTACTTTTTACAGACCTTTTTTCGCTACCTTTTTGAGATATTTTTTATGGTCTGTCTTCTTTCTTGTCTTCTAGTATGTTTTTCAAGCACGCTGTTTATTAGCTTGAGTTTTTGTTGCATCCACAGATGACACCAATATTTTTGCCCGATTATTTCAGGGAAAGTCTGTTAAGTGGAAGTTCAAACGAGAGCTCATATCTCAATAATCGTTCAAAATCAAGTGATATGTATTTAAAAGAGAATGAACATATATCAAACTGCGATCATCTTTTAGATGAACAAATTAGGTAACTCAAGGTTTTATTTCTTGATCTTTTCTTCCCTGTAACACTGAAATAATAAACAAACATGCAGTTGTATGCTTATCCATCTCCGAACTTGAAGATTAGCATTGGAACAATCAATAACTTTTTCAATAAATAGTCAATAAATATTCAATAACTTTTCCTTTAGTTTAAGGAAAGAGAAAGTCATTAAAATGATTATTTATCACTCATGCTTTCTTTAAATTCTTTATCCTCTTTATTTGTATTAGAGTTGCTACTGATTGAAAACATTTTCAGCATCGCAATATCGGCGAAAGAGCATGTCCATAACCAGCGGGTGAGCCTGCGAGACATTAGTAAGAAAATGAACGCATTAGCCAGTAAGTCTCTCCACAAATTATTCTTACTGATGTTCATTTATAATTATAAAGTTCATCTTGAGCTTTTATTGAAGGTCCCAATCGTTAGTTGATAAAGCACTTATGTGAGAAATCGCTGAATATTTCAATACATTGTATAGTTTAATGAATTCCGAATATTCTGTTCACTTTCAATTATATGGATTTAGCAAAAAAAAATCAAACTCCATATAAATATATCAGTTAATCAGAAAATCTTAACAAAAAATATTTTTTGCAGATAAAATATACAATTACTTATTCATTTGAGAACAATGAGAATAAAAAAGTACAGAGAAAAAATATTGCAGAGAAATACCCACTACTGAATAGCGTGATGCAGAAAATGCAGGTGAGGAAACGACGAGATTCAGTCATAATGGCAGTGGTGATATCGGCTTGCCTCATTTTAATGTATATATATGTAGTACGTATGTAACTTACAGATCATTTGCCATAAAATCGTTTTGGTGAATACATCAAGCTCTCAGATTTAAAGAATCTTCATATTTAGGATTTTGTCTACCAATGTGGCCCTAATGAATTAGTTGTTTTGTGCCTTGATTGGTCTTTCTTCCTACAAGAATTTCAACTACCTTTTTTCGGGACTTCTGCCAATGATTACATTTTTCCCGCCAATTTGTTCACTATTGCAATTTCGAGGTATCTGCAGTTTAATTAGTTGATGGACTACATGCAGTTGATGCCATGATTTTCAGAACTTGTGCTCAACTCATAGCAGTGCCAATATAGCTTGACAAGCTGCACTCATAACCAAGAGTACCAATGATTGAAATAACCGCAAACCTATGTCTCTTTTTAGAACGTATCACTTATGGTTCTGGTATAAAAGATTTTGGTATAGTTTCTTTTACCTGCAATAACAATCCCGTACCACTCTCAATTTGTACAAAATACAATAATATGTACAGAAATATCTCAGAGGATATGTTGCGAAAGAAATAAAAAGCAGTAACTTTTCTTTATACCATCAAAAAAACAGCAGACAGGAGTGAAAATTATATATCTGCTATTTACTGCAAGCAGAATTTGTAGCTTCTGAAATTAAGCGTTCGAAAATGATTTGAATTTTCCACATCCCAGAACTATTCTTCAATTTTACCCTAAGCTCAAATGGTTAACTTCTCCCCCATGAAGTTCTATCTACTATTAGATTATTAGATACCGTTTCTCAGTCACCGATTCATCTCATACGTATAAATAACTAAACTCAAAATATGCAATAAAATCATTTATTACAGATCCATTGTACAAGACTTAATCCAAGTTACGTAGTTTTGCAATCCAACCAGCCAACCCAAAATTTGGAAATACCGTAGTAACTACTTTTGCATCAAATATCGACACAAGATCCACTGAGATAGTGCCGCGACAACCAATGCAGAAATGAAGCACATTATTATAAAATTGATACATTGCTTATGTTCATTTAGCATATAATTTATTACATAATCAATGGTCGGCTTATTCTCGCTGCATCTAAAAATACAAGCCATCTACGTCCGAAGCAATTAGGATAGTGAACTGTTCGAAGTGACAGCAACACTTCTTTCATATAAACTTGTCTTCTGAACTTCGCCCAGATCAAAATCAAGACTGAATAGTAAGTTCTTCCGGTCACGGTACAAATAAACAGGAAGAGTAATACTGTTTGAGGGACTTGCTTCGCGGAACCATGACAGCGTAACATTTTCTAAATCCGTGCTGACCTCGTCCACAATCTCTAATTTATTTTTTTTCTTGCACACCGCACCCATCAATCGAAGACCTAATAAAATAAATGATGAAAATCCATGAAAATATATCAAAGAGTTCAGAGATCAGATTTTGTCAAATTTCATACAATTCCGCTAAAGCTGAAGTATGAAACTTGACAAAACTAAAGTACAGAAAAAATGCAATACCTTCAATTTTAAATGTATCGGGACGATCATCCGTCGTGCCTACTTCAATATGCATACGTAATTCTTCTAAAGACCACTGATTTGACTGTGCTACCGTCTGTCTTGTAGCGGTAATATATGCTTCTGGTGCAAACAACCCGCCCAACCAAACGCTTTCTTTCTGAAAAAATTCGAAATATGAAAATCTGGACAAAAACTGCTTTGAAATTGGGATACCTGTAAAAATCTACATGCTGCTATGTTAAAAAGAAACCTTCAGCGAAGCAGATCCAGCCAATCTGATAAGCTGTTGCACTCTTTCAGTGAAGTCATGAATCCACGCCATAACAGTAACAACTTTAGGAACAGTGTAGCGTAACCAATCAGTTGGTACGAGACCTTTATTCAGTGCTAGTGTTAACGCACGAGTATGGTTACTCTGTTTTCGTTCACCTCTGCAAACTGACTGTACCTGAAAAGAAAAGTAAATAGTATTTGCTGACAGCTGTAATTTGCTAGGTATGAAAAAATTCTCCAGTAACTTCAAGATTACGTCGATCGATTAAAATCTAATTCTCAAAAACTCGTTAGAGGGACTTACCTCTATCAGATCGCTTCTCACACTTGCCAATAAATGAGTGCCATGATTAACTTCCCGCTCAAAGAAGCGAAAGAGTGGATCCTTGATGTTTTCCATTGAACGCTTCAGTTTGGGAACGTTCTGAAATAATAATTAAAAAACTGCAAGGAACATATCATAAATATAAAGTACAGATTTAAAATTACCTTTGGAAGCAACTTGAGCCACTGAGAGCTTTGTTCTGCAAGAACACTCATCCACGGTGGAGACTGAGTTTTTTGATCATCACCGGTGAATGCCAACTCCTCATCAGACACTTTCAGCAGATTGGCAAGCATAGTTTCACCTAAGCATTCATCAGATATATATCTGTGAAAAGCATTTAACACTGTAACAAACCCAACATTAAATTCAAAAACGATTTAAACATTAATACCTCTTACTGTCAGTAATACTTTCTCGGCATTATTTGGTAAACCAAGCCAATACGGTAACTGTAAATACGGCATTTTTTCAGCCCAGTGAATAAGATGCTCACGCGAATTACCATCCGGTATGCAAAGATCAGTTCCTTTACCATCAATATTACTAATAAGAACACGATCAGCGTCAAAAGATTTAGCTGTGAAAAGCTTCTCAAGGAAACAATCAAGCAGAATCTGCAATTATAATAATATTTCACCGAAAGGGTAAATGCGTAAAAAACCTAATGTAATGAATGATATATAGAACCGTCTAAAAAGTAAAATTAATGAAAATCTAAATGCTAAATTAACGTTTTCGTAACAGTGAAAAGCTGATCACATTGATCAAAGGATCAAGAATATATCAATTAGCATGCAGACCGTTTACATGATGAGAAACTCATTCTACCGCGTCCAATTGCAACGTTTATCCTATAGGCAGCTTCATCAGAAGTAGCAACATTTAAAAAAAACAGTGAAATAATCAATTTCCAATTTAGTAAAAATCGATACTTGGTCAAATCCGTTATCAATTTTGCCACCGTAAATGCATTGTGATAATAGGCATCGAAGTGTATGCCATGGCAGCTTCTCAGGTGAAACATTGGCACGCCCCATAGCGACTGCATCAACCGATGCATCTAACGTATCGCAAGCTACGCGCAAATCAGCATCAGAGAATTCATACGAATTCGCCCATCCAAGTGGAATATAGCGCATTCGCTCTTGAACAATCGCATGCAACCAACACATAAGAAAGTACAGGCGTGATCGTTCAACTGGCGGTTTCTTGATTCGCTGCGGCGCTAGTGAATTCAGTGAACGAAGTAAATTGGCCTAAACGACAGTAATTAACAAACATGTGCATCCATTTCAGCATTCTAAATAACCGCCAGAATAGGAAAAAATTCTATTAAATAGATGTAATAAAATTTACTTTGAGGCCAGTAGCCGGTTCATATACAACAATACGTGATGCACGCAACACCTGTGGTGGTAGTTTGGGATGAATTTCAGCAGTCAATAGCAAACGGAATTGTGGATGAGGTTTCAAGGAATGTAAACGTTTTTCAAGCTGAGCCAACCAAGATGGTGCCAAGTGTACGTTTTTCAACAAAATCCACCTTCCTGACTTGGAAGCTGAATTTAATACTGCATCCGCTTGAGAGAAACCTTCGGCAGAACCTGAAAAAATTTTCTTGTCAAGTTTATCAGCAAAGAAATAAGTCACAGAAGAAAAATGATTTGTAAGAACTAACCAATTGCAATTGGAGTAACATCACGACCCATTTCGACAGCTAAATCTTGAACTTTACCAGATGCATCGAAACCAATAGCAGAGGACAATAAAATCGGACGGTTTGCATTAACCTAAAAATATTGGTTATTTTAGGTATCAAAAACGATGAATTCTGCGAGTGAATATATGCAACAGTAAATTGCACATTGCTTCATATAACCATAAATAACAGAAACGATAATTAAACTGGATTACTTCGTTTTCGACAATTTCACGCAGGTTCACTACTTTGTCTTCTTGCATGAATTCATTACCGAAAGCTGCAGCAACAAGATGATGAGAAGAAGCCAAAAGGCGATCTGGTCGAAGAGCATGAATCACGAGCAGTTCATTAATGCAACGCCCAATTTTCGCTTTAAAAGAATGAAATTCTTCGATTAATCAAATTATAAAACGAGACATGCAAAAATATTGATCTCTCAGATTTCGACAATTACAAGAAACGAAGTGGTCAGAAATTTTAATGGAATATGTCTTTGCATCTTAAAATACTGAAGACGAACTTACTCAGTTTATCGTCATCATCCCAAATTATTGGTACATTAAGCTCTGGATTATCGAGTACGACCCAATTTCCAAAGTCTAAACTCGAAGAGACTTTTTTAATAACATTTGTAAAAGCAGGTAAACGAGATAACTGGAACAGTGATGTCATTTGTTGCGTATTGAGGCCGTGCAGTGACTCAGCACCCTCTGCTTGTTTTTGGCCAATGAAAATCTCAGAACGGCCAAGTAAATGATCGAACTGAAAGAATGATAGAAAACTATTATTTCACTCAACTGTATATTTTTATAATTCAAAGTCTTTCAGCCAGGAAGTAAACATGAGAATAACTGAAACTCAAAAAATAAAACACTTTCTATATTATGCATCTTAAAAAGATACAAGACATAAAAGAATTAATAATAAGTGGAAATCAAACCTCCAACTGATATGAACGTTCATCTGTGTTGCCTTTCAACGCAATACGCATGAGCAACAACGCCAACAGTACCTTATCTTGGTGTAACATACCCAAAGAAACACGTCGATAAACCATCTAAAGAAAAAATTAAAAACAGTTAGCTTAAATTTTTGACGACAAAATAATTTATTTGTGACATTACAAGAAAGTCCCACCTGGAACAAGTTCGACATTATGATTTTAAGCCGTTGTTCATAATCAGTGATGGATTTAAGTTGCGGTGTAACTAGAACTGCCAAAAATATCTCAAGCAGAAAGTCTAGCGAATACTGATAGAGAAAGTGGAATTCGTTAAGCTGTTGAAGCATCAAATATATCAGTGAACAAGCCTGGGCCAGACGTGAATAATGTTGAGATACGGCTTCGACCTGCAAAACATCACAACTGAAAATCCAAGACTATTTAAATTAATTCACGTTTCATTTAAAGGATAATGCGATTATGAGATAATCACGATTTCGAAAAGTCACATTCGGAAATGTGAAACCGTTTCATCTAATTCAAAAAATTGAACTCAATTCAAAATGTTTTACCTCAGCCATAACTTTGTCTGTTTCAGCCGCTTTACGACCAACTTCAGCGGCTTCATTTTTCAATTTCTCAAGAGTAGATATAACAGAATCGTCATCCAATATTTTGCCCTTACTTTCATTGAGCGCTGCCAACAGTGCCTGCAAATAAACAGGATTATCAACTTCTAGGAACAAATCTAGCAATAAGTTCATCTTTGAGCGAAACTCTTAGTAGGGAAATGAATCAAAATAGGATAATTTCAATAAACCTTTTCCAATTGCCTTAGTCGCACAGCGAATTCTCCTTGTAGCTTTAATAAATCATTGCGTTTTTCATCCACATCCGGTCGTTCACTTCTTAGCACCTGATTTAAGCACTGCATCTCAAGCGATGCACGTGTTACCGTGAAATTAACAAAAGTAACTCTTGAGCATAGATCGGGTGCAAACTCAACCTAAATTAAACAAAATATAAATCATATAGCATTTCAGTTCAAAATCTGCAGCAAAATTATCGAAAAACAAACCGAAGCATCTCGAGTAATTAGAAATATCTGGAACGATGGAGACAAATCGATATCTTGATCACCCAATCTAATCAAAATACGACCACCTGTTCTTTTCACCTCACGATTCAAAACTGGATTCAAGATTGGATCATAACTTTCGACATCTTGAACAAGAAGTGAGTTTCCAAATCGTAAGGCTGATTCCAGATTTTTTCTAAAATTAATGCAAGGCACCAGATTAATTAAATTATGATACTGAAATGTATAGTACTAGTGATGCTCAATTTATAACTTGCCGTGAGAATATGCTCAATTTCATAAACACATCATAATTTAATATATAACAAGATAATTTTACGAGCATATAACAACCAAAAGTACCACACCTCAATGAAATGGATGAGGATTCTATTTTTATTAAAAATATACTATAAAAGCACAACAGTCACCTATAATCCCAGTTTTATTCAATAAATCAGCATAAAAAACTAACATTTAACCAGTGTTACAATTTTCACCAGAAACGACAGGATGTAATTAACTACTTTACAAACTTCAAAATGTATTAGAGTAATAAGTAACCTGAATGAATCATCCAAGAAGCTTGTTTTTGTGATGTTCTTTACAGCAAACTGTTTCATTAAATAATTAATTGCTTGCCCTGATGGATCAATGATAAGTGGATATCGATTAAATCTGAAAATGTCATCTACAGTACATTACCATACTAGGTTGTAAGTTATATATAATATATATTTGCAATAACAAAATTTTTACTTCCTGAATGATTTTAATAAATGTTATAGAATAACCTATGAAGCATGATTGCATTCTCGGCACAAAGATCATCAACCGGTAAACCATTTTTATTCCATTCGAGACGCTCATCAACTGATGAAAGATATTCTACACGGGCCAAATCTGTGCGATATTTTATGTCTGCTTGCTCAACAAAAGACGTCCAGCGATGGAGAAGAAGATCGCGCAACTGTTGGTCATAGTAGCTGAATTATAAGATCTAATTTCGCAGAAAATTTCATGAATTTATGAAATTAGTGAAAAAATTTATTTTTTTACCCGGAATAAGCTAAAAACGCAGCGCTCAGCAATGCGTCACCAATAAGCGAATCCATCTGTTGACTGAAACCATCGCAACTGCCATTCCAACGATCTCTTTCAGAGCCAAGGCTTCCCAAAAGCTGCGTACTGCGACCAACCTGAAATGATATTCATGAATTCAGTTAAGAAAGTAGTAAAACAATAAAGACCACAATAATAAAAATGAACAAGAAATAAAAGTCAAAGATCTAAATTTTTAGAAATAAAATAGTCAACAAGAAAAGCAACTTCCATTTTCAGTAATGTTTACTACTACTGAAACGAATCAATCACATAAAAATCAGCTTCTTCCAATTTTCCATATAAAGTTATGAGCAAATGGTAAATGGTGAGTTTGAATATATTGGTGCATCTACAACACATGAATCAAACCTTCTCCTTCACGGTTGCTAGATCCGCCTTAATTGCTTCTGCCTGACCAATCAATTGCGCATATTCTTCTTTGTATGCAGCAATACTCTGCTCTAATTTTCCAATTGTCTTTTTCAAATCTTCGCCCTTCGCTGTTTTGACTTTTGCGTCTTTTTCTAACCGTTCCAATTCATTTCTCAATGGCTCTACTTTTCGTAACATATCCGAATATAAAAGCTGCGCCTTCATCCACTTGATCATTGGACCGCAAGCTGATGAAGCACGATTTACCTGAATGAGTGAATAAGATCGTTCTCAGTTTTAAAGGGATTTTGATTTCTAGAACATTAACGATCCAAACTATGAAAGCAAAGTTTGCAAACCTTATCGAAATCCCAATCAGGATTACGAATATACTTCTCCATCATCTTCAGAGTTTCTGAAGAAATACTATCTGTGTCGAAATTCAGAATTCTTGGCATGAAGTCATCTTTCACCATAACGCCACGTATAGCTTTCCAATCCATTCCAACATTCTAAACAGGAAGTGGGAGTACAACGCAAATCACAAAAAAAATCAAGAGAAGAAATCCAATTTTAAGCGAGCAAACCTCTCCAAGTAGCAAACATATTGATTCAAGGGCTAAGCGCACAGGTTGTGGCGGTGCAGCCATCGAACGAACTTCGATAAGTTGACCTTTTTTGATGCCTTTCACAGCTTGTTTTGCCTCCTCTACAGCTGGCTCAACCTAACAAAAAGATAAAGACTTCAATGGACTTTAAATTTAATTCTTTTAAATATGCTTTGAAACTTTCTGAGCAAAAAGCTTGTGAAAATCTTCGATATGATTCATTATTAAAATACTAAAAATTTTGTTACCTGCGCCAGATCTTCCTGTACCTCAGCACGTTTTTTTTCAATCTCAATAAGTGACTCAGCAAGCTCCTTTTGTAACTGCTCACTAGCCAACTTCTCCTTCTCTGCACGCTGCTGATCAGCAAGCATTTCCTGCAAAGATGCTTTTAAGATAAGTTAGCGAATTGTACAAACTTATCAAAAAAACAATAATCAATTAAAAAAAATTTTTTTTGGCTGAATTACCTTTAGCTTAGCATTAGCTGCAGCTTTTTTCGTTTCCAATTCGCTGCTCTTCAGTGTTAATGATTTCTGCAGTTCCAAAACCTGTTCTTCAGTCTCTCTGATCTAAAAGGTATGAATTAAACCAATGATGAATTAAAACACAAACAGTGAAAAATTTTAGAATTTTAAATGAAGTAACCTTGTTTAAACCAATATTTAGATGCAATTTTTCTTCTTCTAAATCACGCCTCTTCTCATGAAAAACGTTGATATAGTGTTTGATAAAGTCGAGAAAATGTCTTGGAGTTAGTGCCATCACTCTATGGCCACGTTTGGCCTCGTTTTCGTTCACCTGAAATATGTATAAGAAATATGATGCTAAAATATGTTTTTTTAAGATGAAAATTTAACATACTCGTTATGTATCAAAATAAAATACTAACCTTTCTCACAGAATTATGAACATGAACGAAAGTGTTAATAACAGCATGACGATACTGTACAGGAGACGGAAGAAGATCGCATACTGCTGGAAGAGCAAGCGGTGCCTGGTACTCTGGGCGAGCCATATCAAGCGTATTTGTCAATTCCATACCAACCTATGCTTCCATTTAAAAACTTCGTTAACTCTTGCAACTAACTGTGTAATTAAATTAGTGACGTCGCTGATAGAACAGATTTGTAAAATATGGTATTATTACTTGATAAAGTGCAGAATCTGTCCAATCACCAAACCAATTCAGCACACATCGATTGAACAAAGCCGGAGAAGTTGAAGACCGTTCTCGAAGTCCTTCACCAGAGGGATTCATCGTAAATACCACGTGAAGATTTCGCATTACCTGAACGATTTAAAGACGAAACTTAATAAAATTAAAGAAATTACCACAGAAAACAAATTATATGTAAATATACTTGTGCTGTAAACCACTTATACAATTCGTCAGGTGAATCAAGCATAAGTCCTTGACGATGAGCATCCTCCTTAATTTGACTCATAAGTGTCGTGTAATCATCACCTTCGAATAAACCTGGTACCTAAAGAAGACTTTTTTAAAACTAAATCAAGGTATAGAGAACTATAGCTTTCAAAAACGGATAGAAATAACATTCCAACAGTCCGGTCATTATTTAATGACCAAATTCAACAAAATTACTTCTCCGTTGGCGAGTAGAGTGTTCAGGCGCTCTAGAAAACCGGTATCAAGCATATTTGATTCATCCATAATGAAGCACACTTTCTCATTGCGACAACCGGTGCGACGTAACACTGTTCGTATATCCTCGTCGAAATCGGTCGCTGTATACTTCGAATGAACTTTCAACTGGGAAAATCAGATAATGTAAATATTAGTAATGTGTACTTCACGAATTATTTTACTATTCTAACCTCTTTACTTTAGTGAAGTTATATCACTCATGTAATCATGAACAGAGAATGGAATTAACAGACAATTACTATGTCTTCATAAAAATCAAAAGAGAAACTAAATAACCTGAAAGACGGACAACCCATTAATCCATGCTACAAATCTAGACAATGTTGTTTTGCCTGATCCGGAAGTACCAATCAAAAGAAGATGGCCCTGTGGCTGACGATAAATACGATCAATACGTAATACGTGGTCAAGCATTTGATCGAATAGCACTAATTGAACATCAAGCTCTTCTTCATAGAAACTTCTCAAACGTGCCGTAACATATTCTTTCAACTGTTCTTTCGACACCGGTAAATAATGTTTCGTTAACCTAAAATAACAGTAAAATAAAAACATAAAATTATGACATATTTTCTACAAACAAAAATAAGTTTTTTTTATGTCTCCAATTGGAAATGTTTAAGGACTAAATTAAAAGACTTACCAACATGAATAAAGCATAGGTCTTTCCAGAGCCTGTTTCAGATCACAAGAAGCGCTAAAGTACTTTTCAGCGGTGGTATCAAGTAAGTGATCGGTCCATTCACGTTCATCGTCACGGACAAGTCGGTCTTGGAAAAGACGCAACGCTTCATGTGCCCACAATCTAACCAGCGCCTCTGGACTAACGCTATCAAGTGGGCTGATCGCTTCGCTGATAGCTCGCACCCATCGTGTTAATTCACGAGGGGAGTAAATATAATGGGGCTGATCGTCTTGTGTAAAATGCTCCTTGAAAAAATTGAAAAATTCAAAGCATACATTTGAAAATCTACTACTCAAAAATAAATAGAATTATTTGTTTTACAAGATATCGAGTTTATAAAATCTAACCGAATGTTTCAAATAATCTAAAAAAGAAATGGTACAAATTGTAAGCTTACTTGAGACTGTAGATAGAAATCAACCATTGCATTTGTCAGAGGGTCTGCGAAGCTACGTATCGAGGGAGCCATACGCAACATTGCCCGATTGAAAGTTCCATAAATTTGTAGAAGCGATGTTTGGCCAGGATAATCGACGTAAACCACTGGAACATGGCGCAAAAAGCGCAACGAAAGTGGATGTCTTCCAGGATCAGTAGGCGGATTGCAAGCACCAACAAATTGGATGCGTTCCAAAAATACCCATGTTTGGTCAGACGTACGATAGAAACCATTCTAAACATCTGTGTTTAGGTGCATCTATAACTCCGCTTCTTCATTAATATGTTTCTAAATATATTTACCATTTCGACGAGCTGGCGCAAAAACGAAATAACACGCTGTGTGCCATATTTGTCAGGTGACGGTAGATTGATCTCATCGCAGAATATGACCAGCCATCTCGAAATCTGTACTGGTGAGAGAACGACACCGTTCGGTGTGCGGCGATATTCGCAATAATGATCAAATGTGCGCATCAATAACTCAGGAGTGGTGGATGACGAGAAATTAACGTTTACAACATCCATATCCTGACAGAAACCAATAAATTCCAGACGACCGAAAATAGGAAATTGTTTTTAGATTTATGTCTTTTAGTAACATTTACTTAAAGCTTAAATATTTTTGGTTTCTCATATCTAATATTTACATATAGTTTTCCTCAACGAATGCCACATTTGTTTTCGATATTTATAAGGACCTCTCCAAATTAGTTAATGCTTAAAGACAATATCAATTCATTAATGATATAACAAAATATAAATTGAATGATAACCTGCAACGAACGAAGAGCAGAAAGAAGAGTCATTGTTTTTCCAGAACCTGGTGGACCACAAAGTACCAATGGTTTGTGCTCCGAAAGCCAAGTATTCAGAAGCATTTCATGCCGCATAGTATCTATTGTAGGTATAACTAAATCAGCAGCTGCAACACGATGTGTTTCCACTTCCATCTGCGGCACTTTAGAAACCCATTGTACCCACTCTCCGGATAATGCTGCTTCGTAGTCAATGATTGGTAACTAGAAAAAAAGAAACAACAATAAAATAATTGTATTGGCGGAGCATCTTCCTAAAGCAAGAACAGTATATTTATCAAAGTTCATATATACAAAGGTTTCTGTCTTTGCATTCATAATAAAATCAAAGAAATGAAGACTGCAACAGTTTAATAAGTTGATTAAAAAATTTTAAACTTGAAATTACCGTAGTATTTGGTGGCAAAGAAAGGGTGGACGACTGATGTATAAAATCGCTCAATTGCTGACGAGATTTCCATTTGCCGTCACCACTAAATGCCCATACGATGTTCACAAGCATGGAACGTGATATATAAGCTTCAATTTGCTCATCCTGAAACAGTGCTCTTTGAAATATCTGAAATTCATCTGGCCTAACAGAAAACCTGATCCGCAATAATTCTAAATCAACAGAAAAATCAAGTTAAGAAAGTAATTAGATATTACTGTCATAGGGAAATCAGGATGAGCGTTGTCGTAGTTGATGAGCTGTCGAACAGCGTAATTCATCATTGAAAAAAATGAAGATATCATTCTCTGCTGAGTTGGTATCATGATATGATCAAGTTCTGTTAGCGCATATTTCAAAGTCAATGGAACAAGCGCATCGGCACTCATATGTTGTGTTAAATAATGGGCACATTTTCGTTGCAAATTCATTATGCGTTCAGCTTCTTGTGTCATTGAGCCTTCTTTTGATCCATTCAAAGACAATAAATCAATCTTCAATTTGATTTGAATAAAAAAAAAATCTCACAGACTTCACACCCACTTTCACTCACAAAGTTCCCTATGTCAACACTCACAAAACTTCTGCCCTTGCGTTTTTGAAAAATAATTAGAACCATTCAACAGAAAATAGTAATTGATATTATAGGGAAACAACAGAAAAAATTAACCGATTGCTCAATATCAAGACGAACGTTTCTCAAACGTTTCAAGAAATTATCGAACAACATCTCACACGTAATCAATTCTTCGCTAAACCAAACCATACCACACCGAGATACTGTTGCTAGTGTAGCGTACTTCAAGTCCGCAACTTCGAAGATTATACGAACCTTAATTTCACGATTTCATGTTATATTCCAGGCAGCATTTGTTGCAATAACAGCATGAAAACAGTTACCAATCTTTGATAATTATTAATAGTTCGTGATAAAAGCAAAAAATGAGTTGCAAAGTTAGACAGTTATAGCAACCGCAGCAAACTGACATTTGATGGTATCCCAAGGCGTTCACCGTTCGGTAGCGTAAGCAATTTGTTATCATCAAGTACAGAGTTTAAATTTTCAACCCATTCAGGATCAACATCACCATCGAATATTATCCACTGACGTTTTGATGTCTCACCTCGCACGTTATCAATAATTCTACGAATAATATGCGTAAAAAGACCATCGGTCCATTCACGTGTATTTGGATCAAGAACACCATATAAAGCGTCCTTGCTCATCGCCTTCAATTTTAATTTAGGATTTAATATTATAAAGAATCTGTAGCTGTATAAAATGTATAGTTAGGAAATGAACTATAAATCTGGATTTGATTAATAGATAACAAAGAATTTGCAGCAAACCTTGGCATCAATGACGTATGCAACACCTTCTACTCCTTCAAGGCGCTCTAGTGCTTTCAACAACACTCTCCATGCGGTTGTTTTACCACTACCACTGGCACCGACGAGCATCAAACCGTGATTTAAATTCGTAATCTGATACAACTGCAACACCTTTTCTAGCCATGCTGAGCCGAGCTCACCAGGTGTTGATGATTGGCAGAGAAGTAATTGATCGCATACTTTCGCGATTTCATTTCGGAGTCTGCAAAACATTAGTAATTTCGGAATATAAGAAAATAAACTATTTGAACATCTGAAAAATTTTTTTACCCATCCATCTGGCTTGGTTTGTATTGTATCGAAGGAAAAACGTCAGAAAGTAGAGAAAAGAGCAAAGCTATATCTTCTGATACAAGTTTTGGTACCAGCGTTTCACATACAGATTGTATCAGGATTTGTTGTTCGGATACTTCACTTGAAATATCACTTTCGCCTATCTAAAATATAGAACTTTCAAGTTTTTCATTTAACAATATTTTACATCAAATTCAGCTAATTCCAAGAGAAAAACACCTACATCGCTCCGATTTTCAATCATACGTTGAATTTCATCTCGTTTAATGTTGCCAGCACTCACAAGCACATACTTCAAAGCCCGAAGACCGAAATCGTAGTGGCACTGATCCGACAACTGCTCTTTGCATAATCTAAGAAAGTACTGATATATTAATTTGTCCTTTTTCGAAAAAATCTACTTTATGTAGAAAACAACTATATTCATTTACAGAATAGACTGAATATCTCTAAATTACAAAGTAATTTCAATATTTACATGAACAGCGGTACAATCTTTTTTGCGAGCTTTTCAGCCGTTCTGAAACCTTGCGAGAAAAGCATCACTTGGGCAATAAGTTGTCGATCTGGTTGTGTCATGGCCAGTGAACGGAAAAGCTACAAAAATGTAAAATGTAATGACAACAAAGACAACACTTTCTGGATTAGGTACCTTATTAGTCAACTCGATACTGTCAAACAATGGCAATGTACTTTTCAAAATAGATTTCACTATTCGGTTTGATATAAATCATGTCAAGTTAAAAACAGAGTAAAAAACAAATCAAAATGCTAACCTGCTTTAAATTATCTGGCAAATTAGAACGACCTGAATAACCTGGATTCATGGTAATGAATATTGCCATGTTTGAATTTACTGATAATGTTTTTCCAACCAAGTCAACCTAAATAATATTGCTCGAATTCTTCCTTTAAAAATGTAGCGTAAACTCCAAAAAAAAAACAAAACAAATGCATGATCAAATTACCTGCATTTGTCCACCACTCCGAACAGCTTCTTGAATAGTCTGAATCTGTTGACTAACAGCTGATAGCATACGTTCTTCAAGACGATTAAATTCATCGAAACAACCCCATGCGCCCACTTGACATAAACCTACCAAAATTCGCCCCATTGCCTGAAAGATAAAGGCTTATGAATCCAAATTCGATAATTCAAACACTAAATCGAAAAACTGAATGAACCTGAAAATCGAATGTTTCATCGCAGTTGAATACGAGCACAAAACGACCAATTTTGTGGCCCAGTGCTTTAACGCTTTCAGTTTTACCAGTACCAGCAGGTCCGAATGGACTACCACCTAATCTGCAAACTTATTATTATAGAAACTTAGGCAACACAAATTACAAATATAAAACCTCTGAAAAAATTTATAAAACAAGAAACAATATAGTAGCATGAATATTATTTTTGAACTAAATCGTAGAGATATGCTCAAAAAAATTTTCTGCCTGTAACATAACAATGTAAGGTACCTTGAATTTAAAGCCTGAGTCATAGTCAGATAGCAACGATCTGTTAAAGGAGTCTGAACAAGCTTTTCTTGCAAGCCCAAATATTCAAAACCATATGGAAAATAAGCATTCGCCATTTTCATGACACAACATGAATATGGGTCCAATTTCCGTGGATCAAAATAGAAGCGCATACATCTGGACCAATAGAAACTTGTGGCAGAAACAATTTTGTTCTGGATTAAACACCGACAAATATCTCTTTTGTGCACAAATTCTGTTATCTGAAATTATTTTAGAAAATAATAGTTTGAAAAAAAGTTAAATTAAATAAACCGAAATCACACTAAAATCAAAATAGCGCTATTAATAATTTAATTGATGAGATATATTACCAATGCTTCAATTTTCTTTCGTCGAATAGCGGGTTGTTCGCTTAATACGCTATCTGCTAATAATGAGAGTGTTTTGTCCACAACATCTTCGACAGCTTCTACAGTTTTCCCTTGGGCGAAATGTTTTTCAATGTTAGAACACCACCAAATATTAGCTGTTAGCTCAATTATTTGTGCCTGAAAAACGTACAATAATTTTAATAATGAATTTAATGTTCTAAAAGTTTCTAAACTATATGCGTGATAATATTAACATATATAAAAAATGATATTAACCGGAAACTGATCAAGCCAGGCCATGTATTCTTGTGATTCGACCGAATTCATATCAAATTTCGAAAATATCGATAATGACTGATCCAGCAGATGCGTTAGTGTATTCCGCATTTCACATTCAACCAAACGCAACCAGTCGTTGATAAGAGGATTCTCCTAATCAAAAAAGTAGTATTTCTTCAATAAAAAGGAAGAGAAAAGAAGACTGGAAGAGTTATAATTTCGGAACCATATACCTTTAAAATTAATTCCACAACTACATACCTTGACACTGACAGGTTTCATCAGCTTCACTCTTTCTCCCTCGCGACTGCTCATAGCTGTTATTAAAGTATTATCCTCTTCGACATCAATTGCTGAGATACCAGCAAACATTTTTTTCAAATGCTTTTGCACACGTGTAATATCCTTGCTGCAAGAGAATTTACAAGTCCAAATATAAATCCTTCAATACTTTGACATCATGAAACCACTAAACAATAAAAGCGATGCGCTTTAAAATGTGGTCGTTTATGAACAACTATCAAACTGCAGCAAAGTCAGACGAATTACTTATAGCCATATATTTCTGTAGATGATAGCGTCATAAAAACGCCTGAGAAAGAAACTAGATATACATACCTATTACCCATAATTTCGAGTAAATCTTCATCACCAACAAAATAAAATCGAGGGAATGAGTTTCGTTCACGTTCCAAATATTCACCTAAAGCCTTTTGGATTTTCCCAAGCATATCAGCTAGACGTTCCAAGAGACGTTGTGCTCCTTGCATATTAACTATGTCCAAGATTCGAGATGTTGATATTACTTTCTTCATCAATGCCAAAAATTCAGTGGAAACACTGGAAGAAAAATGTACGGTAAAAGTAAAACACTACAACAAGATGAATATAATTCAAAAGAACCAATCATTACCTTGAAAATCTACTCGACTCTACAGGCAAAAGAGTATTAATATCCGCCGATACCGAAAATAATCCATCCAAATACACCCATCGACGTTGCACATCAATCCAAACATCGAACAGTGCACTTATTTTATTCAGCTTCTCTTCCCATGCCAACGCATCCTATAGAGGAGATTCCATGAAGCAATTTTCATGTGAGAACTGAACGAATTATATTTTTTTCAGCAACACATGTATGCAATGCATACAAATCAGCTTTTTTATTGTCTCTTTTTAATACTAGCATGTTGATTAAAATTCGAAAACTGCTAACTTCCTCAAATTGTTTATAATAGGGTGATAGCTTCATTGCAGTAAGCGAATTCATATGCTCCTTCAGTTTACCAAACAGATCGTCCCATCCGCGAATAAGTTTTGTTTTATTTTGATAATTCACAAGGTCAACTTCAAATGACTGCCAATATTCGCGCACCTGAATCGTATTACATGGCAGTGCCAAAGCAGATGTTAATAATATATTAAAAGCAAAAACCAATAATAAAAAGTACCTGCTTCAAGAACTCTTCCAATGCGAGTTCGCCTTGAGCTACTAGTAATACTTGCTTAATAGCTGATTCATAGCGCAGCAAATCAGCATCCCATACTTGTCCCAATGTTAATTCTGATAAATTCCAAGAAACACGAAGTTCTTTCATCAGCTGCTTCCAATGGCGCTCTTTCAATGCATCGGATTTCAGTTCAACAACAATCATATTCATCTATAAATATAAATAAATCATATTAGGAACTTGATAATTTTATACCATTTAAAATGAAAATCTTGTACCATTTAAACTGAAAAAGTTCAACAAACTTTCTACCTTAGAATAATTATGAAGCATTCGCTTAGCATATTCGTAAGAATCATAAGAACGATATTTCGCTGGCAATTGCTTCAACTGAGCAAGGAGTTCGTCTAAACTTTGACGTAGTTTGCGTGGTTGCACCGATAACCACGTTTTCTCTTTTAGCTCATCAACGGCATCGTACATGGGCATCAACGACTGCCATACACCTATAAAATTGATGACCTGTAACTTTTTTACGTCCAAACAAATTGAAGTACTACAGGGTTTTAAAAATATTAAATGATCAAATAATTATGTGTAGAAGAATGATATTACGTTAAGGATATTATTATTAAGGGTATTACGGGTATTAAGACTATTACATTACCTTTTAGATCTGATAGCTCTTCCACAGCAATATCCAATTTTGCAGCGTGATTCGCAGTGAAAACTGGTTCAGCCATTTCTAGCGCTCCCTTTGCCTTCACCATATTTGCTCGATCTTCTTTCACCTTACTCAATTTTGCCTCGAATGTTGCCAGTGCAACCAAAGCTTCATTGGGTCTTTGTGTTCCCTTCAGAAAACACTGTTCTTATGCAATTTAATTTTATTTACAATCCTTTCTTACAAATTCATTAGAAAAATTTGCAACGAACTTGAACTGGTTTACATTTGTCCCAGTCCGCAAGGACATCTTGCGTTCGTTTCTCTACCATTTCATCTTCCTCTTTGATTTTTGTTTGGAGATTGGCAACCTGAAATTATACAAATTGCCAGTTATCGATTAAAAGTAATCAATCAGCTAATACAAAAAATTGCAAGCTCACACTTTGTATCCTTATATAATCAATTTCGCCAAAGCCGAAGTACTAACACATAAATCACTGACAAAAAGAACCATATTGCCTATCAATACTTATATACGACATTAACGAACTATATTATTTGAAAAACTGTTATAACTCCAAATACTCATCTTCCATTTACTCCAAGTACGAAAAAAGTTCATATTGCAGCTTTTAAATCGTAGGGCTGCAAGCGATCATGCGAATTTGCTGAAGCAAGCATTCACACGACCATGCTTGGAAATTACAACAACAGGATAATAACAACACAGCACATCAAAGTACATCAGTCATTTCATAAGATGATTCAAAAAAGTTAATTTACGTGAATGAACATTGAAAATGAAATGAAAAACAAGAGGTATGCGAACACAGAACGTACCACTGTGCCGCAGCTCGGGTTATTTAACTGAACCAACAAACTTTTGTAGATTTTTGAAAAAAACTATCTAGAAAACACGTAAAAAATTCAAACATAGTCACTAAGATTCGGAAGGAAAGTAATGCAAAAAGTGACAGTCGATCTGTAAATCAACAAAACTGTTTTCCCAGCATGAAGAAAATGTAACATCACATGAACAATATGTTCTATAAATCAGCAAAATTAAGCTTACCAAGATAATTTTTGCCTAGAAATAACAAAATAACATACTTGTGCCTGAATAGCAGAATCCTTTCGTTCCAAAATGTCACTCAAAGCCGACCACTCGCCATCAACATTTTCGGAATATAACCATGAATTCGGAAACTGATAGCGCTGCTGAGTGAGCAGACGCTGTGCAGCTCGAAATTGTTCAACCTTTAAAAAAACCTTGGAAAATTCAGACCAAAACCATAAATTTGGAAACCATTATTGTTTGAGTAAAAAGCTATTTCTTGAAATTCAAGTTTTTAAATTAATAAAAACTGACTTTATCTTGACAAATTTTTGTTTTTTTCTTCAATTGCTGAACGTATGTTATAAGCTGAATAGCGTCCGTTGTTGTACCACTATCAACGCTTTGTTCTTCGAGCTCATTACGCCATTTTGATATATCAGAAAAGAATACTTGCATTTCCTGCCCTAAATATTTATATCGACAATGAGATAAGAACAATCGAATTCGAGACCAAAATTTTATTTATACAACATCATCAAAACATACCAACATAAGAGCCGAATTTCTGCAGGATTTCACGATGCCAGTAATCATATTTGAGAGAAACTTTCGACTGAACTTTAGTATAGTCAATAACCACTGGAAAAATCTCTTTTCTCGTCTCTTGCGTATCAAATGTTGCTCTTGACTTTCGAATTTCAACTAATGTTTTCATCCATTTCGATACATCACTTCCAAGTCTTTCATATAAAACATCGGGTTGTAAATCCCAAAGGGCCTTAAAACATATATTGTCCGAATAAATAACATACGAATGTTGCTGAAAAAAATCCGCTTAAAAAAGTGAATTTCTATATTAATGAGTACCTGATATCGCAGCCACTCGCCAACATAATCAGTCACTTCTTTCATAACTCTTTCAACAGTATTATAAGCTTGCTCAATAATTTTTTGGCCTTGTGGAAGATGCGCCAACACATCACGATAGGTAGCTTCTGTACTATCCTTTGTGAGGGTTAACTGAAATTTAAAAAAAAAATTTTTTTAAAGATTTTAAAAAAATTGCAGCTAATCTTTTAGTCTCATTTTTTATACCTAATTTTTACTCTTTTTAATCTCATTTTTTATACCTAATTTTTGCTCTTTTTAGTCTCATTTTTTCATACCAATTTTGTTATAATTGGAAATCAGGCACTTATTATGGCAAACCAATTTATTTCAGAGCAGTCAAAAAACAAACCGAAAACACATCAATTTTTACCTGGAATCGCGTGCTGGATATGCGTGGCTGATTTGTGACTACAGACTGCCAGGCGAATAGTTGGTCCAGTAAGTGAGCTCGAGCTTGCTCAATGCTTGGACTAACATACATCACTTGTGATGTAACCCGCATTTCCAAAACTATCGGTTGAAGGATGGGCAAAGTGCCTTTTTCATCACTTTCATCTTCGAACTCATCATTGGCAAGTACAACAATCCAAAGGTGAATTGCTTCTTCAACGCGAGATGCCAATTTCTTAGCAATCTGAATATGGGAAGTATGCGTTTCAATTCACCGAGAATAAATAATACTTGGAATCTGATAAACTTTTAGAATTCTTTGATGAATAAAAAGGTAATATTTGTCAAAAATTTGAGGGCGGACCTTTGCATCTATCGAGTTAACCCAGTGGTGCAAATTAGAAAAATTGCCCAAAGATAGTTGATCAACTGCTTTTTGTATCGAGTCAAGCAAAGTACCAATTGTTGTCGATGTGTAATGGCATGTGTCTAGAGCAGCAAGATCAACCTGAAATCCTGATAATAATCTCATGCAAAGCGAGTCTGATCTTTGTAGCATAAAATTTTATAAAAGAACAATGGACACCTCAATCCTGTCAAGAAGTATATCCAATTCCTCTACTTTTTCCTGGAAATTATTGATTGAAGAAGAAAGCTTGACAACGTAAGGATCCATTTTGTATGATTCCCATGTAAGTGAATTACCCTGAAAATAATTTGATGTCAAATTTTCGCAAAAATTTATTTTTGTAGTAGCATCACTTAGTCCTTGTTCTTTGAGAAAGAAAGAAAGCAATCACTGCAGCAAAATAACTTAACATAAAATAGACTAACCTCAGCTAGCTGTCCTTGTATATCTTTCTTGTAAGCCACAATCAACATGTTCACTCCAGCTTTATTTGCTATTCGTTTATTTATTGAATCATAAGTGCGAATAGATTCCAACAACGAAATTGCAAATGGATATAAAAGATTCGCCTGATGGGCCGTATTAACGATCTTTAATGGGATCCGAAAACCCATGTGTTTCATATTCCGAACCTGAACCAACAAATATAGATGAAGCAGAATTTCTTTCGTTTACGATAGAATCATTTCCTTGCGTTATCAATACCGTCAGTCGATTTTTGGCTTTAAAAATTATCGTGTATCTTAATTTTTATAGTATTTCCTTTCCAAAGAATAAAATTACCTCTTGTTTTTTCAAAGAATAAAGTTACCTCTTTGAATTTTTTTCTCAAAGAATAAAGTTACCTCTTTAAACAAAGTAACGACATCACTCGAGAAATTCACTTTCAAATTCAACGCGATTTTGCCATCTTTCTGACGTTTTTCAATGATGAAAATTCGTCCAGTCAAGGAAATATTTTTAGCCTGCACACGTGCAACCCAATCATCAAAAATATGTTGTGTGTTTAATTTTTGTCGGAAATTATCTCCTTCTAACTTCAGCTGTCGACCTAGAACAGCGCAAGATCCTTATATAGATAAGATTAATACAACGAAAAAAATAAAAAAGTTAAAGAGTGACGAACCGTCGACATGATTTTCCCATCCCCTGCCTAAAACATCTTCGATCCGTTTCATATATTGTGTCAATTTACTACTGATCTGACGAATCCAAAGAATCGATGCAGTAACGGGTGGTATATCAATGGCTCGCAATATTCTTGCATTATCTGCTTCATTGAAATTTTTAAATCTGGTCTGAAAATATCCTCTTTACTAAGTCAAATAGATGCTTTGCACGTTCATAATTTTATTGCTCAGGAGTTGAGGAAACGCACTACCTGTAATTTATCTATATCCTCTTTTACTCTCTGTATCAGTTGTGTCTGATATTCTCGTATTGCACCACGGATATGTGGTCGAACAAAAAGAGCATTGAACCGTTGGAAAATCATGAACATTTCATCAGCATTTCTAGCACCACCCAATTGATCCCGTAATTTTGCAGTAATCTGAGTTTCTACACGATCAATCTGGTCCTCGTATCTGCAAAAAAAGATACATCCATAAATCTACATACCAGAAAATGAAACGAAACATTTATTTCGTTTACATGAAAAATTAAGCTAACAGACATCCATTACGAAGCATACCAACCTACGTATAGCAGCTTCCCATGCGATAGTACCATCATTGCTCACATCCAAACAATCAACCTCCTTAACATTTTCATACGCTGTATTGACTTGTTCGATAGCGCTTAACTCTGGAGCATGTAAGGTCGATGTTTTTTCAACATCTGAATCAGATCGCTTCTCCCCTTTCTGTCCTACTGGTTTCAATACCCGTGATATAACTGTGCGTAACTGCTCATGTTGTCTAAAATGTTAGTATTAATATTCATTTTCCACATTGTACAGTACGACAATGAACATTTATTTATTACGAGTATAAAAATTTATCCACAAATGATCAGTATGTAAAAATTGTACTTCATATAGTTTTTTAAAAACAAAAAAATTAAATTATTAACCATAATGTAATGACTAAATATAATTAAAGCTGACCGACGAAACTGTCGCATTTGGTCAAGACGACTTTCTAATTTTTTGTGCTGAGGATTAAGTCTCCATGTTAGTTTGAGCTGCTCATCACGCTTTTTCTTTGTCAAATCGCGCATTAAGGTTGTTAGTTTGTCATATTCATCATTCCATGTAGAAAAAACAGCAAAACATTGACCCATTAAACTGTCAAAATCTCCTAGCGGAATGTTCATCAATCGTCTAGTACCAAGTGCCTAAAATTTTAATGGATCCAATCGAGTTTAATGACAAAGTATAGGATATAAATCGTTTCATATGTATTTCTTTTTTACAGTTTCAAAACTTACGATCAGTATTCAGTGAACGATAATAACCTTTAACATTTGGGTAGAAACATCCTTTGAAATGGCTTCCACAAAACGTAGCGCTCGAGCAATTGGATATTTTGTATTACGTAATTTTTTCATATGTGTAAATATATTCGCTAAGGCATTTTTAATGCTATCCATATCTGTTGCAGCCATCAGTTCATTTAAAGGCAAGTCCTTCATCAACACATTATAATCATTCACCATTGCTAACGTCTGCTTAAGGCCTGCATTAAAGTCAAAAATCGTTCCATTCGTGTTATATAAAAATAATTTATTATCGCAGAGTTATAACATAATAAAAGCTTTGTTGTTTATTATCAATGAGACATTTTAACATGTATAACAACCTGTATCGGCGTCAAATGATACTGTCGCATGAAATCGCTTGCCGCATTTCAACGCTTCTAACGTCAAAGTTACTTCGTCTGATTCCCTTTTCTGCGCAATCTTTTGCAAAGCCCTTTCCAAATTCAACCAAAATGTCATTTCCTGCAGTGAAGTTCCTGAGCCCGCATCGCGATCCAGCTTTGTCACCTTAACTAAAACAATATTAAAAGATGAAGTAAAAAATTCTAAAAAAGCGTATAAATCTTGCATCAAACTTGTGTTAAGAAAAGGACACATACCTTTTGGATTTCCTTGACCCACCGATTGACGCCTTTTTGTAAGGCATTTAAAAAAACTGAACTTTCAACCAAATTGCCCAAATCAGTTACTCGAGCTTTATGTCCTTTTTCAACAGCTTGCTGAATAGTATTTTGAATCACTGGGTGGATCGTCAGATTAATTTCTGGTATATCGATATTCTGCTGCATGTGGAGTAAAGCCACTTCTACCTGAAAACAATGCACTCAAAGTAAGTTATTGTCCAACTTTCAAAAATATGCTGGGAACAAAAGTTTTGAAAAAAATACCTCACTCAAATGTTTTTCAACCGACAATGTAAGCTTATCACCATCTCGTTCACCCCGACCATAATCAATTAAAGACTTGAAAAGTGGCGTTCCAATGCGTCCAAAAATCGATAGAAGTACGTCATAGGCATTACCTTCTGGTATTCTGTAGTATAACATGAATTCAAGGGTGCAAAATACCTGAATTAATTATATCATAAAACTTCTTCAGCAGAACACTTCAAAACATGGAAAATTTGACTAACCTTACAACATACAGTTGATCTTCAACTGGTTTATCAACCTCAACATATGCGCCACTTTTTAGCAGCAGTAATGATGTTGTTCGCTCGGTACGTTTAGCCGTTTCATTGGAAATGCGAAATACTGAAGTAACATCCTCAACAGCATCATCTGGATTTGTATCTAAATCTGAATTCATATAAACAGAATCAAATGGTAAAATTTGCAGCTTTCAAAGCCTTGTGGGAAAAGATGCGTATAAAAAGTAGCGAATACCTACCTGAAAGCAATGAAACAATTCACAACAATATGAGATCAAAATTTTTGCATAGTGAAAACTTTTTCACAATTTATCTCGGAAATTTCTTCACAAACCTCTCGCAGCGATCCGATCAACAATTAACATCGGTACTTGTGGATCACTAATGAACTTTTGCATACATTCCACATTTCCGTTCTGTGAAAAAGCTTCTTCTAATGCTGCAGTTCCTGCACTAATAAACTCACGCTTTACATATTCCAGCACGGCAGAGATATCAACCAACGCCACCTAAATTTAAAAAATTTAATAGTCAAAACTTATAGCAGAGCACATAAAGTGGTCCATTTTGTCCCCTCAGCAAGTCTATTCAGTCATCTTTACTGCATTGCACTCATATGACTCTCATTTTCGATTTTCGCAGCGAATTATACGTTCTTTAAAAAAATCATCCCTTAATGTAATTCTAATTGACCCTTTTAATACATTCTTTTGGTTTTTTAGTCTCATATTCGTTCACGAATTTTTTGCCCATGATTCATTTGTGCTTTATCAATGTTCAATATGTAGACTTCAATATGCGCCAAAATCAAACTGATATTCGAATATGCAATAGCAAGCATTTTCGTTAATGAAAAAAATCCTTCAAAGGAAAATTTTTACACGACATGCCTTTGAACTTCAATGACTACCGTTCATTGAGAGCGCAATCTTGATTATTATTACCTTATTATCAATCATTATCCACCCATATGCTGGTTTTAATAATTCAGTCCGTGCAAATGAAGGCCTTTCCAGACATTCTTTATATCTTAGTTCATAAAATAGTGATTTTGTATTAGGCATTTAATACGCAACGAAAGTCAACTAACGAAATCCCAACAACGAAAAGAGGGCCGAGATATGTTAGTGAATAATGTCGTAAAATAAAGAAACTGGATAGCGTTTAACGCGTCAGTAATTTATGGAAAAATATGAACGAACTTCGCCAGCAGCAGGCGTTGTGGTTGTAACCGTTGACTTATCGCTTTCGGAATCCGTCATTCGCTTAAACCATTCCTTAAAATATAGGATTTAAGGTTTCAATTTCTTGTCGTCCCGCAAAAATAATTTTAGCACATGAAAACAAAAATAATATTCACAATGATCATATCTCTAAGGAACTCTGTACCCAAAAACAATCCTCCAAATGGTTGATAATCGAAAACCAGTGCTCCGCAAGAATCTTTTCCCTTCACCACTTCTCTTTAGTGATTTTAAAGCATGTAGTCTCATCATAACAGGTGACACTTTTTATTACCCATTTACCCTAGTATAAAATCCTAAAAACATAACAGTGTGGATTCCTTAATCATAAACTGTCAATTAATCAGCTGCTCTTCAGAAAGTCAGTTGTAATATAGTTTCCGAAGACTTTATTAAAATTTCTCTAACCAAGTTCGCAAAGTTTTCAAATTCATCAAGAGATTTGAAGGCAAATGAAACAATGCCATCATTACCATTACCAGCGCACCTCAAACATTTCCCTTCGACGGTTGAGTCAGCGAGAACATAACTCAATGTGTGATGCAGATGAAAGGCTTACAATTTTTTCTTTTAAAAAAGAAAATAAATGACAGATTGAGAGTAATGATGAGAGCACTGTTAGAACATACTTACAGAATGCCACCTTACACACTATGAATCCTCCTCTTCCGTTCATCTACAACATATAGCCTCCTACTCTATCCTCCTTATTATTTTCTACCCTTTCGATACGAAAGTTTTCATATGTCAAATTTCAGCAAACTATCATTTCCTCTACAAATGCTGCACTGCGCAACAAAGGCATAACGGAACAGTGGACCATACAAACATCAGTCGATTTCATTTATGACGATGGTCACCAGAACCTTGTGGACAGCATATCCATAAGATTACATATAAATAATTAGGGTTTTGATATTATGAACTAAATTAATAACTAAATTAAATGAACGAACAAGGATATCAGACTAGTAGATGTAAGGAGAAGAAAGAAAAATATGGACAAAGGAAGAGCTATTGGCAAAAATATAAGCCTTCATATTCTTCCTTCTGTCTTCGTTCTTTCTTGAAAAAGAAAAGAAGCGGAAAAGTTCAGCTTATTACAGAGCTAAAACATTGACGCAGTGATATGTGTCATGGAAAGTAATGCGTGAAAATAATCACTTATCATACTCATTCCATATTTGATACTATCAACTCATATGTCCCTTCAGAAATCTTCAGTTTCTCGTACCTGTCGGAACATTATAACTTATTCGTGAGAAAGTTTAACTTCAGCCAATTATAGTACGAATGACAAAGATCGTAATTTGAGATCCCTGACCTGTGCCACTTCCGGATGAGGATAACTTTTTGCTTGTCTGAGGTGAAGATTGTGCAGTGTTACGAAAAGCTAACAAACAATTGCATCTCTCAGCCTTGGTAAAGAGAGAGAGGAATGAGGAGATAGTGTAGGAATAAAAGATAGCGGGAATGGTTGACTGAATGATGAATAAAGGAATATTCAAAAGATATTTTGGCAGTAATTCGATTTGAAATTGTGTATTGGTATAGAGTAAAGCTAAATGAATTGGAATACTCGGAAATAGAATGGGAAAGTGGAGGGAGAAGAAATGAAAGGAATGAATGAAAAAGTATGAAATGAAATTAATGAAAATGAGAGGAAGTGCATAAGGTCTACTTTATTCCCTACATTTTCATTTCCTCTCATTTGTTATCATTGGAATGATATTGAAATAATTATTGATGAGTCATTTGTGATGTCTATGTAGCGCGAGTCACTTCACTTTGTATGGAAGTTAATCGAATTTGCAGAGATGGATGAGGATGAGGATTTTATGGATGATAACGATTTTGCAGAAACTTCTGCATCTGTACTGGCAGATGGTGGCAAGAAATGTACCATTTTTCTCATTGATGCTTCACCCAAAATGTTCGAGGAATATGAGAATGATGATTCACAGAACAATTGTGCATTTCGAAGATCTTTGAAAGTATAATACATCTTCCTTTTTTTACGTTTACTGCATCACCCATTAGTCCATTTTTTTTGGGCCTAATGATATCCATCGTTTATTAAGCCTTCTTAATATATGCTGCTACTCAACAGTAACTCTTGCAGATTATACGTTTACAAATGGTCAACAAAGCAGTGACTTCGACATTCGGAGAATATACGTGTTGCATTCTCCTAAACACTGTAATTTTTTCAAACTGATTTTAACACTTATCAGCTTAGAATTTCTTCGATTACCATATCTCCCAAAATCTACTCTTACGTTGTCAAGACTTGAAAGTGGAATGTTTTTGAAATGGCGTATGTCAGGAATAAGTGAAAGGTTTTCTTTGCATAACTGAAAAGCAATCACGAAAAGAAAGGCGGAAGTATATACTCTAAAATACACTTTTCATTGTATTTTTGAAATAAAATTTTCAGCGACTCACAGATTGAGTAGGATTTAAAAGATATCATTCTAATAAAAATAAGCGATAATCGTCAAACTCAAAATCTGGAGCAACTTCTGGGTAATAGGAATGTTTTCAGCAAAATAAGTCGCATTCAATTGACCATGTATATGTTATGCAAGAAGTTGAAGAAATATCGGCAGAACGAATTAAAGAATTGGATCAATTATTAAAATCAGGTATGTTTTTGGATTCGCTAAGTATAGTTTGATGTTTTAGTAGAATGATATCTTTTAAATGAAAAAAAATGAAAAGTGCATTTTAGAGCCTTCTTTTAGCCCCTTTTTTCGTGATTGCTTTTCTATTATCTAGAAAAAGCTTTCACTTAATTATGGAAATTCTCTTACTGTGTAATTTTTATTCAGCTGAAAGTCACATTTGATCTTTAGAATGGAATCTGACGTTTAACTATTGATGGTACAGTGTTATTCTTTTAGTTCATTTCATTTGCAGCTGATTTTTTGAATTGTTTTCTAATCTGGTTCCTTAGAAATGAGAAAACCAATTATAAATTATTTTCAAATTCAAATTTATTTGCAGAAAATATATTATTAGCTTTCAAGGATATATGCGGTGGACACGGTCATTGTGATTATAGCGAAGTACTGTTCTTATGTATCAAAAGAGTAACTTCTCGGACGTAAGTTTCTTTGAATCTCTTCTGAAAGTTATTAATTTGAATTTTTGGCGCTGGTTTTGTCTACAAGTTTCTGCAAAAATTGTAGATTGATCTATTTTTATATTGTAGTGGTGAATATCAAATTACAGACCTTATTTTCGAAAACGAACAGTTTATCTGTTCACCAACGAAATGAATCCGTTTGGTACAAATAATCAGCATCGTATCTCTGCTTGCAAAAATGCCGATGATCTTCGCAATCATGACACAGAGTTTTTGGTCTATCCACTTATTGCTGAAGACGATACATTTGTATTCAATGTTTTGGTGCTGTTTTTATTTGACTTTTTATGGTACTATTCTTTTTGATAACTTTTCAGGAACTTTTTTTTCTAATTATATTTATTCCAGGAACAGCTGGACCCAAATGTTGAAAAGAATTTTGAAAACATCAGCGAACTGGAAAAAGAGTTTGTTTTTAACAATTCCTGTGATACATTTTTTCATTTACTTTGAAATAAATAAATTATTGCAAATTACTTTCATGAAATCATACATATTAAGTTTTCTATTTTACAGTATACCAAAGAAGCAATACGCACATCGGAATATAGCAGGCATGGATTTTGAATTCGGAAAGGGACTAAAAATTTCAGTTGGAATGTTTGTGATATTCTTCTTATTCGATTATACTTTTCTATTTTCATGATTGTTTTTTCATTTTAAAGTCATAATACATTTTCAAGAATTTTAATTCTTCAGCTATTCTTTGCTACGCCCAGAGAAGATTCCTCAACCTGCTATTCTAAATGCTGAAAAAAATGAAATTATGCAGCGGTCACATATATATGTTAACAAAGAGGTTTATTTTTTAGACTCTTTTTAAATTTTTTTTTGGCTTAATCAATTATTGTGGTAGCTTGAATTACAATTGCTATCTAGTACTTTTTTAGCGGGAAGAGAATTCATTTCCAGGATTTCCGACTCATTTTTTGGATAATTCTTTCTTGTTAAGACTGATGAGGAAGTGCCAGTGCTTGATAAAGAAATCATTCGAAAACGACAAATTGGAGGTGAAGTTGTTAGTCTGTCCGCAGATGAGATCGAAAACTTACGAAGGCTGACACCGCCAGGTTTTAAGTTTTTCTGCGTATTTAATCGTTTTGAAAAAAATAAGAAAAGGCGATTAAAATTGATTCTTTTTAAAATGAACGTTTGTGTTAGCAATCTTTTATTACATTGCTATATGATTTGATCATTCCATTTCTTGAAGGAAAGGATGCATCGCAAATATTCGTTTATCCTTTAGTTTTAGTTTTTATTTTACTATTGAGATATCATTTACAGGCATACTGTTGCTCGGATTTAAGCCTCTTTCTTGCCTTAAAATCACACATCACGTTCGAAGCTCACAGTTTGTTTATCCCCTCGAAAAGGTAAATAAATACTTATCTTTTACACTCAGTTGAATAGGAAGATTTAATGTTTTAGAAAATCTGATTATTCCATCCTACAGTTATACTGCTGTTGCAATGAGGCGCGATTGTTGTGAAATATATTCAGATTTTTCGGCGTCAGTCCTTATGTTACAAAAATAATTAAAGCTATTTTTACAAACAAATTAGTCGAAATCTAATTAAGATTAAGGAAGTTTGATCTTGGCTAAGGCGAAATATTTTTTATTTAATCTCAGGATATTGTGGGTTCTGTTCGGATGTACCGTATTCTTTATGAAGTTTGCATGGAACAGAAGAAAATGATTATATGTCGGTATACTCAAAAATCGAATGTGCCGCCAAAACTCGTCGCTTTAGTGCCACAGAAATCCGTTATTGAAGATAGTTTTAAGGTTTTTTTTTCATGTTTATGCATAGAAACTTAACCTATATTTCCTTTACTCAACCTTTCTTTCAAAAAATTGCTTTCTATTCGCTTATTATAATCGATGCATATTCAGGGCGGATTCAGTTCAAAATTTTGTTATCCTGGGTTTCATTTGGTATATTTGCCATTTGCAGAAGATAAACGCGATCTCAGTGAACAGTTGACGTATCGGGATGGCGAGTGTCCAACTGGTGAGTATTTTAGTTTTTGATTAGATATTTTTATTTGATTGGTTTTTGATGAAGTCTTATCTGATACAAGCAATAGAAAACGTGATAACTAATGAGGATATGAAATATGTGGATTATAGAAGCTTTAGTTTTTACTGAAACTAATATAATCAATTTCTAGCGTCAAAGGAACAGATTGAAGCGGCGAGGAAATTGGTGAAAAGACTTACAACTAGTTATTTCCCAGAAAAATTTTGTAATCCAGGTGGGTGATTCCATGTTTCTGTTAATAATACCAAACTCTTATGGTGAATGTCATTTTAAAACATAAATCTTGATTCACTCTATATCCGTTACTTTCCAGTATTGCAAAAGCATTACAAAGTGATTGAAGCTTTGGCTCTAGATTATGATGAAGTTCCGGAAGTTCAAGATCAGATCCGTATGTTTCTTGTTTCTATAAATCTATTAAATTGAGCATCTCTAAATCGGTTAATACGAGCCAGTTTGAACATTGGTATCATAGGCCTTGTTTAAGGGTAAGGGGCTGACATGCTTGGTCACCTCCACTTGCAGTTACCCTCCAACTAACAGCTCTTTGTACTGAACGTTAAGATAGTTTTATAGATAAATATAAAGTTTTTTTAAAGGTATTTGGGTGCCCTAGTAATAGTGCTATAAAAAACTTTTTGCATAAATAATGACTGTTAAACACTAGTAAACATGAACTAGCCAACTTCAGTGCAGTGAAACGGTATCACCATTCATGTAATATTGTAGGATTCTAATGCTGTGTTACAGAAAAGGGACATTTTAGAACCATATTTTGTATATGATGGTTTTCGAAAACGGGTAGAAAAAGAGTTGGACGAATTTCGTTCCTCCTTGCTTCCTGACAATTGGAATTCAGAACAGAAATGTACTGAAGAGACAAAAAAGGCTGACCAAATAAGTTAGTTTTAAAAGTTAAAAAGTTTTTTCATTTGTATGTTGAATCTAATTCTTTATCTTCCTTTCCTACATTTTGCAACTGCTTCGTTTATGTTTTTTTGCTAAGCAGGTAGCGCGTGGAATACGAAAAAGAAGAAATTGACGAACGAAAGCTTGTTATATTTGGCCAATAATCATTTGGTAAATTTTATGGAAAATGTTTTTCCTTGAAACTTATTTCACATTTAACTAGTTCGTGGCTTCTTTATGCTTTAATTAATGTTAATTTTTGCTAAAAAATAACTGGTTTCATTTCATTTTTTCTAAACTGCAAAATTCAGCTGGAGAAAGTGACGGCGACCCAGCTAAAAAAGAAAGCGACAGAGGAGCATATTCCTGTTAAATCAAATGCCAAAAAGGCTGATATTATTGATGCAATTGAGAAATATTACAGAAGCATATGAGTTTCACACTCATTATTAATGATTTTATAAATCTGATTACCTTAATTTTTTTGATCTAAAAATATATGATAAAAAGACGCTTCGCGGTTACCAAACTGAGCTACTTAAAAATTACCTTAAATAGTATCTATATATTTTATGTATATATATTTACCTGTATATATATTTTTTGTGTTTAAGAACCATATAAGAAGACCACATAAAAAACCATAAGTTACTCAGAAATCTTTTGTGCAGAGCTTGTTTTATGCTCACTTTACAAATTGTCGAGTAAGAGTAAAGACTAGATTCTTTCTTTATCATATGCTCTCCCTTCAGTTTTGATCGTTTACTTGTACAGCTTCTTTCTTTTCTTTGTGATCAAATAGTAATATGTGAAAGTTAGCGCATTGTGCCGACAGAATAGTTTATGTGAATAATCAAAATAAAAATTTCAGAAATGAATCCAACAATTTAATTTAATCAATTTCTAAGCTCTGCTTTATCTGAAAATTGTTTTTCAAAATAGGTGTGACATAAACAAAAGGTAGCGCATACATTATCAGTGTTTTCCAGCGTCCAGACTTCTCTTGTTCTTTTGCAGAAAGGTATTAGCAATCCTTTTGAATTTCTCATCTGAAATATTTTTTTAATAAGATGGTAACCAAATTTTTTAAATGTAAGGTAAATTTCGAAAACTTGGAAATAAAAGATGTTTAGTTCGACATAAGTATAAGTTGCAGTTTGCAGATTATGTGATGCTCGAAAAATAATCATAAATCAGAAATTTTATGAGAAAGCTCACTGCTGATGATTTTGGCAGTGTGAGGGAATGTTATTTTCAGTTCTTCCTTAATTTCTTCGCTGAGCAACGTATATTTAGCAATGATATCCCGAGCTGCCTGTTTAAATTTCTCCATATCAAACTTTTGCCCATCTTCTGGTCGCAATGATCGTGCCTTGGCGATTACCTTAAAATTTGATTATTTTAATGTCGGATTCCTAAGCTATGGTTTTTAAATTAATATGCTTCATTCCAGTTCAAGATGTGGTTAGTTACTTCCAAATAAAATGAAAATTTTAATTCAAAAATATAATTCAAATCAAAATAACGGAAATAAATGTTAAATGAAACTAATGAAATAAATTAAACAAAATTCAGTACAATAGTTAAAATACAAATGTAAGATGAATTAAATTAGGGTTACGGTGTTATTTTTGTTTTGTTTCTTTTCGTTTGAATAATTGATACTTCTCGAGCAACAGAGAATTTGAACTATATTGAAGTGAACGTAAACAAATGACTTGAAATTACGCCATTGGTATAATAAATATAAAGTAAAAGAATTTTGAAGCTAGAATGGAAAAGCATTTCAAATGCAAAAATATGTGTGTACCTCATCAACAAATGCTTTAGCGTCTGGCTTTAAACTATCAATTTTTCCTTTCACAAAATTTCGCAATTCCACCGCTTTTTTATAGAGTTTGTCGGATTTATCTTTGAGTGCTTCTAATGCAGCATCTTCATTTGCAAACGATGCATGCTTACTTGCTAACTCACGAAGAATTTGCTTATCTTCCGCTGTTAAATCTTTGTAGAAATTTTTCACTTCTTCCGGTACAAATTCTGCAAATACTTTTGCAAATTTTTATTTACCGAATTCATGAAATAATAATTATTACAAATTTATGAAATTTTCCTTTCAATATGATTACTTTAAAGCAATTCATTACAAGATAAATTTTAAGATATGAATTAAGAAAATGAAATTATGTATTGATTATGAAAGAGAGATCAAATTTAGTTATTTTTATAGTTTTACGGATCTCTGTGAAATTTATGAAATACGGAATCCACGAAAATTTATAAATCCTTTTAATTAAATTTATAAATAGTAAAAATATTAAGTATACAAAGGTAAGAATATAAAGGTATTTCATGAGTTTTATTATACCTTTATACTCTTTCGTTTATAGCTCTATGTCTCACATACCTTTATATTCTTCTGGAATATTACTCACAGAGAAAGGAATAACACTTGCTACAGTGGTGGCAATTAGTGCCAAAAAAATCAAATGCTGATACATTTTATTTGTTCAAAGAAGTTTTTCCAATCACCTGCAATCAGACAGATATCGAACTTGAAATTACAAAATTAGCAAGAAAAGTACTAATTCACATGAATTAGATCTATTCAATAAGACTTCATCTCATCTTTCAATAGTAATTGATAAAAAGAAAGGAATGATATGATATAAATGTGAGATAGATAAAGTCAATTCATAGTTTGAAGAAATATGAGAAAGTATGAGAAAGATAGATATGAGTTGAAATTTCGTCATTTCATCTTAGGATATTTTAACTGTTCTTGTTGTTTGATAATGGCAAGTTAACAGAGAGTGTTAAGCTTCGAATCTAAAGAACGTTTCAAATGCCAGATGAAGTAACTTTTACGTATTCTTTTATCAAATTAAACTTATTGCTAATTAAGAATCATTTTATCATAGTGGGTAAGTTTAACTAATGAGATGGAATTATTTGTCGTATATTATGGTAGACAGGTTAATTCAATTTGAACAAAAGGTATAACAGTAAGTAAATATTAAGGTGTGACGATAAGTGAGTATTGTAATGTTACAACGTTACAAAATTGTTGCTGTAATTTATTTACTTAAAAGATTACTAAGAGAAAATAATGGAAAGTGATATATTTTAGCATGAATTTTTCAGAAATCTCACATCTAACAAATTTTTACTCACTTAAAAACCTAATTAAAATAGGTAAGTATTTTTTAACTTTCTCAATTTTCATTTCCTTATTCCTCCTATACTAACCAGCCTAAAGGCTCCTTTTATATCTCATTCATAAAACATACATTACTGAAAATTTGTAAGATAAAAATGATCCCGTAAGCGAAGAATATGCCTAATAAGGCACTAAATAATATTTATAGAATATATTCATAAATACATAAAGCCATAAAATCTGTTTTACAGAATTTAGTTTGTCTTCGTTAGATTTACAATAACAAACATTCACAATTGTTGAGGAGGAATGATTCATCATCATTATTTATTTAATAAATAAAATCAAACTATTATTACTGATGAAAGTGATAAATTTATTTATGGCAAATCATTCCTATCCGATTTGTTGAATATATAATAGTTTGATTCTATTAAATAATGAGAGTTATAATGAAAGTATTCTAACATGCAATCGTTTGATTTTATCATAAATATCAAATAATGTGAACACATCAAAATTTTCGCCAATACAAGCATTCATTCCATTAAATCATTGCTATAAATTTCTTTAATAATAACCCTAATAAAGCTTATAGAAGTTAATAGCATTGCTTTTCGAATAGCAATGAAATATGAAAATGAATTATTTGACCTATGACTTTTTGAATGTAAGAAATCAATAACGAAGATATGATGGAGCAAAATATAAATATCTTATCCAAGCAAATTTCTTACAGTAATATTCATGTCATGATATATGCTTATTTTAAATTAGACCGGATTGATGCACGATTTAAAAGTAAACTTGTGAGACTAAATTTTAAAAATCTAATTGTCGCATCCATTACAAACATCTGTAACATGAAAATTATCGTCAAGAATTTCTTATGATATGAATAAATGGATGAAGATAAGGTAAACGATAACATCATATTATTATTATATTACAATGTCGTAGTTGTACCACAAACATTTCGTACTTATATGAACTGCAATTGAAAAGCAAAAAATTCGATAACTAAGTTACTTTGTGAAATTCAAGATTTTCTTTTGCAAATGAAGTTTGCTCGAATGCATTAATATTAAAGTCGAAATTGCAATTGCTAATTTTGCTATCGTTTTAAAGAGGAATATGATGGAAAAGACATATCATATCAGTTATATAGAGATAAAGGGGAAAGAGGAGGAGAAGAATGCTAATAGCGGAAGTAATAAGTAGCAAATGGCCATAAAGTAGTTGATAATAGTAATTTGAAACAAACTGGATATGAGAGAAATCTTTTGACGAATGCCTTTATCAATCATATCCTGCACACTTTATATCAGTATTTAAGCTTCCAAACTACAGGTTAATTGAGAATAGGAGGAGGCTAAATTTCATCCTTCTCTTTCAACAATCAATCAATCTAATCCGATCGAAAATTTTAGATGTTACCGAACAGCTGTTGTCTGTAAGGAAGTATCTATTCTGTTCATTTAGCAGTAAAATTTAGAGCTTAGCGAAAATTCTTATAAAACATAAGATAATCATACTTTTTAAAGAAATAACCTTTGACTTGTAACACTTCCCAGCCTATTCTTACTTGAAGCGAAGAGGAAAAAGTAGAAAGACCAACGAACAGTAGTAAAATTTCATTCAGCTAACGAAAAAATTGGCCAATTTGATTTTACAGTTCTTCAAATGTTTTAAAGTATAGCATCTAATGTCATTTGCAAAATGGAAGTTTAGTGAGATTTTTCTGAGGAAGAATGATTACTCCATCATTCTATCCCGTTTATAATTGATCGAAATTTAGGCTGCTTAAAATTTAAAATCCCAATCGAAATTTTTGAATTGAACTGGACTAGAAAGATCTAAATAACTAAAAAATGTGAAGAGAAATTTCAAAATTATGTATCATTTTTTCACATATGTGCTCAATACATTTTATTGGATTAATCACATCTCATCCTCCCGAATTATTACCGTTTGAAAAATTTAGATAATATTTTAATTTCCTATTTTCTTGCATCAAAGAAATCATTTCTTGAAATTAAAGTGTCTAACACATAAAACAGTAACTGTAACCTAATCAAATCTCTTGCAAAGACAAAACGATTGACCAATAATTCACAGAAATTGCTAGTTCACTTCTCCCACTAGAACTATTCTCGAACCACAACCCGCATCTTCTGCTACCATGAGTTTTTAAATGTATTAAGAATATGCGAAGTTCGACGTCGGAAACAGGCTCTTAGTAAATTGCTTTATTAGATACAGTGAAAAGAAATTAGCAAGTTAAAAACATATTATTACAAGGCAAATGCACAAATTAATAATAAATGTAAATCCTCATAATATAGATTACGCATAGCCGCATTAAATTAAACTAACAAGATGTTTTTGAGAGTTTTTGAAATACTCACAAAATTGAGTAAATAAGAATGAAGATGCAAAACTAGATACCTTTTTCTTGAAAAATTATTTAGAAATGGGAATATGTAAGGAGGACATAAATGAATTTTCCTTTAAACGAAATAAATACAATAGAATAACTTAATAAATACAGTGGAATAAAAAAATAGTTTTTAATAGTCTGGGCCGTAGAAGTTCACTATGAAAAAACAAAAAAATTCGCTTGGACAAAGACTTATTTACAGTCATAAGCAAACACAGCAGAAAGGTTTAGGTAATCAAAAATTTCTTACTGGCTGTCCAGTAAGGTCAAATGCGATTTCATCTGTTTTTAGATTAGGGTTGATTTAGCTGCTTGGAAACTCTACACTGCCTGCCCAATTTTTTTGAATATTTCAATCAATGCAGTGTACGTTCCTGTCACCAAACCAATCAGTGCAAAAAATAGTAAGGTTAAATCGATTATCCAAACCTTGAGCACTAATTTGCCTCGAGAATGCGAGATCTGAAATGTATTTTTATGGAAATTTTAAACTTACTAAGCATAATATGATTGTGTGATGACAGTTTCTGTCGCATATCATGTCGCATGGACAATTTCTCTGGGTTCGATTTTCTGACAAATTTTGAATTCAATTTTGAAAAAATTACAAGGAGATCGATGAAAGGTGGGAAGAGGAGAGCCATCGAAGATCCTGAGAAAGCTCCAATAAATGAAATAAATAAGGCAAGATGTGGAATGAGCTCTGCAACTGCACCTAAAAAGAGAAACAAGTTGGTAATATGTGACAAAATTTAGCGCAGTATTTTTTCTTCGATTTAGAAATTATTCAATTTATAGCTCAGAAACTTTCGTAAGAAATTCATGATGAAGTATAAAAAGAACAAAGAAACAAAGAATAAAGAATAAGCTGACATGTCAACAACACAATTCCATATCGCGCGAAATAGATGTAAAGTTTTTGATTTTCAACTAAAATTTTTCTAGTCACCCATTTTTCGATTCGTTCCATTGGGATGAAAAATTGTATGGGATATGACACCATTACACACATCGCAAAAATGAGCTTAATGCTTTCATACATTCTAAAAACGAAAATGAGATTTTCAAAAAACTTCCCAAACAAATAATGGAGTGAATAACATCGTAAAATCATGGGAACTTTAATCTGTTTATAACTATAATTTTAAATGATTTAGGAAATTTGAAAAGTAACTTACGGTTCGTGTGGCACATTCAGAGTGATCGTATCGCTAACTTCATCACCAACAGCAAGGTAACCATAAAACCCCATCATCGTAAATATAACCATCACAACCAAACATGAACAATTTAAAACTCCGTTCCATTTGATAAAAAGTTGTGGCTGACTCATACGGTTTTCCACCGGTAAAACCTATAAATAAACCTATTTATAGCAAAATATTCACATTCCAACTTGCCAAAATATTGATTGCCTCACACGTTCGACTGTATCCTTTCTTTTCATAGTACAAGAATTGAGTAATCATAGAGTATAACATTTTATCTGCTTTAATGAAGGAAATTTACAGTTTGTCGAAATAATACAACAATTACAAACTTGAAAGAAAAACCTGACTTGCTGATAAAAATTTTAGCGCATTATTTTACCGTATTATTCTATGTATGTGAAATTAACTTTTACATATAGAAAAATGAAAACTTCATATACTAAAAGTTTGCATCATACCACAGCGACTCCCTCAAAAGCGAACAAAACTGTTCCGAAATAAAGAGGAATGTTTTCAATCTGTCCAATAGCTGGGAAATTGAAGGACGGCTTCAAATGAGAGAAGAAGAAGTACAACAAGATAAATACAGCACCTGTAAAAGCAGACATTTTTAAACAATGTATTTCAAATTTAACAGTATATCAAAAGTTATCAAGTTATTTCAAAGCAAAGAAAAGCTTGATAATGATCTGAAATTCTGAATGAAAAACTTACACAAATATAAACAGTTTGCGGCAAGAGCGAATGGAGCAAGCTTATTTAAATGACGAATCGAGCATATCGACAGTATAGGAATAAGAAGCATTACCATCCACAGTGATCTGGGTAGGTGAATCATCGTGTTCATATCGAAAAACTTGAAGAAACATTTTGCAAAAAGAAAAGAGGAAGATGTAATAAATGTGTTAAAGCAAGTTTTATAAGTTCATAAACAAGTAAGACATACGCTTTGGATGTTATCAGCCATAAACACAAAATATACACAGCAAAATCCAAGCTGAGCACAAAACATATTAATATTTAATAACTGCCTGCAAAGGAATATAAGTTTTAAATGTAAAACCTAAACAAGGAACGTATTATTTGAAATAACAAAATAACATATTTTAACGGCTCGAAACGATAATTTATAATATGGAAATTTACAACATACTTGAAGAAATATCCGTGGACACTTATCCAGGTTGGTCCGCTTTCTACGGCACTCCGCATAACATTGGCATAATCGATAATATCTCTACCATTTCTATGAAGTAAAATTTGGCATAAAATCTATGCTTTCCTATTTTCATCTTAACCGGAAATCCGAGATAACCATAAATTGTTATTTTTCCATCAAACAATCATAAATTTTTGCACATCTTCAGAATTTCCCAACAAATTAATTTGAAAATTGAGGACTTCTTTTAATAAATTGAATATAAAAGAAGTAAAATCAACCTTCGACAGATGTAATGTGCAGCATAAACTACTAGCCTCATGCAGTATAGGCATATACCGCATAATATAACCATTAGCACCAAACCCAACTTAAACAATACAATTAAACAATAGTTTAAGACATTAACGAACTCTGAAGTAAAAAATTATAATAACATTACTATGTTTAGTTAGGAAAAATATGAAAAGAAAATGATGAAAAATTCTAGCAATTTACCCATAATCCAGCATGTTTAAAAGCAAGAGGTAATGAGAGAAGTCCAGTGCCCAACATAGCTTTAACCATATGAGCGAATGCTTGTTCAGGACTAAGGGTATTGCTAGTTTTCGTTCGTTCCTCAAAAAGATAAGTTTCTTCGTAATCAGCACCTGCACTATTATTCGATGAAGCAATCACATGGTTTTCTGCAGTTGTTATATTCGAAACCGTCTATAATCATCAATGCAATTTTCAAAACAACCTTATTTTATATCAAAATTGAATCAATCAATAAAACATTTTTATACATATTAAAATATATCAAAGTTCTAAGTTTTGCTCAAAATTTTCAAAGTTTTAAGTTTTGCTCAAAATATCAAAGTTCTAAGTTATTTGAAATCTATGTAAACAATTAATAAACTGATTATTTAACTTTTGAATTATCATTTTCTGATTTCGAATTACTTTAGTACATCAGAATAAAAATCTAAAGAGTGACTTGAATTTTTCAGTGTAAATGAAAATAAAATTTACAGTTTCCTCGATTTGTAAGTGAGGATCGGCAGATAGAGACATCCTGGATAACAGTTAAAGCCGCTTTCACAGAATACACATTCCAAAGCCTCTATCAGCAATCCACATCATCTCACCCTCTCTTCTCGAACTCGGTGGTAACCTGGAATATCGAGATTCAAATACAGTATGATAATAATTTGCTCAATTTTGTTTAATTTGAATTTTTTTCAAATTATTTGCTGGATGTTATCGTAAGGTGCTATTTGAAGCATTTGATATTAATTAAAATACCAAAATTTGACTTAAAACAATAAGAAAAGGCAAATTTTAACTTATATCAATAAATTTGATTACATAAATAATAAATGAAATATATCTAAAAATAATTTTATGATAATATTTGGACCAACAAATTGATTCTGAAAAAAAATTCGAATTAAACAAAAGTGAGGAAGTAAACGTAAAATCTATTGATCAAAGTATCTCTCTAAACAATTAAATAAACACTCCAATAAATCATCTGATAACGAAAAAGGGAAAATGTATCCATCCGTTAATTGTTGACTTTAGTGGCAACATCCAAAGTCATCTTTGAGGAAAAATGAAATGCAAATTAAAGTAAAAACATGTTAAGGCTAATTAACGAAACGAATTCTTTTCTTTGATCTTTTCTGTTTTCCGATTTTAATTTTCTTTTTGTTTTTTAACCTTTCTGTACTCTTTTTCATTTCTTTTTTTTTGTTATCATTTATCATTTCTTTATTTCTTTTCTTCTTTCTCAATTTATTTTTTCACTTTGCTAATGTAAAAGAGCCAAAAATCTATCTTTAATTATTCTTTAAACAACATTAATTTTCCGATCATGCATCATATTGAAGCAATTAATCAATCTATCAATTAGCCAAATTGCATGCCAGAAAAAAATCCATTAATGATAAATAATCCTTTGTGGACAAAATAAAGTAAATTTTAAAGAGTGTCTATTTAATCAATCTGTGTCAAAATTCGTTTTGCACTTTCTGTTCAATCAGTTCTGCTGAAAATGTTCCAGAATAGAACGGAATAAATTGAAATTTCCAGTAACTATTCTGTCACTGCAGTGTACCATCACGTAATCCAATAATCATCTTTGTTGAAATTTCAAATTTTCAGTTTAAAACTTTAATTGCTAATCTCTATACAATAGATGTTTATTGCTTTTGCAATTTCATTCTCATACTTCTCTAAATCCATTAACCGGATTTCTTCCACTTCCAATATTTTCAACTAAGCTAGATTTTTGAATCCAGTTCCTTCCAAGTTCATAACAAATTATTTCAGCTATTGGGTGATGTCCGTTTTAGTGATTGTGATCTGTGAATCGATAAATGAAAAGCATTTTAAACGAGCGTGATGATATCAGCTCAAAGTGATAAAACCACTTTATAATATTTTCAGACTTTTTAATTCCTTGAATTTTTAAGTTTTGATATGTTTCTTTAGGAATTAATCTTTTATTGCTCAATTAATGATAAAATTGAAATAATCGAATTCATTACAGTCGTTAAAACAAAATGCGATTTAACGATTATCTTTTTATTTTATTTTGAATATTCGCAAATTCTTTTTCAAGTAGAACTTGTAGAAATTTCGAATAAGCGATAACATCATCTATAAAAGGTGTTAAGTGAACATTTATTATTTTCAGTTAATTTTTACAAAGAGAAAAAAGATGCGATGAGATTTGAAATGTGACATTCGCTAATTTTTTCAATTGGAATTTACTCTTCTCGAATTTCTTAAACCTTTATGAATTCTCTTTTCGCAAAATTTTATGATATCCCAATATTTTGCTTTGAAGTGAAAATTGAAACTAAAATTAAACGAATCATTTCTAAAACTTCAATTTCAGACATTCTACAATAGTTAAAAAAATTCTTCTCAAATATGATTAGTAGCAAAAATATTTTAAAAAGAAAAAATTTGCCATTAATTTGTAATTAATGGTAAGTTTGCAAAATGATTTGTCTGCCTAATTGATTCCAAGAAACGAATATATAAATTTCGCCGTTTAATTTATTCTCTTATTGTTAGAAAAAAATTACTCATCAAAAATTAGTATATAAATAGTTTCGTAGAGACTGATTGACCTAAAATATTGCAGATGATTCCAAAATGTTATCATGATTTCATCCTAAAATTTTATAAATTAATCATTTTCAAAGAAGAGAAAAATTGCAGGAAATCTTAATCGAAGTGATATTTGTGAAAAGCTTTTGTTAGATGATTACACCAAATTACTTTGGAACTTTCAACATATTCAACAGGTGTTGAATTTTGCAGTTTTATGATGAGCAAAAGAGATCTCCACATTCCTGCAAGATTGCATTTGCTTATTTCCGATGATTCCTGAAAAGAATGTTCTGGAAAATTTAATTTCACATTTAGAATATTTTGCAACAATTTTGATTATTCCATCTGTTCCATTCTTCGATTACTTTTTTGACATTTCTTTATAAGCAATGTCATTTTTTTTGACAGCGTTTAATAAATATAAAGAATTGAAGCGAGCAATAAAGCATTTCATACAATTTTTATTGTCCACAGCTTGTCAATGGTGTTGCCTAATTTAAGGCCTATAGGCACTTAAAAATTTCTAATACATTAAACTTCATTCTAATCAACAAAACAATCTTATTTTTCAACCATTATAAAAAACCTTTTCCTGAATTTATAAATAATTTAAAAAAATAATTTCTCTGCTATTACTTTTAATGAAAACTTCCTGAGATATATTATATATCTTTACTTTAAATCTTCTAACTTTACAGACAAATCTGAATTGACATTTGCTTGGAATAATGGAAGCAAATCATAATGATGGATTTAATACAGTTATAAAATGTTGAACTAAATTAATTTGAAATAAAACAAAAGTTGGTGAGAGTGAAAAAATAATAATTTAAAAATATTATTTCATGCATACAGCAATAAAACAAACAGAAAGTTACAGTCAATTTTAGTGAATTCAAAAATTTCCAAACAAATTTAATTGCTATGTTTTAATAGTAATTACAATAAAGATATCGTATTCTCAACAGAAACATATAAATTTGTAAAATTAAATGTATTTTATAAATGTGAATATTTGTATTTTTATTAGAACGAAATTCAACGAAGTTAAAATATACTGTAATAAAGTTGACGGATTAAAATTCTTTAAAATCCAACACTTCGCAAAATTAGTTATAGATATAACATTTGAACAATTATGCACATCCATTATGCACATAGTTTCACTAATGATGAATCATAACCTCAGAACTTGGGATTTGTTGTCATCGTTAAGTGGTGCTATCTCTGAAGATAATTCACTTGATGATACACCACTACTTGCCGATGATTCCTGAAAAATTAGAGAAATGAACGTTTAAACTAACTCATCTAAAAAATCCAAAATTTACAACTTGTAATAAAGAACATGAAAGTGATCCACCTGTAATTTTAACTTTTTAAAAAAGAACTTTTGAACTCTGAAATTTTATTTGTTTAAATAGATTGAGACAATCTTACCCATTAATTTTTCCCATCTCTTTGTTAACGAACTGAATTTCTCATATTTAAATATGCATTAAAAAAGATTGACCTGATCAACGGCTTGGAGCGTTTTTTCAAGAAATGTACCACGACCGGAAGTATCATTATCGTAATCGTAGTCGACAACTGTATCAGCGGTGGACATCAAACGCCGTCTGAGAACAACCAACCTGATCGGTTCACCGGCTGCCTCAGTGACTAATTTGGTGAACATTAGTGGTGAACGGAATGCTTGCCCCGGCATTTCATTAATTTCCAAAAAGCTGAAAATTTTATTTTGAGCTAGTAATGTATATAAAAATGAGAAGATTAAATTACCGAGGAAAGAAAACTATTGCAGCATACCAGTCTTGCTCCTTTAGCGGAATGTTAGCACCGTTGACCTTTGTGACTTGCAAGCAGCCAAATCTCCCCTCAGCTACAGTAATATCACGAGTTGTTAGTGGTGTCTCCAGTGCAACCACTTTATCGTAACTAGTTGATCGTACCAATTTGAATAGTGGTACCATAGGTTTACCTTTCTGCAAGAAAAATGATCAAACAGCTATAAGAGAACACTATAAGAGAACGGCGCAATCATTTATATTTACGCTTAGTTAAATTGAAAGGAAATTGTAACTAAATGTTACCTTAGACTTGGTACCAGTGATTTCATTTAGCTCAGCTGATGGATTTGTTTGTCGTGCTTTCAGTGCCCGTAACTCATGCAATATTTTGGTTCGTGTCTGCTCCGTCGTTACACCAAGCTGCTCTGTAATATAAAAGTAATTGTGAATTCGAAGAACACTTCCGCGTGCCACATTCAAACAATATGAAGGAAAAAGATTAACTATTTCATCCACTCTTCAAATCATAAAATAATTCTTTACAAATTATTAATAAAATATATTTGATTTATTTTTTTTATCATCTCTTTTATCACTAAATAAAAATTATCAAAAAAATATATAAAAGTAAACAGAGTGATAAATTTCCAAGAATTGATAAAATAGCAAAAAAAAAAGATTAAGAATTAAAAAGTAAAGAAAAATGAGAATATATATATATACCAAGAATATTATTATCCCATCGTTCCACATCTTTCCCACTAATATCATAACCAATTATTACTGATGCCACATCATCTAATTTACAATGTTGCAACCATAGTAGAACATCGTCCAGATTCCATTCCTATTCACAATATATATTTATCGAAGTTATTCATATGCAAAATACATATATTACTCATTTAATTAATATTAATCAACTCTTTATCATTCTTATTCTCAATATAAAATAAACTTAACAGATCGTCATCAATTTCACTATAAAATTAACTCAATCTAAAAACGAATAAATTTCTTTCACATCATTTAATAATGTCACCTTTGTATGCGGAAGTTGTCAAAATGACTTTGAAATTATATTATTCGACAAATGAACGATAGGAAATTTAGTGTAGCTCTCTTTGATTTTAGAATTAGTTGCATTTCAATTAATTTTAAAATTAAAAAAAATATCATTATTAAATTCTTTTCTCCTTATCACCTATATAACACATAAATACAATTAAACAATAATAACAGAATAATTTTAAAAGCATACAGCTATAGGTTTTTTCTTCCACAATGCTGCATGCTTCTTCTCATAAGCACGACGAATGCGATTTTGTGCTCGACAAATTTCCATAGTTTTTGGTAAGATACCATCACTTTCAGATATGCGTAAATCTGGGCAACTTTTTCGTAGCATTGATCTGGAAATATTTTCGGAAATATTTTCCTAGATTAGAATACTTCTATAATATCTGATACCGCTTATAAATGACCGCTTATATTTTCATAATATAAAATACTGGTATTCATGAAGAAAAAAATTTTAAACGGTAATTAAAATCCAAAAGTTATTCAAGTATACTTTAAATTAGTAATATATGGATTATTTCAACTATATAAAAAGTACTGTTTTTGCTGATCGCTATTAGATGATAAGCTTGACTCTGATACACCGCCAATATGATATGTCGAATCCGCGTCAATCAATAAATGTGCTGTAAATTTATATCTTAGTAGAATATTAATTAATAAGAGACATTTAAATAATCTCTTTTACATTAAAAAGAGGATTGAATTAGAACTGAATAAAAAATATATTATACTTCTCTTTTAATTTTATGGACAAATTTGAAACTTTAAAATTAATTTAACAAATAAGAAATATTGTTAAAACAATTGCAGAAATATGCCAATTAGAGGAATGAAACGATAATTTAAATACCTTAAATTTCTTTACGAATAATATAAAATGTAATAAAAAGAATCTTTCTAGCATCTTAATTATTTTGATTTATATCAGTATAAGATCAGTATAAGCAGGGATTCATCTGGTTTTTGAATTATTAACAATTAAAAAATTAAACAAGGAGAGAGAGAGAGAGAGAGGTATTTAAATGGTTTTGTGTCTTTTAAACAAATTGTCATAAAAATCATTTCTTTCTTTTTCAATTCATACGAATGACAAATTTAAATAACATATTATTCAACAGAAATAACAAATGATTAAGTTTTAAATATATCAGTTGGCTGTCATTTTTTAACCAATAAATATTTTTATGTGTAATAAAAATTTTTTGAGCTAATAAAATGGCAAAAATTGGTGAAATTATAATTTCTGACAATTTCAACAAAGTAAAAAAAAGAAGTGACTCACTAAGTAATGGTGGCGGTTTTGGAGAGCGCTCCTTTGTGATCGATGAATTATTCGAAGTATGCTTTGCAAGTTTAAATGAAGCTATTGACTGGAAGCTACCATCTTTACTAATAGTACGAATATGAGTATTATTTGGGAAAACCTGAAATTCATAAGAAAAATATTAATGATAATTTTAAAAATAGTATGTATCATTATTCACTGTTAACCTTTTTTTCCCAAAAATTAAACTCGAAAAAAAAGGTTTAAAAAAATCGATCAGATAATTTCTAACAATTGCAGTGAAAAAGACGAATGAATATTCACAAGTAAAAAATGCTGCTATCGGGGAGAAAAATGAAGATGAAAATAATAATTACCTCAGCAACAGGACGATGCCATTGCCTTCGAATTGCTCCAACTGATTTAACACCTCCAAAACGTCGTCGTATCATACCAAAATGAGATTCATCTAAATTAATATAATTTATAAAATTAATGGATTATATAATTTAATGATTATTTCGAATGGAAAGAAAGATTATCACCATTGTGGTAACTTAACTTAATGCTTCTTTTTTCCCTTTTATATTAAATTTTAAAATTAAATTAGATAAATGAATGAAAAAGTAAACGAGATACTTTGGCATATATATTATTCAATTCATTGAATATCAAAGTTAATCATTTCAAATTAATAAAAACTTGCAATAATTTATTGAGAAAAGAATAAATGATGCTATGTGTAATAAATGTAGTAAAATTAATGAATATGAAGAGAGATTAGTGGACAATTTGGAAACAATGATTTTTCACGAAATTCAATAGTTTAGTCTCGACGTAAGAGAAGTTATTAATTAGTTAGTTTCTACTTTCATCCTTTCCGTCTATAAATTTAACAAACCAGTTGGTTTTAAACTGCTCATCGTCTTTTTGACATGGTCAAAGATAACGAAAGCATTACTGATTATTTCTAGGAAAAGAAAAAATGCAATTACAATGGTCAGTTGCAATATCATTCATATTCTCATTTGAAAAGATACAAAAATTTTTATAATTAAATTTACAAGAAATTTTGATGACCAATGCTGCTGTATTATCTAATTTTTGAATTGATTGACTTTTATCTTTTGTTATAGAAACATTCAAAATGACTGATTAGAACTTATCATTCAATGAAAATGATCACAGATAAGCAGTATATCTATTCATTATCATTGTTCAGAAAGTGATCAGTGATTTGTTTATGAACATGTTTGATCTATTTTGAAGTATTGTAATAACAACCATGTAATCAGTTTGACCCAACATAAATTGCTTATAACTAAATTCTAATCTATCTAATGAAGTGATAATTTGCTTCTATTAAAAGAGAAAAACAATGACTGCTCTACAATTGATAAGGAAAATGATTATAATCATCTAATATAATTTTCATAAATGATAAAAATGACGAAATTCTGAAATCAAAAATGATAAATAAAAATAAATGTCAATAGCTATCCAACAAAAATATAATGAAAATGAAATTATTGCAGTGATGAAATTATTTAATTTTAAATTTTACTTTTTCACCTTTTAGCTGTAATGAATAAACATATGATAAGAAAACAATGAAAAAAATTAACGGCAAATTATGATACTAACGAGAAAAAAGCAAAGAGATAAAAATAAACAAACGAATAATTAAATGAAATACGAACGAAGTTGAAACAAAAGATCTTAATAAATAGCTGCCACTCCAACTGATTTTTAAATGATTGAAATTAATCTTAGAATAGTTTTAGGAAGAGAATAAAAAAAAGAAAATTAATTTCATCCAATAGCAAAATAACTTTTCAGGTAATTTTTTCTTTAACAAACAACACAAACTTTTTCATCAAAAACAAATGCCTACATTTAAAAGATAAATGCCATTTGAATTCATTTTCATCTTCCCTTGATCAAAGAGAATTTTGAGTTAAAAATGTAAAACTTGTAGGAAAAAAAGTTCATCATTATCACCAACTGACATACATGTAAATATTGTTTCAAATTCATTGCAAAATTTTTCTCATTAAATAAATTTTAATTTCCTATTGTTGTAAAGAAGCATAAATATATTGTTAATTCATTTACTCCATACCTTACTGATAATTAGTTATTCTGCAAAGTACGAAAATTATTGTATTACTGATGACAATAATAAAAAACATTGGAAGAATATAACTTACCATTACGTTGTACCTTATTATCATCGTCATCATTAACATCATTATCAACAATATTATCAATCGGATATGTATGAGTTGTTGCAAGAATTGGATCACAATCCTCATTTGTTTCCATCATTCCATTAAATTCAATTAATTTACTATCATTATTATTTTTGCATAATTGATGATGTAATCCATTATGTCCGAAATCATCGCAACTTTCACTCTTCTTTAAGCGCATTGTCATATTCAATGTTGGATGACTGAAAAGGTTAATATAATACAGGTAATTTCATTCATTTATAATTATATAATTAAAATTTATATAATTAATAAATTCCTTTCATCGGTGTACAATAAATTTTTTTCTGAACATAAATCTATTTCTCATTTTTTTTTCTCTGTAAAATTTCATAATCATTTCATACATCTTTTTAAAGGTAGAGAATGGAATGGAATGGTTAGAAGGATGAAATTCGATAATTAGCAATTCGATAATTAACGTTTGAAATGTAAATCATTCGATAATTATTACTGAATTACATAAGTTCGGGCAATTTTTATTATAATTCAAATTCAAATGATGCGAATATTTATGAGAATATTCGTATAATTTTTTAATGAAATGCAACGTAAAATTTAATATTACAACAATTTCTTTCTTTTCTTTTTACACATTTATACAACAATTTTTAATTTCTTTCTTTCTTTTTTGTTAGAGAAAAAAAGAATGAAATTTGAACATAAAAAACGAATGAAATATAAACTTCCTAAGACAACAACATTTGTCAACAATTTCCTTCAGTTTTGTAAGAAGAAAAATCAATGATAGATTAAAATCTATAAATACCATTTGATATATATTATTGTGAATGTAACAAAATATGATCCTTACTTTTCTACAACAAAATTACATAGCAATGAACTGAGTGAGATATTTTACAGAAGCGAAAAATTATTTCTAATTTAGGAATTTGTTTTTTAATTTTGTAAATATCCAAGAGTTTGAATATTAATTATTCTATAGGAAAAAATTATTGATTTTTAAAATAGAAATTTAGGCAAATATATACAAATACATTTTATCAATAAGTGATATAATTGTTTTTATTTAAATAAATAATTAAAGTTTTAGAATAAAATTATTGATTTAAATGAATTGAAAAAAGACCTTTGATGAGAATCAAAGTGATCGAAACGATTTTGTTGTGATAAATCACAGATCGGAAAACGATGATTCGTCGTAAGTTGTTCTGAAAAATAATTTTTATACATTATATGAAATATATCGAAGTGATATGAAGTTAGCAATACAGAAAGAGTCTGACATTTGTCTATCAAACAGATAATGTTTGTTTTTTCAAAATGACCACTGCTTTTTTATCAGTTATTTTATTGCTTTATCTTTAATCATTTTATCACAAATTTATTTTATTATTCATTAATTCATATTCAATCAATATTAAAACAATGAAATGAGGCCCTCATTGAATTAAGATAACTCAAAGATAGTCATTAAACTTTTTAGATTAAATAATATAGAAAATTAAACTTTAACCTAATTTGTCATTATTAGCATATTTGCATCCTAATTCTATTTAATATGAAAGACTTAATAGTGTGCACATATATATATATATAACTCACCTGAATCAGATCTTCGACGAAATGCTACTATATACTTCAGCATATCATATCAATAAAATACGATTAACATATATTTGCAATCGGTCGAAAAATTATAATCTTAGCAAAATAAGCAAAATATTTTCTCATAAAATATTAATTGGAATAGAATAGAATAAATATGAAATTTATTTTTTCGAATTTTCTCATACCAAAGAAGATATTACAAATTGGTAAAATTTGACAACGAAGAAAATGATTGAAGGATACTCTCTCTCTCTCTCTCTCTCTCTCTCTCTCTCTCTCTCTCTCTCTGATATAATGGATATTGAAATTATTTATCAAATAATCTCTCTTCAAAAGATATCAAAGCTGGAAAATGATTTCTTTTTTGATCGTTTAAAATTGATGAAATGAAGTGATGAAAGAAAGAAAACATAGAATATTATTATTAAATGGTGTGATAATTTGAATAATCAAAATTTGAAGTTAACTTAACTTAACAATTTTAAAATACAATTATAGTTCAATTCAATTTTTTATTTATAAAAAGGAAATGTTAAATAAAGCATTTGGACAGAGGATACTATATGGGTTCAAATGAAAAACAGAGGATACTATACGGGTTCAAATGAAAGCAGAGGATACTATACGGGTTCAAATGAAAACAGAGGATACTATACGGGTTCAAATGAAAACAGAGGATACTATATGGGTTGAAATGAAAACAGAGGATACTTACTATATGGGTTGAAATGAAAACAGAGGATACTTACTATATGGGTTGAAATGAAAACAGAGGATACTATACGGGTTGAAATGAAAACAGAGGATACTATACGGGTTCAAATGAAAACAGAGGATACTATATGGGTTGAAATGAAAACAGAGGATACTTACTATATGGGTTGAAATGAAAACAGAGGATACTATACGGGTTCAAATGAAAACAGAGGATACTATATGGGTTGAAATGAAAACAGAGGATACTATACGGGTTGAAATGAAAACAGAGGATACTATACGGGTTCAAATGAAAACAGAGGATAGTATATGAGTTGAAATGAAACGCTTCGTTGAAAAATTATCTCTGTTTTTTATTATTAATAAAAAAGGAAGAATGACCTTCTGTGGTTTTATTCTCAATAAGAGGAAGAAGAAGAAAAGTGAAGTTATCGGATAGTAAAAGATATGAAAAAATGAATGGCTTTTTTTAACTATAAAAATTTCATTGATTTCAAATTGTAACAGTTCGTGAGAAGAGGCCAAATACTTAAGCGAAACAATTCTTTTCTCTATTTTTCCGCGAATTGAATTTTATTTGCGAGGACATTAATGTGACAGTATGAAAATGAAATGAATCCATCCATAGAATTAATTACTCTTTTCCTGCAAACTTCTTAGCAAAGAGAAAAGAAAACATTCATATATGATTATAAAATAACTTTAAAAGAAGTATTTCGATTAAAAATTATTTTCATTAATTTTAATTAATAATAATTAATAATGGATAATTATATGATAAATGCATTTATTATCAATTAAAATTTTAGCAAATTAAAAGACAAACTAAACATGTAAATTTATATTTTATTAATGGATAAGCTATAAGTTATTGATAAAAGTAACTAAAATGATAAGAGTATCAAAGTAAACATCAATAATATACGGTAACACGTTAAAATTTCGATTCAAAAATGAGTTATATAAATATAAATTATATCGTTATATAAATATTATATAAATTAAATATAAATACATAAATTAAAATGTTATATAAATATAAATTAAAATGAGTTATAAATATAAAATATAAATTATATAAATATAAATTATAGTTAATTATGAAATATATTTGAATTTATTTTCAATTGGAAAATTTCATTTTTAATGCGAGTAAAAAGAAAGAGAAGAAAAATTCGTTAAAAATTTAAAAACTTTTATTATTCAGAAAATCACGAAATATTCTTTCTCAATCTAAAACTGTCCATTTGCCCAATACCAAATTATTATTTTTCATTGGTTATAAAATATTTTTTTGATAATGAATAATGATATGAACTGTTTCAAACATCCATTTTACCTAACCGGTTTCTTCTCATTTAATTTCCTTTCCGATAGTTCCTTCCTCTTTTCCGGAATAAAATGATGCAAGAAAAAAGTAATTCGTCTATTTCTAATTAAGGAATAAGTCGCCATGCTATCATTGATACAATATGATGATGCATAATGTTAATGAATACAATTGTGAACTGTATGTATAATAAAATAATTAATAATAATAGTAATAATAATAACAATAATGATAAATAATAATAATAATAGTAATAATAATGGTGATAATAATAGTAACAATGTGATAAATAATGGTAATAATAATAGTGATAGCAATAAATAATTAATGATAAGATAGCAGCTTAATTGTTAAACAATTTCAAGCTTAAAAATGATATAGTTGCATTTGTCATATGTGAGCAATTGTTTATTATTATGCATGATAGCTATATTATCGTTAGGTCTTTGTAATGAGTCATTTTAAATATATCTATAGTTGTTGCTCAATTTAGAGTAAAATATTGAATGATTTCGGCATCCGAAATATCACTGAGAGATCACGGTCTATTTTTTTGTGCTGATGTAAGAAGAAGAATCTAAGAGATCAATTAGAGTGTCTACTTTCATGGAGACGCAATTACGAAATGACACTTGAAAGGTTTAACACAGCGTATCTGACAGGTGTTAATGGTCTATTACGGAATTTTGGGACAAGAGGAAAAGGAAATTACCATCTCGTAATCATTATAATTTTTACCATTTATCTGGAAGGAAAAAAAAAGACCCCTAAAAAATATATATACCTTAAAAAGGAACTATTACTCTAATTAGCAAAGGTCATGATAACTGTCGAGGTCATGTTAATAGGTGAAGGAGTTTGGATAATAATAACGAAGAAATGAGAAGATTAAATAAATTAAAATAAATGAGAAGCATATTTTTCTTTTCCTATTAAATTGATTATTTCTCATTTTTAATTTTTGCTAATATATTTAATTACTTTTTTGATAAGCAAAATTCTTAATGAAAATTTTTTCCATCACTTAAATAAATTATTACTGTCAATTAAATTTAATTTCTATAAAATGAATTCCTATTTTTTCTTTGCTAAAAAATGTTGGAAAGATATGGGTGGAATGAATAGATGAGAATATGTAAAAGAATAGAGATGTCATTTTGTAATAATTAAAATCATTGTCTTTATTGTACACACACACACACATACACACACACACACACACGCACACACACATACATTTATAAAGCCTTCCTTCCTTCCTTCCATTCAACGCAATCATTTCTTCTCATTGCAAATTAACAACAACTGGTTTATTTAAAAAAAAAGAAAAATAAAGAAAAAAGGAAAACATAACTGAAAAATTTCTTAGTAACAGCTGCATGAAAGCTAGAATGAACGAATGAATGAATGGAATGAATGAATGAAATGAAATGAAATGAATGAATGGAATGGAATGGAATGGAATGGAATGAATGGAATGGGATGGAATGGAATGAATAAATGAATGAATGGAATTGAATGATTTTTGATTTTTCCATTAATGAGAATAAAATTCAATCAATTAACACAAACAATAACATTTGAAAAGAAATAATAAATAAGAAAGGAACGAACAAAAATTTTATATTAAAACATCGAAATGATAAATTTTTGTGGAAAGAAAAGATAAATGTAATCAGAAAAAGCACAGAAATAATTATTTCTATTATACATAATTTAAATGTATTCAAACTTTAATTATTCTTCGATTAATTCAAAAGTCTTATTTAGTAAATTATCCATCCATTCATTAGTTAACACTATTTGAAACTATCGAATAAGTTATTCATTCACGAGATATCAGTATTCAAAGCTATTGAGTAAGTTATCCATTCACCAGTTAACACTATTTGAAAACTATCGGGTAAGTTATTCATTCAGCAGTTATCAGTTATCAGTATTTAAAACTTTCATACCCAATCTGTAATATATAATATAGTCAATAATATATACAATGTTTATTTGACTAACCAAATAAACGACAAAAATTTTCTTAGTTTCGAAAGACAGAGAATAGTAAAAATATGTGATCAAATTTTCAGAAAGTACACTTATGGTTTTAAATTTTCATAGAAAAGCAAAATATGTTGCTGATTCATTCATTCAAAATATATGCAATGTGCGCAATTGGTTATTTGAATAATAGTGCAATGTGCGCCGCCGCCTATTCATATTAGCAATAAATTCATAAATTAAAAAAAGAAATTAAAAGAATTAATGAAATTCTCTCACTTCTCTAATTTTATTGCATTCTCTTCTCTATTTTTATTTTCTCCTTCTTCCAATAAAATTAAAATTAAAAATAAATTTAATCTCCAAATATCACAACAAATGAAAAACTATCATAACTTATCGTGCAGGCAGTTTTATCTGTCTTAAAATAATCATTGCAAAATACTAAAGAATCCGGAAAAACAATGATTTATAATTTTAGTATTACTTAAAATCATAAAGATGTCATCACTTGAAAATATTTCAAATTAAACTAACACACACACACACACACATACACACACACATACACTCCAAACATTCCTCCCTTATGTTTAATTTCAACTTTTAAGATAGTAACTTCATTAAATTAAATTAAATTTAATAAATTAAAAATCTGTATTCTAATAAATCAGGATTTTCAACATAATCAAATAAAGTGCAAAATTATAAAAATTCGATAAGTCACTTTTTCTTTTCTAAAATGAATTTCATCTGAGAAATGACAGAAAGGGAGCGATTTAATAGAAAGCGATTTATTCTAATTTTTGAGAAATTTGTCAAATCTCAGATTATTAAGCGAAATTTTATTTCTCTCAAAGATAAATTATATGAGAGAATGTTTTATTTTTTCTTTCTAAAAATATACCAAAATTCATTCATTCATAGATTTTCCTCTTTTTTTTGATTTCACATTTTCAGTTTCATCAATTTTCACTTAATCAATTTTATTAAAATAAATTATTAATTACTGATAAATATTATCAATTACTAATTAATAGTAAATTATCAATCTTTTTTGTCAAAATAAATTGTCAATTACTAATAATTTTACTAAAATAAATTATCAATTATTGATAAATATTACATTTTCTTTTTGCTTTTTACTGACATCTAATTTTGTGCTATTTAAATTGTAATCTTATTCTGATAATGTTTATCACTGGTTTTTTTCAGTCTTAGCATACACTACAGGCTAAGAGAGAGAGAGAGAGAGAGAGAGAGAATCTGAGGTATATTCTTCTCTTCTCCAACAAACTATGCTTGCAAAATTTTAAAAACATTCCAACATTAGACTATGAAAACTTTAGTTAGAAATATTAAACCTAAAATTCTTATGACTCAGATAACATTTCGGAAAATTTTCATATTAATTACAACAATTTCAGTACTTTAAAGGCTATAGAAGAAAATATTTAAAAGAAAAGTGAACTGACCGTTGAAAATTGTTCGTTTAACTGGAATGATATATTCAGGTTGTCCAATTGCTATGGAAGGATTTGTTGTCGAAAGCTGAGTAAAATTTTCGGAAGGCCAGGCGTATCGTGATGTAACTACTGCTCTTTGAACTACTTCTGCTGGTGTTCTTCTTACCAAATCAGAGTGATATTTATCTGATCTGCAAATTACGAATTGTTAAAAATTTTTGATAATTTTCGATATCAATAAATTAGGAAATAAATAATCTAAGTTTGATTGACATTATTGAAAATATAAAATAGGTAAAGAAAATATTTTATTTCAAGGAGATCGTACTGTGTTCTCTCTAGTTATTTCTACGATGCGATCTTACTGAACGGAATGGAAAACCGAAATTAAATAAGATCGGTAACCTTTTTAGTAATTTACTGTATAGGTTGGTATAATATGAACAAAAGAATTGTTGAAAATACCAAAGAAGAAAAGGTGTATATAATGAATATAGAACGACATTTGCGCCAATAAATTCATCAAAAAGTCATTAAAAAGCGTACCTTTACAATAAAAATTTCTTATATGATTTTATGATCGGAAGAGAAAAGGAAAAGATTTACATTAATATTTTTCATTTTATTCAATTATCCCAAATAAAAACTCAAAAAATAAATCCAAACTTTCTAATAAATCTTCAGAAGACATTTAGAACAATTAAAAAATTATTTGCTAATTAGAATTAAGAATTATTAAGACTGTCTGTAATTAAGCATAGCATGGATCTATCATTTAGCAATATAATTATTAGATATTTGAATCAAAAAAATTTTATTTCCCTCCACTGTTCTTAAAAGTAATAATAATTGCATTTAATTCGTCTATCTTCTTATCTCCCTTATCTGAATTTAATCCGGCTATCTTTCGGTCTCACCGAGTGTGACAGGAAGATAGCCGGATTAAATTCATATCCTATCATTAATTATCTTTCATTGTTTATTAATTCCAGAAAAAAAGAAGCAAAGCTAAAATTTTTGAAGAGAATTTAATCAAAAAACTGTTTCAAACTAAATTGCAAAATTCAATTAATTCTATTTTTCTAATTTTAATTTCGATATTGTTATTGAAATCAATAATACAAACTTAGCAAATTCCATAAATACTGTAAAATACTAAAAGATTTCAAATGCTGATAAATCTTATCATTTTTAGGATTACTTATCACTTTACTTATCATTTTTACTACATTGTATTAATGAATAATACGCTAAATTTTGATAAATATAAGTTGAAACTGATGATAAGTTGGGTGATAACTTATTCATGCAATGTTACCACGAAAAAATGAAAGTATTTTATGAGATTGACTGATTATCATGAATTGTTTAGTTTATAAGTAAGAGATAACTCTATTGATAAGTAATGAAAGATGATAAAAGAATATAAATAGAAGTGATATTTCTGAATGGAATGAAGTAAAATATCATTGAGAAAATGATAAGAGCAAAACTACGAATATTTCAGAACGAATGAATTTCTGAATTAATGAAAGACAAAATAACGGCGCAAATGGTTCATCAAACTGATAATTTTGGATAAAATGGTGACAAAAAAAACAAATATAGCTAAGGAATTTGAATGCAATGACCTCGCTGTCACATTTTGTCAACACATTCACCTTTTTTTTCATTCTTCCATTTCTCTTTCATATAATACAACTTTTTGTATTTTAAAAAATAATGAAAATCCTGTACTTTTGAAGTTGTTATCTGTTAATTGACAAGTATAACAAAATTCAAAACAAAATTTGTAAATTTGAAATTTTTCGAAATAAGCCAAATAAAGTTTTCGTTTTAATTCTAAGCACTAATTAGCATAAATAATTACAAATTGATAAGCTAATTGATATAATTGAAAATTCTTTAAGAGTTATAGAAAAATTGCTTATAAATTAAATCAATGAATGAAATGTGGAAATCAGAAAAATATGATTATGAAACATTGAATTCAGTATTTTAACAGAAATGGTTGTACAGAAGGAGAAAGAAGTGAAAATCAATCAAATGTCTTAAACTTGTAATAGTTCATAACAAATGATGTTATCATCGAATTTATCATTGAAAATTATCGATTATTAAGGCTTCTACAATTTTAATCTGAGATCAGTCCTTTCCATTTGCTAATCACAATAAGCTAAATTTCTGAAAGAGTTCTGTTGATACATTATCGTGATACTAGGCATATTCTGTTAATAAATAAAGTATTAGAACCAGTTAGTGCTGCTGTAGGAGTCAGCTGTAAGAACTTAAAATGTCCACCATTGAAGATATTTTGTTTACATTAGTTGAAATCCGGTCAGTCAATAACACTTGCAACATTTTCTTTTACTTAGTTCTCTAAATACTTTTTATTTGTTTGTTTATCCTTCCATTCCATTCGAATAATTCATTTTAAATACTTTTATAAACTTTGACAAAAATTTCGCGAAATACAAACGTGAAATTTTTAAGATGAGAAGATGTTGACGATATTCGATGGTCATTTATTGAGGAAAGATGGTCATTATGATTCGATGATCCTGGACTGTTTCCACGAATATACTGATGATTTTGATAGTGTTGTTGAAATGGTGATGGGTAGCTCGTTTTCAATGTTTTAGCTGATGGCGATTTCGCTGCTGCTAAATTCGGTGACCTAAATTTTTCATTATTAATACCAATTAATAAATTTAATGTTTTATGTAAAGTCGCTTCGCATCTAACAGAAATTTCAATGTTTGTTCACATTTGAATAATCTGTGAAATAAAAAGAAACTATTATTATCGTTAGCAATATCAGTGCATAGCATTGAAAATCATTCAAAAATATCGCTAATTAACATTTCGCAACCACTATATTGTCAAATAGGTTAATCAGCCGTGGGATTGACTGAAAAAACTTCTCATATTAAATGACAGTGCAGTGATATCACAAGTGATATAACATTGATTGTACAAATGTATGTCAATCAGTTGATTATACAAATATATGTCAATGATTATACAAATACATGTCAATTCTCTTGTCATCTAACACAGAATATTCGAAATGATTTAGAAAGAGCGCTCGTTTATTTTATTATCTCAAAAAACGATTTTATAATTTAACCATCTTTTTCAGTATATTTTAATTTTTAATTCCCTTTGGATTATAATTTTGTCTCACAATCATGAATTATTAATTGGTTCAAGATTTCCTCATTTTTTACAGAGAGATGATTAATACCTATTAACACCTTGATCAGCATCTGATTAATATCTATTTCTATCTGATCACTTCAAATACAAACTTTTTACGCAAATTCTCTATCTTAACAGAAAATGGAAATATAAACGATTTTGAATTATAGGAGTAATATATCAGGCATTGATTGTTATGTAAAAAATTTTATAGCATAAATAAAGAAGATAGTTCGAAATTTTAAACGGATAAGTTTTCATGCAAAGAAAAATAACGAAAAAAAATATTTTAACTTTTATTCTTTTCTTTGCAATGATAAGGTAATTAAGCTATCGGGCAATATCAAGAAAAAATTACAACATTGCAGTATATTGCAATTAAATAATTGGAATGATTTGAATGTTAATTAGATTGATTTTAATTTAAAATCTAAAGGTATATAAATAAAGCAAATAAATGATTTGGTTGAAAAAAAAGGCATACAATTTTTCAGTTTGTACGACAGTTATGTCATGTATAGATGGTCGCATTTTCTGCTCCTTTTTACCGCGTAATGTCCAATTTCCATTGAAGAATAATCCCGTTTTCAATCGACTACTACTGCAAATTTTCATTCTTAAAAATTAACAGAAAACTTTCAGATTTATTGAAAATATTAAATTAATTATCATTTATGAAAATGGCTCGATTTTAATGGTTTTATCAGTTATGGAATATTTTCGAGAGTTTATTCTTAGGCACAAATATATTTAATCTTTTTGGTATTATAATATTTAATAGCTTAGATGGTTACAGATCACAACTGAGATTACAAATTACAGCTAGAGATATAAATAAATTTCTTAAAAATATTCAAAATTTTTTAATGATAAGGAAATGGATGAGAGTTCCTAAAAAAGACTATGCATAAAAGCATAGACAGATAGACGTACATGTAAACTGTAAGGTTTGATCGCTAAATTTTATGCAAATTCATTTGAAATATTCTATGAAATGAAAGAAGAAGCTATACTAAATTTTTTTAATTAATATAATTATGAAAATGATATTGCGAAAATTTCTATTATTATATGTTTCCTAAGCAAATCACCCGAGAAATATTCTTCGATAACTTTTTCAGAAATTCGGGAAATTTTTGAAGGAAGCAAAAAAAACAGTTTGCTGGACATATTGCCATTATGTCCACAGTTATAAAGTCGATGTAAAAGTAATTGCGTTTCCGGAATGTTAATTTCAAGTTATTATCAATAACTTAAATATTTAGTCGAATTAGAAATCACAGCAATTAACATTAGAGGAATTAATTTGCATATTTTTACAGCATAGAAATCGATATTTTGAAATTTGACGAACTCTCGCAAAGTGTTTTCTGGATTCTTTTGGTTGCTGGAAAGCTTTTTCCAGCAAATGTTAAAGTGATTGAAGAAAGAATAGCCGGTTATGAGAGGTTAGGCAAGTATGACGAAGTGGACAATTTTCAACTTTTGAAAGTTTTCGCTTTCCAGGTATTATTGTGAAAAACTTTTTCTTGGCCGTAAGAAAATGAACTTCATTGATTTTCAGATGTGATATTCATAATCACCAAACAGTAATTATGAATGATGCTTGCTCTCTTCAATCCAACCATTTCGGAAGTTAATATATTTCTCATCGATCGAGAAACGTTCCTTCATTGTTGCATGGGATAGGAAAAGATATTTCTAAACGACGATTGTCATTTTCTAAAGCATCCATTTCTGGAATTTCTTGATCAGCTTCCATTATAATCATCAATTCGATGATCGGTAACTATGTCTTTCATTTTTATCAATTTCGTCTTCATAAAACTTCTTTAAAAATATTATTGCATTATGCTCATTTGTTAGCAATTATTAGGCCAACTATATTGTTGGAACATGCAAATTGCCTTCATTGTTTTAAGGAGCCTTTTGAACAAATTTGATTTTTACCAAATAAATTTCCTTCGTCTAAAATAAATATGAAACAGACGTGAAATAATAAATCATTTGCAGAAAAAAATGATATATAATTTAGGAATAATCATTTAAGAATATTTTCTTTTCACTATAAAACATCAAAAGTTCAACAATGCAGAAAAAAATGCAATTACTTTTCCATCAACTTTTTCCAAATATTTTAATAATTTTAACCTTGGAAATTTTGAATTTTCAATAATAATATAAAATTTTAATAATCAAAAAAACTTCAATTTTCAAAATTCAGCCATTTTAGTTGTCAAAATAATCGAGCAAAATTAGTTCATTTTAAATTAAATATTTTATAAATTTCACGTATTTTATGAATCTCACGTATTTTAAGAATCTCACGTATTTTATAAATCTCACGTATAATACGTACACTTTGGAACACGTATTCGGTTGTTGCTGTTGTTGTTGTTGTTGTTGATAAGAAGAACCAGGCTCTAAGTCACACATATGTGAGGATGGTCGAGAATGCATCGATTGATTGCAACGTGAGAAACGTTTCAGTGTTGGTTGATCCGAGGTTGATTCATCTATTAGGCCTGCTATCTGCAAGAAGCTGTAATTTTTTGCAACACAATCTAGAATTATTCTTTCAATTTTCAAATTTACTTCAAAAAAATTGTAGTTGTAGCAAAAAGCTAAGTATTTTATTAATGTGAATTATATTTATTACAAATAATTTGGAGACAAATATTTTGTTTATCAATTCTTTAAAAGAGTTCGATCAGAAAACAAAGAAATCATTCTTTTAACAATGAAAATTAAGCAAATTAATTTATAAACAATTAATTAAATTTTTTCACTCAAATACAATCAAACATAAAATATCGTAAGAAAGCAAAGTATTTTGTAAACAAATTTTATGAATTAATTTGAGAAAAAAAATCAAATTTTTGTTGTTTTTAAACTTTTAATTGTTTTGTTTTTAAACAAAAACAATAAGCCAAAAACAATAAGTCTAAAGTTTCGAAATTTTAATTTTTATTCTATCAGTACAACTTGTCAACTGATAATTTTATTATGCATTACACGATCGACTTTCTTTTGAAATTTATTTTGTCAGTTTCAAACTTCTCCTTGGGTTCAATTTAATTTTAGACTTTAAAAAGCAAATGATAATTTGAGGATGTATTTTTGATCAAATTTGAATAATTTGCTATCATTGCTCCTACAACACTTTCATATATTCAAATAATACTTTCTCGCTGTTTAATTACGTACAATTACAGTTTTCGTTAGCAAAAAAAATTACATCAAACTAAAATTAAACAGGTTGACAACTTTTGTGGACACGGAAAGAAACTGGAATTTTTGATAAATTTTCAACTTTTAACGGAGAGGTCATATTTGCTTATATTTTTAGGTTTTTTTGTTTCATATATTAGTGCAATTAGAAAATACTTTCCACTACTGTTCAACAGGCTATTACTATAACTAAAGAATTTTAAACTGTTAATTATATAATTAATTGCATAGGATTGGTAGTCTACCTTAATCACATCAAAGTAGAAAAAGTAGATTAGAGACGTTTCAAATGAGCAAATTTTAGCTTTCGTCTCGTTAAATATATAAATTTTTCTTTGGTATGAAATTTTGATGAATCCGATAATTTGAAAATCAGACATATATAACATTATCATTAGCGATACCCGGATCCTAGAACTTCAAAATATGTTTTCTCAGTGAAGGCGGGGATTTTTTGTCAAGCTTATATAATTTAAAATCTTTCTATCTATCTATTTGTGCAAATGACAAATATTCTCTCTCTCGATGAGCGGGAGATTGGAAATCGATAGAATAATAATTCATTCCCTTTCCGAGTGCTTCAAAATATTTTTGGTCACCAATCATTGATTTTTCCGGACGATAAATTTTTTTTAAATTTCGTCTATGAGAATATTTGCCGTTTCTATTCGGGTGTCATCAACCATAATATTCTGGCAAATTTGAACTTTTGACAACTTTCATAAATGGTTATTATGATCATTGAAGAAAGCTCAAAATTTTTGTGTCCATTTCAAAAGATTTCGCAAAAACTTTGTTGACTTCTTCACTTCTTTTGCTATTATCGGGCCCAAGATGAAAAAAAGAAAGAATAGAAAAAGGCCTTGGGTGCCATTAAATTGTGTTGAAAAATTTGGAGATGATGGTATAATTATAAAGGGAGGAGGAGAAAATGAACTATTCCACGAAGTTTGAAGTGTCCACTATTTGATTTTCAACTTTTCACAATGAGCACAGAAATCGAATGAAGTTAGAGTGGACAACTTCAGGCCCTTCATAGTGCCTTGGACACGATATCAATTCCAAATAACTAAAATGTAATTTAATCTTTTTTAAGACAAAATTATAGTCATTATTCCAGATGAATAATATCAGCTGGCAAGAGTATTCAGATCACTAGAGAGAAAGGATATGGGTGTAGTAAATGAAAAGGATCTGAAGTTCAATTAAATTATTTATATATAATTTCAGCATTTAACAGCATCAATTTCAGCATCAATTTCAGTTTAGCATTACTGAAATATGGTTTTATGCCTTTGTTAAATCTAATAAAGTCTAAACTATTTGTCTTTAACTTTAACTTATTATTCTTTCAGGATTAAAAAAAGATTCTAAATTCTTTCTCATTTATAAAGAAGGAAATGACATTATTTTCAAAAAGAGATACTATCACTTTATTATCAATGAATTGCCATTTGTACTAATACATTTTATACTATAATAGTTTATTATTACAATTAATATACTTTATGCTATTATATTTATTATTCAAAATCTTCAAGAGACTGAGAAACTGTTGAATATGCCTCGTATCGTCAGAATTTTCATAACATACGATGATATTAATTATACTAGTTTATTGCGATCATATTAATTTCAAATTACTCATTTCCAAAGAGATCAATAAAGAAGGTATAATTTAATGATTGTCCTTCAAAAGAAGTTCAGCGCGGATGTATCCGTTTTCTTGAATTAATGGAAATTTATTATGTTATTGGAATATAGAACGAAATCGCCTCTTATCAGCTAAGCCATTAATGGCGGAGAAAAGTGCGCTCATTGAGAGCACTGAAGAAGGATTATGAAAGGATGCATTACGAACAACAAAACATTCTTTCATCATCAAAGGCCTATTGAAACAAGAATTTGGAAATCTGATTAGAGGAATTAAAAAGACTTTCTCAATGATGCACTGAGATACAAGGTCAATTGCAATCCGACAGCTCTTCAGAAAAACAAAAAACTACCCGTACGTAGAATTGTCCCAAATGTATCATTGCATTCAACGAATGACATTATTCTCATCCTTCATATTTTCAATCTTTTTCTTTCATCAGATAAAAATATCTTTAAATTAAAAGAAAAAGAAAGAGAAATAATTCAATAAGAAAAGTTAATTATTAAAATTGAAAGTTTAGCCATCAAAAAATGAATTTCAAAAATAGCAAAATAAAGCCTTTTGCATATAAATATATTATATTTAAAATACAAAATTGAAAGGATCCTAAAATTTAAATCGAAATTTTAAATATTTGCAAAAATTTTACTAAAAGAAAAGATTGTACTAAATTTTAGGATATCAGAAATGAATTAAATTTATTATAAAGAAGAATTCATATGCAATTATTAAAATAGATATTTGATTTCATATTTTAATTTTTATATTAATCGCATTTAATATATTCGATATTTAATTTTATATTTAATAAATTCACTCATAAATTTCTCCCATCACTCAAAATTATATTTCACTTCTTATTCAATTATTCCTTGTAATACTTTCATTGGAATTTTACTTGATTATTATTAATATTTTAAGTAAAATGAAGGAGAAAACACACTTCGGATAGCTGCCTCGATCGTACCATAATTGCGTGCTGTAATGTGAAATCGCCACAATGCAATGGTAAATCGTCAGTTTCAAAAATTCTCAGCACTGGCGCTTGTTCACTGATGCTGGAATTGCTGAGGTCGGAATCGCTTAACGGCTGAAATTTATCAAATGATCTGAGAAAAAAAATTTTTATGAGAATTGCAACTAATCAAAATAACGACAAAATTTTCCTATTAGAATTCGAAAATAATATGTAAGAAGACTGTCAAGAAAAGAAAGTGAAAAGAAACAAAAACGAAAAATTGTCACATAAAATTTTTAAAATGAGAATAATGAAAATTGATTGAAAATTAATAATATTGAAGGACAGCAAAGTTTTGATATCTTTAAGTCATAGCTTTTCTAATATACAAAATTTTATTTATTAACTAAATTTCAATTATTTTAATTGTTAAAAAGCTGAAGTAATTGCATTTGCAACGAATGAAAATTTCATTTTAGGAAAGTAAATATTTAAAGAGAAGAAAAATTTTAAGAGTTTTGCACAAGAAAGAGAGAGAGAGAGAGAGAGATATTAGCTTCCTACAACATTAAATTGCATTTTGTGGTAGAACGATGAATATTCCATAAAGGTGGCGAAGAGGAAGGGACAATATATTTCTTTTTTAATTTAAATTTTAAATAAGATATAATGGAATGGCTTTTCCCTTTTCTCCTTCTAAAATATTTCAAACAATATGAATCAAAAGATACAGGTAGGGATAAAAATAAAATAATGTGTAATAAAAAACAATCGCTCGCTCTCTTCCACGTATCCGTGAACAAACGGGAAGATAGCATTAATGTATCATCATCATCCTATGAGAGAAGCATTTATATGTCATGTTAGAAAGAATGTTTTGGAGATGTCATTGCCATTGGGCAGTAAAAAAAAAAGAGGTCATTCTGAACAACAATAGATGCTGACCACTGCATTTCCAAACTATTGCACTATAATAAAAATCTCCAATAGCTTTTTCCGTTCCATACATATTGATTAATAACTTTGTCAATAATAAGCTATAAATCTCTATTGTTCAAAAGAAATAGGAAAGATCATTGAATCTATCCAAATCGGCGATCTTTTCATGCATTGAAGCACTTTTGGTCAACGATGAGAAATTGTTGACCTCAATAGGTAAGCATAGATTTTGAATGCGTAACAGATAGCACTGCTTTTTATTAGAAAATGATTTTTAAATTATTAAACATTAATACTTCCACTGTTGAAAATTTTAGAAGAAAAGTTAAGAAGAAGAAATAGTGGGAGATAAGTAGGAAGTAAGAAATGGTGGAAGATAAGTGGAAGAGAAGTATGAAGTAAAGCAAAGAGTAGAATGAACTTTTTAAGAAACTAAACAAACATCCTTAAATTTAAGTTTCGGCTATATTAACTTAACAAGCAAACTTTAATCACATTTTAATTTCAATAAGTAAGGATAGAAATGATAAAATGAATTGATAGGTCTATCAAAAAATGATAAAATGAATTGATAGGTCTATCAAAAAGTGATAAAATGAATTTATACATCTGTTATATCTTAAAGAAAATGAAATCATTGAGAAAAACTTTGTACATCAGTTTTTTAAATTTAAAAGAAAATGGATAACATAAATGTATTGTAAATTTTTGAATGGACGATATTATTCCCAGCCATTCATCCATCCAACCAACCAACCATCCATCCATCCATCCATTCATCCATCCATCTATCATTCATTCAATCAAAGATAAATTTAAGAGGAAAAAGAGAAATGAAAATATCAAAAAATTTTTCAAGGTAAGTTTTACCTTAAAAGATAAAGTGTAATTTTTTTTTTTTGTTTTATTTTATTTTTCAGAATGAAATGATTCATTTATCAATAAGAAAACAAGAAATCTCATTGTTTTTTGTTAATTTAATTTGAAAATATTAATTAATAAAAGAAAAATGAAATTATATCAATGAATTAATTAATAAATATGAATTAATAAATGAAAGGGAAAGTATCGTTCGATTGAATGAAAATTTATTACTTAAAAAATTGGAAGAGAAAAATTTCTTTAAATATCAAAATTTTTAATGTATACATTAAATCTTTTCTTTCATAAAAAATTGTTTACTAATATTTAATTTAATAAAATTTTATATAAACAAAAAAGAATGAAAAAAACAAAAGAATTTATGAAAAATTAAATAAACAAAATTATAACAACAAATTGATCTTTTTAATTTTACTTTCATTTTTTAAAAAATTTAAAAATTTTTTCAAAGAATAAACATTTACAAAAGTTTAATGATTTTCCATCATTTATTATATACTATGAAATAATTAAATAGCAACAAAGAAAGTTAGATGGAACATTTTGACTTCTTCACAATATGAAGAATAAAACAACGCAAAATATAAAAGTGTTAAGAGCATAGCATTAATTTACTTTCGTCCAATTTCATTAATATAAAATGTATTTGATATTCATTACCAAATTTGAATTAAAAAGTTCGATTTAAATAAATGATAAGTTTAAAATAATAAAATGTTAGTAAGTAAATGATTTCCTATTAGTGTCACATAATAAGATGTCGTAATATCATATTACTTACCAGCTGTACTCCTTCATAATGTGACGAATAATATAGAGTGGTAAGAGGATAGCATTAATTTACTTTCAGTCATTTTCATTAATATAAAATGTATTTATTATTAATTTAAAAGCAAAAGCAAAAGGTCTTTCTTTATTCATTACATTTATTTAAAAGAAATTTTGCAACAACAACAATCACCCCTTATTAAAACTGCTTAAATTATTTAAATTTAAATTTATCAAAAATGATTTGTTTATAAAAATGAGAAGAAGAACGAATAATTTAAGATCGCGAAGAGAAGTTACTGATGAACGAAGGATAATGATTCATTTTCCTTTATCTTCACAAACTTTTTTTTAATTTAAGGCAAAATTGCTTGCAGAAATTGTAGGCATTAAAAGATGGCAATATCATTCAGGCCTGTCATCATGCAAAGTTTGTTTATATCTGTAAATTTCAGCAAAACAATGATTAATTAAAATTATTTCTCACTCAAAAACAAAAAAAAAATTACCGAGAAATTTCTAAAAATTTCATAATTAATAGAACTAATTTTTACATTTCAAACTAAAGCAAAGTATAACCAATATTTTAGTGAAAATTTCCATGAAATTAAATTTAAGCTATTTTATCGTAAGAGTTGAAAAATTCTTTATTTAATCTTCCTATTCAAACTTGTTCGATAATTTCAGCAATTCAAAAATATTTGTAAGCACTTATTTAGCTAATCACATTAATTCAATAAATGTTAGGAGCAGATGGTAACATCTTGTCACATTTCAGTAAAAAAAGTATTAGAAAAGAGATTGTCAGAGATAGTTGGACTGACAAGTTTTCAACAATTAACATCAATACCTTATAATTGTCATACTTCAATGAAGAAAATATTAGAAAAGAGATAGTGAGGTTGAATTGGCAAGTTTTCTATAATTTAAAGTAAAATAAAATTAAAATTCAATTTAGGAAAGTTTCAAAAAATTTGTTGAATTTTTGACAAAAATGAAATTGATAATTAATGTTTTTGAGAAATTTTCCATTTAAAATCTGAATTAAATGACTGAATTTAAAAACTATTCAAAGTTTTCGAATTTATAAGTTTATGCTTTTTCAAACGTTTCCAAAATTAAATTAATGATATGTAAAATAATTAATGTAAAAACAAATAGACCCGATAACGGACCATTCCAATTTTGTAATTTTGAATTGAAAAATTTTTCACATCAGAGATCATAGAAAGTATTGAAAAATGACATTCTACAACGCATTCACTTCCTCTATCGTATTGGATGAAAAAAAATCGAATTTTGTTGAATAGGCAATAATTCATATTATTATAATAAATTTCATATTCCGGTTTATTTCTCAGTGAAAGCACCAAAAACTTCAATGATAATATCAAGCGATTATTCATCCCAATACAATTTATGTCCTAAATTTTAAAAATTAAAAGTAACAAAAAAGAAAATTAAAATGGCTATTAATTTCGACAATTGATGAATTATTCGAATTTATTCAAAAGAGTGAAGTTCAACAATTCAGGAAGTGTAATAATTTTTCAAATTATAAATTATAAATTTGTTCGGAATATAAATTCTTCTTTGAATTGCTGCAAATAAAATGAAAAGAAATAAAGGAAGGAATTTTAGAAGAATTAAAAATTTATTTTAATTAGAATTTTAATTGTCAAAATGACAATTGAAATGATTATTTGAATTATTTAAAAGATAAGATGGAAATCAATTAAAACTTAAATTGGCCTATAATATAATAAAGTGAGATAATAAATCCATTTATTTGTGGTTAAATTACAAACGGAATGAATTCAAAGATTAGCTATAAAATTGAAGGAAACAATCGGAAAGCTATTCTTCAGCTAACTTCAACTTATAAGCAATCACATATTAAGAGATTTGATTAAATTAATTTAATTTCAATAAATAATCTCTGAAATATTTTATTTTGAGCTTTTGTATAAATACCGGAGATATCAAACAATTGTGATTATCTATGGAGATAATAAACAATTGTGATTTATTTGAGGAAATGAGCATTGTTGGAAGTGTGAAATTAAAAAATTATATGAAACGGTTTGAAAGTGTTATGATAATTAATTTGTAAATGTTATTGTAATTCCATAACATATTATCATATACCTAAAATGGTATTATATATTATTATCTTACACCTAAAATGTTAATTTCAAAATAGCGCTCATTCATTTTATGAAATTATCTCTTTATTGATTTTTTATAGCAATAAGTTTTTTCCAGAAAAACATTAATTTTTCTGAAATGATTTCTGAATAATTTTCAATATTAATCATTTAGTAATTGATATCATTTGATAAAATAAGTTGATATAATCAATCTTATCATTAAACAGAGATATCAACGCACGAGCAAAGACATAAATAGCTTTATTATTTTCCCTGTTGAAGTTCTGTTAAGCAAAGGTCCATTAAATGAAATAATTAAAATGATGAAATTTCATTTTCAAACACTTCCACAATACCCATTATCTGCCATGAATTTATTGAGAATTTAAAAGTGGCAGTAAATTGAAAGAAGAAAATACAATTTTACAATTTAGAACTTTTCTAGCGGAGAATGTGTTAGTGTAAAATTTTGATGTTTAAATTTTATTAAAAAGATCATTAAATAGAAAACTTCGAAGAGAAATTGATTTCAGTGTTTCTTTCTATAAGATATCCTTGTATAATATATAATAAATTGCATGGAATTTTTAGAAAGCAATCCTTCCAACCGAAAAGATAAAATTCATTAAATTTCCCTTTGAAAGTATTAAAATCTTTTTTAACATAAAAACTTTGTGAAAAGAAATCAAAATAAAATTAGACGAAAAAATAGCAATTGTATTTGGCCTAAATAAAAATAAAATTAAGTTAATTAATGTTTGATAAACAGTGAAATATTAATGATATAATGGAAGTTATTATTGTTAATGATATGATATGATAATGAAAGTTATCATTGTTAATGATATGATGTGATAGTGAAAGTTATTATTGCTATATTATATCTAAAAGGAATTTGATTTTTACGATCGAAACATTTGAAATTTATTGTTAATTTCATATGAAATGATGACATTAAAGAAATATGTAAATACCATTTATTAGATTATTTGAATTTGTAAATTTGAAATGAAAATTACAAAGAAATATTGTGATAAATTTTATATTGTAAAAAGTAATGAAAACTTTCATTTCTACACAGAATAATTATTAACCGATGAAAGGAAATTGATTTAAAAGTTTGAAAATCTTAGCAAGAAATTATCAAAAATATTGAAATTTAAAAGTAAGGAAATATTTTAAAATTGATGATTAACGTTGAAAGTCCTTGAAGGCAAATATTAGATGACAGACTGAAGATAGGAGCGGAAAAGACAGCGGGAAACGGAAAAAGGATAAAATTGACAATCTGAATTGGAAGAAGAAGGAGGGAAATGAAATCATTATGTGATCATTTTAATGTGATTTGTGATGGACACATTGTCATTTACTCTCTCAGTGAATTTCTAAATGAAATTTTAAAATAGAAATTATCAGAAATGAATAGATAAATAGGAAATGATTCATTCACCTATGCCATTATTCTTAATGGTATGAAGCAAAATTTCACTTTTGTTCATATAATTTCATTTTAAAGCTTAGTGAAAGTAATAAATACAGTATGAGAATATGTGAAATAATATTTATTAACTTCAAAAGTAAAATTAAAATTAAAATTAAAATTGCAATAAAAGAATAAAACAAAATTCATATTATTACAGTATGTTTCGAACATTAAACTGATATTACGATACCAATAATTGGGAAGAAGTGTTTTAAAAAAAAATGTTGTTCATTAAAAGAATGTAAAAGCTGAGATCGGCTGGCACAAAAACGAATATGATAGCCTAGTAAAAACCAGATTTAAATAAGAATGAAATTTAACTTTTAATTTCTTACACAATTCGTTTCATTTCAAGTATCGAACAAAATAAACTCGCGCTTTTTACTAATAAAAATCTTAGCAATTTTTATTTTAAAAATTTGTCGTTGCTATTTTTATTACAAAAATTTGAAATTATATGATTAATTTAATTATCAGTCATAATGATATATTTGTTAAAAT